GACTAACAGGATCGGGTGGTCAGACTCGCTGACTTGGTTGATGCATGTCATCATATCCAAAGTGCGGAGATCGATGCTCATGATGTCAACCACTGGATTGTGTGATCCAGACTCGATTATTTACAGACCGCCATCATATAGCTGGAATATTGCTGAGTGCGGCGTTAAACAACAAACAAACAAACAAACAAAATGTAACCTTCAAACAAATTATTTTCACGTGACATATGTAGTCAAGAAATGTCATCGTATTATATAGTCCACGTGGCCAGAAATACTGAAAGAAAGAATCGAGATCAGAATCAATAGGACGGAGTTGTCTCCCTCACCATGCCGCTGCTCTGGTAACCTTGAGACGTCATGCAATGTCGACATTAGATCACCGCTGGGCAATTTGACGTGCAAGGTGTGTTGGCCAGGGTGGCATGGTTATCACCTTGTGACAAAGATACTTGCGCCGTGAATTTGGGGGAATATTTCAAAAAGTGGCGTAAAACTTGATGTAAGTTTTCATAACTCCTATTACTTCTTTCAATTGAGACCTCCTCCGTGGTATAGTGGTAGAGCGTCCGCCCGGAGAGCGGAAGGTTCGGGGTTCGATCCCCGGCAGCGTCATACCAAAAGACGTTAAAAGATGCTACTTGTTGTTACCCTGCCTGGCGCTCAGCATTAAGGGGCTAATACAAGGACTGGTCGGCTCGGAGTCAGTATACTGTGTCTGAGTGGGGTATTCATGTTAAATTGCGGCATGGTATCTCACTATAAATCGTCATCAGTCCGGTCTAGTACAAGCAGCCCCCCCCCCCCCCCCCCCCCCCACACACACACACACGTGCATGCACGTCGCTATATTAGTGCAATAATCTTTGACGCGACGTTAAACCCAATTTCACCTCCACTCTTTCAATGGATAGACATAATGGTTACACGCCCGTTTCTTTTAATACGTGAGGTGTAAACCAGTTTAATTAGATTCCCGTATTGGACGGAGGGCGGTGGGGTAGCCTTGTTTTTAAAGCGGTCGCTTGTCACGCCGAAGACCCGAGTTCGATTCCCCACATGGGTACAATGTGTTAAGCCAGTTTCTGGTGTGCCCCGCCGTGATATTGTTGCAATATTGCTAAAAGCGGCGTAAAACCATACTCACTCACTCACTCACTATTAGACAAGCCAAGAACCCTGTGGGAAATACCTGGTGGAATTGGTCGTTAGAGGCGAATTATTAGATCTGGTGGTCAGACCTGCGTGTCACCCTTCATCGACGATGTGGATTGTTGATCATAGTATCAACCACTGGATTGTGCGGTCCAGATTATTGCCGAGTGCGGCGTTAGAAACAAACAAAAAAGTCAAAATCAAGTTTTCCAATAAATATTTTGTTCAACAGTTACATACAGGCCACGTACAAAAATAGCACACATCTCTCTTCGTTATAAAAATGTACGTTACTATGGAAACACACACGGTCACAACATTGGTGAGAAAATACTTAGTAAGCAAAATATATAGAACATCAGCCTAGGACGACTTCGACACCAGTCTAGGACGCACCAGACACCGGTCTAGGACGCACCAGACACCGGTCTAGGACGCACCAGACACCAGTCTAGGACGCACCAGACATCAGTCTAGGGCGCACCAGAAACCAGTCAAGACGCACCAGAGATCAGTTTTGGACGCACCAGACACCGGTCTAGGACGCACCAGACACCAGTCTAGGACGCAACAGACACCAGTCTAGGACGTAACAGACACCGGTCTAGGACGCACCAGACACCAGTCTAGGACGCACCAGACATCAGTCTAGGGCGCACCAGAGATCAGTCAAGACGCACCAGAGATCAGTCTTGGACGTACCAGACACCAGTCAAAGACGCACCAGACACCGGTCTAGGACGCACCAGACACCAGTCTAGGACGCACCAGACACCGGTCTAGGACGCACCAGACACCAGTCTAGGACGCACCAGAAACCAGTCAAGGACGCACCAGACACCGGTCTAGGACGCACCAGACACCAGTCTAGGACGCACCAGACACCAGTCTAGGGCGCACCAGAAACCAGTCAAGACGCACCAGACATCAGTCTTGGACGTACCAGACACCAGTCAAAGACGCACCAGACACCAGTCAAGGACGCACCAGGCACCAGTCTAGGACGCACCCGACACAAGTCTAGGACGCACCAGACACCGGTCTAGGACGCACCAGGCACTAGTCTAGGACGCACCAGACACCAGTCTAGGACGCACCAGACACAAGTCTAGGACGCACCAGACACCGGTCTAGGACGCACCAGACACCAGTCTAGGACGCACCAGACATCAGTCTAGGGCGCACCAGACACCGGTCTAGGACGCACCAGGCACTAGTCTAGGACGCACCAGACACCAGTCTAGGACGCACCAGACACAAGTCTAGGACGCACCAGACACCGGTCTAGGACGCACCAGACACCAGTCAAGGACGCACCAGACACAAGTCTAGGACGCACCAGACACCGGTCTAGGACGCACCAGACACCAGTCTAGGACGCACCAGGCACCAGTCTAGGACGCACCAGACACCGGTCTAGGACGCACCAGACACCAGTGTAGGTCGCACCAGACACCGGTCTAGGAAGCGCCAGACACCAGTCTAGGACGCACCAGACACCGGTCTAGGACGCAACAGACACCGGTCTAGGACGTAACAGACACTGGACTAGGACGTTGCTCATACATCCACCACTGGTGTGTGTCTGATCCAGACTCGACTATTTACAGACCGCTGTTATTTTTTGTATCTATTGCTAAGTGCAACTTTAAACAACACAGAAACGAACAACAAGCCATGAGCTTAACCATCAACCATCACACAAGCTCAACCATCCATATCCCATTTTAGGGTTCAACCACCCATATGAGCTCAACCATGTACATACCATATACATCCCATTGTTGTGCAGTCGTGCACACATAATCTGTCTCATAAATAAACGCTCAGTAAAAACACGTCGAGCACGCATTCGTGTCGGCTATCGAATCTGCTCCGTGGTACAGTAAATACAGGTACTTGATTGACATTATAAACACTACAATCGAAGACAGCAAACACGATGTACCTTCACGTGTGTGTGCGTGTATTTTGCATATGGAAATACAGACATGGTACAATACATACACTAAAGCTCATGTGTTTGCGAGATCATCTAGAATCTTGTGATTTGGATTACAAAAAAACATATTCACTTAATTACATACAATTATAAATCAATTTATTAACTTAACATGGCTGTCGTCTGTGACTCGTCGCCTCGATATTGTTTACGCAACTTGACCACCCGTGAAACACGTCCATTGGGATATGTTTTAGAACAGCCAACAGACATCTTCCCCGACGGGTGTCTGTCAAGGTGAGCGAAAACCAGGTGATATCTAAGCTCACGGTTATACAGTACATGGATAACATGGGTGGATACAGAGGGGGTGGGGGGTGGGGGTGGGGGGGGTGGGGGGGGGGGGGTGGGGTGGGGGTGGGGGGGGGAAATCTTTATTTCTGTATAAATTACCACCAAAGACAATAAATAGATCTTAATTGTGCACCCCCCTTTTAAAAAAGGCTGTATCCGCCCATGGATAATGTGTGAAGTATGTTCATAATACACGACAGCTATACACACACAGACACACAACACAGCAATGTAACAGTGAGGCGTACGTATGTACAGTGACGGTCGTTTTTACATCGCGTGGAACATTATGTCAGTTATATCACGGCGTATAAACCTTCTGTGTGGGGAAATCTCAACGTGAGACAAGGTAAACACATTTACCACTTTACCGAACACCCAGAGGACCAAGAATCATGATCGCGGTGAAACCGGGAATCGAACCCACGATCACCAGAGCGTTGCATGGATAACACGGGAGGCCATTACTATTTGTTGAGGCATTGAGTAAAATAACAAAATATTGAATAGTACAATATTTGTACAAATATATTCAAGAAACAACGATTGTCATGATAATGTACCGATTACGAATAATTAGAACACATTAGCTGCACAAACGATGAGCATTGAAGCATGGGTCTGTATATTTAGAATATCACATTGGTACAGTTGCAGCCAAAGACAAGCATTAATGGGCATATATACAAAGTACACTCAGCGTCATTATTGAGGGACACGCAAATAATAAGAGATAAAAGTATAAAAAATTTGCAACTTTCATGAGTACAGTTCAGTTGCATCTGGAATGAACCATTTTATACCCACATTTACTGTTATTGGCATGTTTTGCACGTGCATGGGTTTAAACCAGTGGTTGTGTTTAGGCGAGTGTTTTGGCTACATTTTCCATAACCTTCAATCTTGCACTTTTCATTATTTTGAATAGTCGTTGTCCATTTTTCATTTTTCATAAAATAATCTAATCCAATCCATAAAGAATATGTTCTTCAATTGTTAATCACATTTTCAATATAGTCAGACCTACTGACGCTTGTTTGCAGATGCTCATGTTTGACACCCTACATACCTAAGTGTTCTTTAATAATGACGTTGAGTATATGTGGTAATCTCTTAGCGACATCACAACGTTGGTACATCCTCGATTATCCCGCCTATCATATATCAACTTTGTTATGACACCCCGCCCTCTCAAATCAAATTACGCTTTTCTGTCCTGATTGGGACAAGCGACAGGTATCCACTCATTCGTGACCAACTCGTGTTATTCCGGGACAAGCCGAATAGCGACTCGTGTCCCTCTCGTGACCATTTTGGCGACGAGGTTCCGTCTTAGCGCAAACGGGCATACCTAAAACAATTGTCAATTCGTTGCGTTATGGTTCACATATATTTCCCCATATATTATATATATTTCAGATGCAATTTAAAGCACACCGGGACGTGCGGGATTATTCAGTATGACTGAACACATTTAACTGTGTCTTGGGTATATTTTTATATGCAAGACATATGTAAAATCAAAAATTATTTCTGAGGGATTCTTTGACGAAGTACTTGAAATCATACGCGCATTCTGATTGGTTTGTCGTAATTTCGCACATAACATTGATCGATAGGGGGACGAGTCTTCTTGCAGGTTACGGAAAGGGGCGAGTGGTGACGAATGATATCCACTAAACGATTGGTCATGTTTCCTTCCGTTTCAAACTGGGACACTCTCCGAGACGAACCTATATGTTGACGTATGGTCCAGGTTATAAATCTTAATACAAATGTGATATATTACACTGGATAACCGAGGATGGGTTATTGGGGATGTATTTAGAATAGGTATATGGATGAAACAATAATTAAAATGAAGCACGTGTTGGTGGAAGTAGTTCCGGATGTCATTTCTCTTGGCGCAATAATGTTCATTGATTCTTCTACAAAACCAACTGCTTCCGGGTCATCTTTAACGAACACCGGCGGTATGGAGGGTTCGAGGAATGGAACTTTGAGAGCAGCCACGGATCCATTATGGTGTCTGAGAAAGTAAAGGGGCTTGCCGAAGTGGACAACGTCACGTGGTAAATGGTTGTACGGTGCTTCTGGCTGCTGGTACATCACGTCACGTGATGTCGATGGCTGCAGCGTCCCTCTAAGTAACAGGCCAAATGTAAATCGAAGTGTTTCGTTTTTGATAATTATTTCAAACTTCCCAAACGCTTTATGAAAATATTTGCCAACATATTCTGTCTTGTTGATGAAGTCTGGATCTTGGTTGACAGCCGGACGTGGAGCACGAGTTATCTCCTCCTTGACTGGAGCTCTTCCCCACGGCTCCGGATACATACAGGCTGTCGCCGTCCCGAGCCACTGGTTCTTGCCTGGAGTGAAGAATCAAGAATTTCGTCATATGTTTTTGCTTCTGGTCCATGTCGTTACGATCACTGCCACAACCAAAATCCATTTGTGAATTGTGGCTTTAGTTAATTACCACTTTTAACAAAATTTCAGTTATATTAGCGATTAAGATTCTGAAGCACACTTACAGCTTTGAATTCCACAAGCACGAGTGTGGTGCTTACAAATAGAGAAACATGAGCAGCGCGCATCTTGAAAGCTAAGGGACGCAACTCTGCACAGCGGACACCCTTGCCCCAAGTTTCATATGTCGTTAACAAATTAAGTTTCACGCGTTACTACGTACATGCATCATGTATGTCGACTTTTATATGTAACATGTCACTCAATTTAAGCAAATTAAACAAGATTAGTAACGGCCATCTAAAGCGTCTTCGTAGCCTTGTGAATCTAATTAAACTAGATATTTTACTCCGCTTCGATACCGCTCTCTGATAAGTCCTCCACAGTCTGTCACGTCAGGTAAACTTTCTAATCAGTTAATTAGCATGGATGCTTCTCAGTTCTCTGTACGAAAGAGCAGGATATACCATTTCTGTATTTCGAAAACGAACGTGAACGGCCAGATCCGAATAGAAAATAATAATTTATTCGCAGTGTAGTAGATATGTTACACCCTGACTGTTCAGTCGTCCTTCAGTCAACGACATAAGCATTTCTTATAGCCGTGTTTTCATTTCTCCTATTCCAGAATAAGTAAAATGTTCGCAAAGCGCTGTCCTGGCCTTCTTAGCATTCCGTTTAGCTGTCATTCAGCTATAGCAAATCAAATTTCATTTTACTTTTGTATGTCCTTATTATTGTGATCTAGGAAACAAGTTTATACCAGAACGCTATCTGTCACATTATTCTGTACCTGCTTTTATTTCTCTTCTTTCTTCAAAAGATGATGCTGTCATATTAAAACTGGCTCTATATGTTAAGAATACAATTTCCCTCAAAAACAAATTGTTAAACATGAGTATATATCCAAATATGTAAACTGCTTATTTGTAACTCTCTTGTATATGGGCCGGAGGCCTTACATGCAATAAATATTTTTGACTTTGACTTTGAGAGAGCAATTGGTATGGTGCAGTTGGTATAGCGCAAGAATCATCACTGTATGAAACTATTGCAAGGCACTGTCTGCGCTTGGACATGACGTCGTCACACCATACGTCGCCGACTTCGAGAGCATGATGTCAGGACTTATCGAACATTTAGAGGAATCACGTTGACTAGGCAACATCGACTTCATCCTTTACGTTGGGCATTTCCTGATGACGTCATCAGATGCCGAACGAACTCTGTCCAACGTCATGTGCACGACTGTATGTTTGCACGGCGATGGGGTAAATATGTTACATCCTGACTGATGCATTGACAATGATTTAGTGACAGTTATGATCATGGTAATGCACATGTCGTACTAAGTGTAATTGGGGCGGTCGGGTAGCCTGGTGGTTAAAGCGTTCGCTCGTCACGCTGAAGACCCGAGTTCGATTGTCCGACATGGGTACAATGTGTGAAGCCCATTTCTAGTATCCCCCGCCGAAACATTGCGGAAATATTGCAAAAAGCGGTGTAAAGCCACACTCACTCACTCACTCACTCACTCACTCACTCACTCACTCACTCACTGTAATTTGTGAAATAGCTGGTGGTGTGGGATCTGTGACGTTGACACTTGCAGGTCGATAGTGTCTTTATCGGAGTAAATATCTGATAATACTTTTGTAATACAATATATGCATCAACATGTGATTCATGATCATTTTGAAAAAAGCTGATCGGTATACTTTCTTATGATCGTCAGTTCAAAATATATGTCAAACTTATCTGTTAAACAAGAATACAATTTGACCCATGTGTATCAAAGCAGAACAAAGGACCTACCCAGCATGAGATCGAGGCTGTACATGGTGATGATGTCTCTGATAATGGTCTGCTGACTTGGCGCGAAGCTGGTGATGGCCACCCACACCCCCACGCCCTCCTCGGGGAGCAGCGTCTGCATCAGTCGGTACCCGCTGAACGACCCAGTGTGACTCAACTTCTTGTACCCTGGAGAAACACAACATGAAGAAGTCCTTAATGTACACAAGCAGAACATCACGATGTCCTTAAAATATACAAACAGAACATGAAGAAGTCCTTAATGTACACAAACAGAACATCACGATTTCCTTAAAATATACAAACAGAACATCAAGAAGTCCTTAATGTACACAAACAGAATATCACGATGTCCTTAAAATATACAAACAGAACATCAAGAAGTCCTTAACGTATACAATGTATCCCTACCGGAAGCAACCGCTATTCACACAATTTGCATAAGAATGTAAGTGTTTGTATGTTGCCTGGCGCGGCACAGCGGTCCGCCTGTCAGGCGAATCGGCCCATAAAGAAATCAGACATTCAGGTGATCCAGTGAGGTTTTGAAACTAAACACGATATGTTAACTTTGAATTACGTCTGCTGTGTACAGGTGTTCTGATTTAAGTAACCAAACATCATCATAAAACACAAGCTAAGAAGTCCAAACATTTACAGGCTTTCCCCGAAACGATTTCAAAAGGCATTTTACAGTAAGATCGATCTGTACCTCTGTAAACCCCGTTCATCCAGCCGAGGGCGTATGTGAAGTCGAGGTTTGCGACCGGAAATCGGGCCCGCGTGATGCCTGACCTCTCAAGGACGATTTGAGGCCTATACGTCTCCCTAAGAGCAGTTCGGTTCAAGATCTGGTACCCTTTGTCATTCTGAGAAAACACAAGACATTCACTCAATAGTAAGACCGTCTATAGGGTGGTTGGTTGGTTGTTTAACGCCGCACTCAGCAATATTCCAGCTATATGACGGCGGTCTGTAAATAATCGAGTCAATCCATTGATTGATATAATGAGCATCGATCCACGCAATTGGGATCAATGACACGCATCAACCGCATCTTCACAGGTCGACCGTCTGTTGTAATGCTATAGTAATATAGTTCATCAATGTGTCTTTTTACACCTTTAAACGATTCTCGTAAAAGGTGTCCCTGCTATTGTACCCCACGTATGTACTTCAATGTAATATTGATCATTTCTACTGTTCCGTTAAATACATACGTGACGCTCGATGTTTACCAGGGTCAAATGTTTCAGTGTAGGAATGTTGTAAATTTAGATATCTTTCGATATATAAAAATACAATAAAAATCGTTTCCATTTTCAAATAGGCCTATGTTATGTACACATGCACTACAATTGACGTACTGAAAGAGTTTAACGCCAGCAAAGCTGAAATTGACGCAGGTCTTCTACATTTTATAGAGACCAAGACGCCATGATGATATTCAGACAATCCAAGGATCATAATCGGGGCGAATCTGGGAATCAAACAATGATCACAGGATCCTGGCTCGGCTAAAGGACATTTGAAAGCAGCGTGGACTCATGTCACTGGGTCTCTTGGCCCCGACTACAACTGGCTAACAGCCAACTATTAATAATGTTGAGAAGTTTAAGAGCAAACCTTTCCACCCCTCAGATGGAACTGAAGCCACTTCGCCATGTCCCTGGCCGTGCTGAACACACCCGCCGCCGCCTGGGCCTGTCGTATCACCCTGCAGCAGAGACGAGAAATACATATGGCTTCCGGTATAACACGTGGACACCCATATCACACACGGAGACCTATATCACACATGGACACCTGTTTGTTTGTGACTGATATCATGAGCATCGACCCACGCAATTGGGATATGATGACATGCACCAAAAAAAGTCAGCGAGCCTGACCACCCAATTTCGTTAGTCGCCTCTTGCGACAAGCACAGTCGCCTTTTACGTCAAGCATGGGTTCTAATCTGGTTCTTCACGGGTCCATGGACATCTTTATTACACATGGTCACCTATATCACACATGGACACCTATATCACACATGGACACCAATATCACACATGGACACCTGTATTACACATGGTCACCTATAGCACACATGGTCACCTATATCACACATGGACACCTATATCACACATGGACACCTATATTACACATGGTCACCTATATCACACATGGAGACCTATATCACACATGGACACCTATATCACACATGGTCACCTATATCACACATGGACACCTATATCACACATGGACACCTATATTACACATGGTCACCTATATCACACATGGACACCTATGTTACTCATGGACACCTATATTACACATGGACACCTGTATTACTCATGGACACCTATATCACACATGGACACCTGTATTACACATGGAGACCTATATTACACATGGTCACCTGTATTACACATGGACACCTATATCACACATGGTCACCTATATCACACATGGACACCTATATTACACATGGACACCTGTATTACACATGGACACCTATATCACACATGGACACCTATATCACACATGGACACCTATATCACACATGGACACCTATATCACACATGGACACCTATATTACACATGGACACCTATATCACACATGGACACCTATATTACACATGGTCACCTATATCACACATGGTCACCTATATCACACATGGACACCTATATTACACATGGTCACCTATATCACACATGGACACCTATATCACACATGGACACCTATATTACACATGGACACCTATATTACACATGGTCACCTATATCACACATGGACACCTATATCACACATGGTCACCTATATCACACATGGACACCTATATCACACATGGACACCTATATTACACATGGTCACCTATATCACACATGGACACCTATATCACACATGGACACCTATATCACACATGGTCACCTATATCACACATGGACACCTATATCACACATGGACACCTATATTACACATGGTCACCTATATCACACATGGACACCTATGTTACTCATGGACACCTATATTACACATGGACACCTGTATTACTCATGGACACCTATATCACACATGGACACCTGTATTACACATGGACACCTATATTACACATGGTCACCTGTATTACACATGGTCACCTATATTATACATGGTCACGTGTATTACACATGGTCACCTATATTACAGGTGGTCACCTGTATTACACATGGTATACCTATATTTCACCTGGTCACCTGTATTACACGTGTAGCTTCTTCCCCGTCTTGAGAGTAGGACATTGATATCGGTGTAGACTGTAGCTATTGATATAGAGACTAATAAGTCTCCCGAGTTGTCTCCCTTTAGACAGGTTTCAGATTCAAACGTCGTTTTTGACGATGTAGGTAAGTGGGGATGTTTTGATACCATATATATAACATCAACAGCGCAGTTATGGTCGACTTACGGCAGCAGGAGTTGTTCCTCGTTGTGGAGACAGGTGTTGTTGACGATGGTGCAGGAGTAGGCCATGTCCCTGATGTCGGTGTCAGACAACTGGGACACCACGCGGCTGCTCTCCATTCCTGTACATGTTGAGTTAACGTCACAAATTGTATACACGCGAGTGCAGTGAAGGACATTTTACACCCAGTCTTGCTATAACCAATAACCCGTTGATAATCGAGTCTCTACCTGGAAGAGCCCCGTGAAGATCCGGGGTAGAATAGGTCTTCGGCAACCCATGCTTGTCGTAAAAGGCGACTAACGGGATCGGGTGCCCAGACTCGCTTGGTTGATACATGTCATCGTATCCCAAATGCGTGGATCGATGTTCAGGATATCGATCACTGGATTGTCTGGTCCAGACTCGATTATGTACAGACCGCGGTTATATAGCTGGAATATTGCTGAGTGCGGCGTTAATCAACAAACAAACAAACAAACTCTACTTGGAAGACCAGTTGTTGATTGTATGGGCAACTAGCCTCTCGTTGTGACTGTGATACACAATCAGGAGGACTTCCACGTGGTCCTCATATGGGCACTGAGTACAAGCAAGACTTGCTGGTATTCCAATATGCATCACTCAGTGTGAGATGAAGGTATTCGCATCGTTTGCAGCAATGTTCGGAGTGGACAGCAACACTGAACTAGTGAGTGAGTGTTGTTTTACGCCGCTTTTAGCACTATTCTAGCAATCTCAAGGCGGGGGACACCAGAAATGGGCTTCACACATTGTACCCATGTCGGAAATCGAACCCGGGCCTTCGGCGTGACGAGCTAACGCTTTTACCGTAAGGCTACACGAGCGCCCCGAACCTTGCAGCGTATAACTGTGATGGATGGTTGAGATAGTCAGCAAATAACATCTACCCATCTAGATGTTTGACGTATTGCACTGGATGACAAGTACTAAAACGAGCTGCTTTGTGCATTACAGTCAGAGACAAGTACCTACCGAGAGGCTTGAAGATGTTGTTGACGATGGCGTCGCCCCACATCGTCCCCGTCGCCCGCTGCAGCACCAACCCCGCCAAGACGTACAGGAAGTTGCTATAGATGTAGCGACTGCGGAACTGATACAACACAGGGAAATACTGCAGGCGACTGAAACACAAAATCATTTTCATAACAATAAAACATCTCTTCTAAAAGCAGAGTCCAGTATATGATTCCGACTATATCTTGAGAATGTGTTTATGAATCACTATCAAATAGTAATGATATCAGGTTTTCACGAAAAGTTTAACGTACCCTGACCCATCGGTGGCACCCGTCACAAACACATGCAAAGGCAAGTCAAAATAGGGAATTGCATCCGACATCTTCTTTGTCACTGATGCGTCAGCTTTAAATTAACTTTCTTCTATTCTGTCATAACATTTGATATTTAACTTTGTAAAGCACTATCCCACACGAAACACTGAAGGGAAAGCTTTATTCCATGATTCATGGGGCTTTTGTCACTAAATGTGGTGACCGTAGACACATATAGATACATCACTATCCCACACGAAACACTGAAGGGAAAGCTTTATTCCAGGATTCATGGGGCTTTTGTCACTAAATATGGTGACCGTAGACACATATAGATACATCACTATCCCACACGAAACACTGAAGGGAAAGCTTTATTCCATGATTCATGGGGCTTTTGTCACTAAATGTGGTGACCGTAGACACATATAGATACATCACTATCCCACACGAAACACTGAAGGGAAAGCTTTATTCCAGGATTCATGGGGCTTTTGTCACTAAATATGGTGACCGTAGACACATATAGATACATCACTATCCCACACGAAACACTGAAGGGAAAGCTTTATTCCAGGATCCATGGGGCTTTTGTCACTAAATGTGGTGACCGTAGACACATATAGATACATCACTATCTTCAGAGGTGCAGGACAATGGATCAAAACTGAAAGCAAATGTCCTCTGTAGTCTACTGAGGATATATTACACGACGTCCTCATTGATAACATCTGTGGGAACTTTGGGGATAGGATATTTTGACAAGAAGCACAAACTGTCATCCCCTTTTTGCTGATCGCTTTGTTTGTTAGGTTGGGTTTTTTTGTTTGTTGTTTAACAAGGACACAAAAGACCATTAAATAGTGGATGGAACATGACACGTATTGGAGAACACAGTGAGGAATATAAGTAGCCGTTTAGTTAGTTCTTTACAGCCAGACACCACTGATTAATGTTACAAAGGATAAATCTCAGGTTAACATTTTGTTTGTTGTTTAATGCCACACTCAGCAATATTCCAGCTATATGACGACGGTCCGCAATTAATCGCATCTGGACCAGACAATCCAGTGACTGACATCATGAGCATCGATCTACACAATTGGGATATGATGACATGAATCAACCCATACGACAAGCATGGGTAGCTGAAGACCTATTCATATCCGGAATCTTCACAGGATGATCTGTTTCGTTGTACGTATGAATCAGAATTTCTGCTCAGATTGGCAAAATCAAAACAAGGAAATTTGGACAAAACGTGGAACTTAATCTTCCTGGTATATCGATGATCTCATATCGTGGAATAAAGGTCAAATAGCCAGAGAGTCCAGTGACACCCTCTCATTTGTTTCATACAACTCTTGCTAAAAAGCTGTTTGATCAGGGTTACAGCATTCAAGGCCTCGGTATCTTTTTCTCAAAAGGTTGTAGAGGACATTTCCAAATTTGACTCATCAGTGAAACCTGTGAAACCTCTCCATTTTGACTTATACCATATGCTCCCTTGTCTTTTTTGGTGAACAATTGACTTGCCAGTGCATGTGTTTGAGACGTCTGCCATCAGCGAGGCAGTATACGCTCATACGTAAATGTTTAACGCCGCAATCCTGCCATACGACGGCATGTAAATAATCGAGTGTGGATCAGAGAAACTAGAGGTGGATATCATAAGCATCGAACCATACCAACGGGATACAAGTCATCTAACCGAGCAGGACCACCCGATCCCCATTTCAGAGGTGTCTTACCACAAGCATCAGCTGCAGGTACGGGTGAGTTGTTTGGCCCCAAACCACTCAGGGTAATGCGTAAGGAATAAATACAAGCGGCCAAACACTTTCCATATTAAATAGAAATGTCTGTTAAAAGCAGAGTCGATTGTATGATTCCGACTATATCATGTGTTTGTGAATCACTATAAAGTAGTGATGATACCAGGTACCCTGCCCCGCCGGTGGTACCCGTCACAAACACATCTACAGGCAAGTCAATTGTTCGCCTGAAATATACACAGGGACATATGGTACAAGTCGAAATAGGGAATTGCATCGGACATCATGTTTGTCACTGATGCGTCAAATTTTGAAATGTCCTCTTCATGTCTACCATTTATCATTTTGAACGCTTTACTGAGGCCTTGAATGTTGCAACCTTGATCAAACAACTTCTGAGCACTCTTTGAAATCGTGGTAGAAAGAGCATGCTAGATTGTATCTCAAAAGTTGTGAAATGCAAATACCTAAAGCTGGAATATTGCTAGACATGAAGGGAAAGTTGACTATTGGAAAGTTGAAGTCATGCCTCTTGTCATAGTCTTGTGGAGAGTGTTTTGTCACTCATATATGCATATCTCATCTATCTGTCTTTCTAATGAAATAGACGACGAAACGCGTTTTGTCACACTTCTGTCTGTATCATGACGACATTAGGGAAATTTGAACTGCAATGTCTGGATATATCTCAATAAACAGCGTACCAATTAGCATTTGGAAGTAAACCAGACACTATGATATGCTTCATCTTTCCAAGAGTAAGCCAATGTATTGACATTAGCATTGCTAAATGTGTATACACTATATATAGCAGCAGGCACAGAAAGACAGAGATAGATAGAGTGGGTGGCAGTATCAAGTTATCCTAATTTGGAGTAATTGTCCTAAATCGACAGACAATTTAATTTAGTGCACAATTCTTTCAATTGTCTCCAATAACACTGTCTGCTTAAAAAGCCGATCTCTGACAAATCTGGCAGCTCTACCCTCAACGCTTGATATTCAGGCACGGCTGTTGTTTAAGAGGGTAAATCTCTTCCTAATGGAAACACGTGGTAGTCGGATTCCCCGGTGTGAGGACTGTCCGGGGCGACTTGATCGACAGATAATTACACGACAACGACGATGTGTCGGGCAATGCAATGACGGAAACAGATTAGTCATGTCATCCAGGTCGGAACAGTACACAGAACAATGTACAGAACATTTACATAACAACGTACGGAACAACTGGCAGAACAAGAAACAGAAAAAAACACAGAAAAATCATGTGAACAATGTATAGAACAATAAACAGTAAACGTACACTGCCAAAACAATTAATGGAACAATCTACACAACAATGTATGGATAGAATAATTAAAGAACAATGCTCATAATAATGCACAGAACTATGACTAAAACAATGAAAGGAACAATGCCCTTAACGATACACAGAACCATGACCAAAACAATGAAAAGAACAATGCTCTTAACGATACACAGAACCATGGCCAAAACAATGAAAAGAACAATGCTCTTAACGATACACAGAACTATGCTTAAAACAATGAAAAACATAATACTTATGACAGTGCAAGAACTATGACCAAAACAATGAAAAGAACAATGCTTATAACAAGACACAGAACAGTGCTCAATACAGTGAAAAGAATAATGCTTATAACAATACACAGAACAGCGCTTAAAACAATGAAAAGAACAATGTTCATAACGATACACAGAACTATGACTAAAACAATGAAAGGAACAATGCCCTTAACGATACACAGAACTATGACCAAAACAATGAAAAGAACAATGCTCTTAACGATACACAGAACCATGGCCAAAACAATGAAAAGAACAATGCTCTTAACGATACACAGAACTATGCTTAAAACAATAAAAAGAACAATGTTCATAAGAATAAACAGAACTGTGCTCAAAACAATGAAAAGAACAATGCTTATAACAAGACACAGAACAGTGCTCAATACAGTGAAAAGAATAATGCTTATAACAATACACAGAACAGCGCTTAAAACAATGAAAAGAACAATGTTCATAACGATACGGGGAACTATGCCCAAAACAATGAAAAATATAATGCTCATAACAATACACAGAAACAGTGCTCAAGACAACGGAAAGAACAATCCACAGAACTATGACCAAAACAATGAAACGAACAATGCACAGAACAATATACAGAACAGTGCTTAAAACAATGAAAAGAACAATGCTCATAACAATACACAGAACAATGCTCAAAACAATGAAAAGAACGATGCTTATATTGATACACAGAACTATGCCCAAAACAATGAAAAGAACAATGCCCAAAACAATGAAAAGAACAAATTTTATTGGACATTTATGTTTCTCGAACCGAAAAAACTATGTTTCAGTTATTCATTCTCTTGTTCATTTTTGTTGTTTTTTCCGCATTTGTTTGTTGTCAAAAAAAAGAAAACCAAAATAGTGCTTATCTATATACATGATATATGTACCGTGACATATCTGTAGCTTGTGAGTGTCTGTATGATTGTTCATTTCTTTTGAGACCCACTGTGTCTTTGTTTATCATACTAACGTTCGATGTCGGTTGACATATTACAATATAGACAAGGAGTGGGTACATTTGCAGTGAAACTTCATGTTAAATACTCATTTGAGTTTCCGATTCGTGTACACATTTTCAAATTTCGATATTTGTATAATCTGCGATTACCAATTTTCTGTATTTTTCTACTCCTCTGCCGTGGAGTTGTTCACCCTCATCCTGTACCCAAATACCTTTAAGACTTAAATATTATACACCTAAATGTTCGTAGTCGTAGGGATAAATTAAACATTTTAAGTGCAGAATTCGGGTCGTATGATGTAATTTGTTTGACTGAAACATGGTAATTCGAAGCAATGAGGTCCCCGGTTTTCAATCCCCATTTAGAAAAGACAGAAAAACACATGGTGGTGACGTTTCGGCTTATGTTAAACATAATCTATGCGATAAAATAATGGGAAATTGAGAACTTGCCGAGCTTGAGGCGATATGGATGCAGGTTAAATGTAAAACTCAAAATTACTTAAGTGGTACATTTTATCGTGTTGATAAAAGTGTCCATCATTGGAATTTAATCGATGCGTCAATAGGCAACGCTGTTGATCTAAAAATGTTTACTATTGTTACTGGCGACTTCAATCTAGATATTCCATGCGAAACCACTCGAAAGATTGAAAATTACAAACTATGTACGGTTTAAAACAAATAATTACAGTCCCTACAAGAATAACCCCTAATTATCAAATTCCGATTGATTTTATATTCGTTTCCTGTGTAAACAATGTATGGATTTCCGGTATACTTGATCCAATCTGTAGCTCTATCTTTGTTAATATAAAAGAAACTATACCAAAAATACACCTTTAAGAGAAAAATATATAACCATCCCTTCGCAGATGAAGATGGTATAAACCAAGGTATTAATGAAATAGACTCCGATAGTCTATTCTCATCGGATAATATTCATATTATCACTGAAGATCTGACTTGAAGACTTAAAGACATATTCGAGAAATACATTCCAACAACGACTGTCACAGTAAGAACAAAGGATCCTCTGTGGAGAAATCATGAGATACGCTCTCGTATTAGGAAACGTAATCGTATTCACAAAATTGCTGAAATAGAAATCGACCATCAGATTGGGTAAAATGTAGGCTATGCAGGAATAAAAAGGAATAGCCCAAAGAGCTCATGAATTAAAAATAGATAACATCATAAGTACTAAGATCTTGTGGCGATTAGATAAAAATATGTCAAAACGCACACCGAAAACTCGTTTCCGTCAATAGTATCAACTAATATTTTGTATGATGATATGGTAGATATTACCAATGTCCTGAATGGATTTTTCACTGATCAAGCAAGAGTAAGAAACCCCGATTCTGACCTTCCATCTATTGGACCATATACAATCGACGATCCATTACTATCTGTGAATTTAAATCTAGAAGAGGTTCGTGATATTCTTCTTTCTGTAGATACGACTAAGGCAAGAAGGCCAGATGGTATAGATAACAAGTTATCTAAATTAACAGCGACTTGTCTAGCTCCGATCCTGACAGAATTATTCAAAACAAAACCTTTCCGTTAGTGTTGAAGCAAGCATCAGTAACGCCAATTCACAAAAATGCACACATGAATGCTCAAACTACAGACCTGTAGCACTCACAAATTGCTTTGCCAAAATTTGTGAAAAGTGTATTTTCAAATATGTGTTTCACTTTTTAAGGGAAAACGAATTGTTGACTAGTTTACACTCGGGATTCATGCTTGGTGACTCCACGTCTTATCAACTCACTTACCTGCATACTTTTATTGTAGGGCACTAGACGAAGGTAAAGAAATTAGAGCTGGTTATTGTGATGTCAGCAAAGCCTTTCATAGAGTATGGCATAAAGGAATCATTCATAAACTCAATGCTTACGGCATCCAAGGTGATCTTTTGAAATGTTTCGAAAGTTATTTTGAAAGTAGAGTAAAAAAAGTAGTCATTAATTGTTATAGCTCAGAATCAAAAGTTGTACAAGCTGGGGTCTCCCAAGGGTCGGTCCTTGGACCACTGCTGTTTATTGTTTATATAAACGACATTGTCGAAGGTATCGAGAGTAATTTACGCATATTCACAGATGATGCGTCCCTTATGTCATCATTGAAGATCAAATCCCGATAAGACCAAAACTATAACATTAAGTCGGGGGGGGGGGGGGGGGTCGGGGGTCGGGTAGCCTAGCGGTTCCCGACATGGGTACAATGTGTGAAGCCCATTTCTGGTGTCCCCCGCCGTGACATTGCTGGATATTGCTAAAAGCGGCGTAAAACCATACTCACTCACTCACTATACATTAGGAGTACTCTTATTAATGCCTAAGGAGTTTTAGATACAGATACAGACTTACAAAAAATATACTTGAAATTATGTACACATCTTTTACCCAACCTATCTTCGAATACTGTTGTCATATTTGGAACAATTGTACAAACGAACTCTCCTTGTTACTCGAGCATTTACATTTGGACGCATTGAGAACTATTTGCGGGGCGGTTCGTCGTACCAATCATGTTAACATTTATAACGAAACAAATTTTCAAACTTTAAAATAACGAAAAAACATCATTTCAAACTGATTACATTTTACAAAATGAAAAATCGGTATTTCACCTGCATATCTCAACGATTTCACTCCAAGTCAAGTTTTTGATAACAGCAATTATAACCTTAGAAATGTAGAATGTAGAACCCAGACCTATGCAAGATCATTCATCCACCTGACGAAGTAACTAATGCTCGCCCATTCAAAGAATTTAAATCCCTAACTAATCGTACAATTATTAATAACCTAGACTTAAAATACGGTCATAAATCATGCCAAATTGTACACTGTCGCCTTAGGCTCGGCTGCAGTGACTTACACGCTGATAATTTTAGACGACTTGTATCAGACATACCAGACTGCACTTGTGGATATCATTTTGTAAACGCTATTCACTTTTTCTCTACCTGTCAAAAATACGATATCAGAAACATTATGCATTTCTACATACATGCGTATGATTTAAAAACAATATTACATGTCAATAGTTCAGTCAGCATTTCTACAAACATGGCTATTCTTCAATCAGGTCACGATTTCATTGCCAAAAGCAAAAGATTTGAGTAGCTTAATTTTATGCATATAGTATGCATTATGCATCATTATATATATATATAAATACAGACGCCACGTGCTTCCATGTATTGGCTTCATGTATTTCATTTGTGCATTTTGTATGTTTATGTTTAGCACTATCTTATATATAACCAGCTGTTGTTAAGTTATTACCTGGAGAAGTATTTACATAAGCAAATTTTGCTTATTTGCCGATCCAGATTTCTTTTGAAATAAAAATATGTTTAAACCAAAATATTGTGTACAGTGGAGTACCCCTCTCTAAAATCAGCTTGTGCCTCATCTATTTTCTTAAACGATTCAGACCAAACTATTAATCGTCTATTCGTAATATCTAAAAATATTTTACTCAGTATGCTTATTAATGTGATGCCTCTGTAGTTATTGGTACCTTTTACATTACCTTGTTTCTGTAGAGGAATGATAATACCCACTGACCAATCTTTGGAAAAATTTGAATTTTCAAAAGATGCATTAAACAAAACTTCTAAATATGGGACAATTATATCTCATGAATTCTTAGAAACTCGGGTATTAGTTTGTCAATACCAGGAGATTTTTCTTTTTTCAATCTTTGTATACAAGAAGTAATTACTTCTCTTAAAATAGGAAAATCGAATATATCAGCCACTAAACTAGCCTCCCCACTGTCTATTTTCATGTCTTCATGCAAATCTCCACTGTTATTGTCAAAAGTTTCTAAAATGTTGATACAAGGTTTCTATGTTTATGTTATTATTATATATATATTTTGCCATCCAAGTGTTTAAGAGTAGACCAGAAATGTTTTGGATCATTTCTGCTGCTTTCTAGTCTTTCTCGCTGTCTCGCCTTGTATTCCCTTTTTAACTCCTGCATGTACTATTATTTCTAGCCTGGTTGTAAATAGATAAGGATACTACATCTTTTTTTTCTAAATTTATTTAAGCACCTTTATCTTTCCTTTTCGAGGAATTCACAGTCAAAATCAAACCATTTCTTATCTGAAATTAATCGACCAACTTTCCTTCTCATACACATACCAGCATTACACAATGCTTCAAGCAAACATTGCACGCTCTCATTGATATCAGTAAATGCCACTTCCATTGATCTGCGGGGCGGTCGGGTAGCCTAGTGGTTAAAGCGTTCGCTCGTCACGCCGAAGACCCGGGTTCGATTCCCGACATGGGTACAATGTGTGAAGCCCATTTCTGGTGTCCCCCGCCGTGATATTGCTGGAATATTGCTAAAAGCGGCGTAAAACCAAACTCACTCACTCACTCACTCCATTGATCTGCGAATTAATTCTTGTACACTATCAGAGTAAAAAGCATCTTGAAATTGTTCGTTCGTATCGTAATCCCACACAAACTTGAAACAATCACCTATATTACTAGGTGTGTTAAACATTGCACAGGACAATACCCAAAACTGCTCAGAACAATGAAAGAACAATTCACAGAACAATAATAAACAGTACACAAAACAGAGCTTAAAACAATGAACAATGCACAGAACAGTGCTCAAAACAATTAAAAACAATGCACAGAACAGTGCTCAAAACAATGAATAAACAGTTGGAAAAGACGAATGCTCAAACAATACATGTAACAATGGTAAAAACAATTGAACAATGCACAGAGCAACTCTGACAACAAATCACGGGTAAATGTACGTAACACTACACAATGACCAGAATAGTAAACAGAGCCGTGATACATATACCTAAAACAAGGGCTTATTTGAGTTGTAAGTTGCATTATCAAATAAACATAAACTTTTGTCTATGGATAATATTATCTATCCAGTCACACCATTTCTTCATGATACAGGTTAAGACAGCGGAGATAGTTCAACAGGATTCCGCAAAAGTGAAAGTATCATGAACAGGATCCAAATATCAACAAGATCTGACATCACATGCACATCTATCACCTTAATATTTATGAGTGAGTGAGTAAGTGAGTATGGTGTTACGCCGTTTTTAGCAATATTCAAGCAATATCACGGCGGTGGAGACCAGAAATGGCTTTCACACATTGTACCCATGTGGGGAATAGAACCTGGGTCTTCGGCGTAACGAGCGAACGCTTTAACCACTGGACTACCCAATGGCCTTCTTAATATTTGTGATGAAACATAGCAACCAAGTACTGTGAGTGTAACTCCGACCCATCTATATACGAGTGAATACATTTCATGTCACCATTTTTAAGCAACAAGCATAACAGGTCTATGCGGGTTCCTTTGAACATAAAAGAGGATTCAAACAGTGGATATGGCGTTCTACGCGAATATCCCCCCTCAAAATTCAAGAAAGCATGCCCATAGTACTCACTGTGCCAGTTGTTCTATCGTCAGGTTAAGGACGGCTTGACTCAGGCCGTAATACGACGGCATCCCGAGGCGATGGGAGAGTAGGTCCTTCAGGGATGTTCGCTTGGTTCGGAACTCATTCTGGAGTTTGAACCTCGGACCTAACAGCTTCCGTATCGGCGTCTCCCAATCCGTCAGACCCTTCGCAACGGCGTCGGCCGCCAACGTCGCTGTAAACGACTTCGAAATCGATGCCATACTTATGAGCGTTTGGTCCGTCATCCGAGCACCTGTTACCACGTTGGCGACTCCATAGCCTGCGGTGTAGACGATGTGTCGCTTTTTCACCAAGGCAACACTGACGCCGGTTACGTTACGACATTTCATCACTGTTCGGATGAACTCATCCAAGGAATTCTTCTCCTCTATCCCGAACGTTGACAAGACGGTCGGAAGGAAAAATAACACCAAACCCGGAACTGCCACACCTTGCATTGTCCCGTCTGTGAGGAAACCAGCCACTGCTACATCTGTGTCTAACATATAAGACACCTATCTTACAGCCTGGTAAAGGATTATCGTGAAGTCGATCAGATGCATGTGAAATCCAGGGGATATGCGAGATGTACCGCTGTCCATAGCCTAGGATCGACAAGCAGCGCTCAGCTACCTGGGAGCACAGAGATACAACCCGGATAACGCCGCTCAGCCTTCGACCGACGTGATGAGAATCACTATCAGTTAACTTGTACTACGGCTTACGAGGGATTACTTCTAGGTAATAGCTTCGCTCGCTGTAGTCCAAGAATTCCTGTAGTGAAATTAAGTGTCAGTAATATTAGATTCCTCCAGCGTTATGTAGTGGAAATGTGTGTCAGCCGGGACAACCAATAGCGCGTGTTGAGCATTCGGCGACAACAAACACATACTATACCCTGATGCATTCTGTTCCAGCGACCTATATACAACATCACATATGAATAGTTATAACTATGTGTGAATGTTAACCCATGCTGAAAGTTATCGCACAGTTTTGTTGAAGGAGGTCTCGCCTTGAGCAAATTCGCACTCCAAGAAAGATTGATTCACGTCGTTCACAAACTCCTATAGTTATCTAACTCGAACTTTATGACGTACATCACTGTAGTATTATATTATGATCTTAATTCCCGAGAGATATTGTCTTAATTTTACACATGATACAAATTACAAACTCTAGACCTGGACTTACATGGGATCCAGAGTGATTAATGAAGCCGCCCTTTAGGGATGGGAGACATACACTTGTCACCTTCACTCTGTTCAGAGGACCCTGGCAAAAACAAACCTTCTTATTCTGAATAATGTACACAAGAGACGGATATTTTTTTTGTTCTCAGCTAAAGCAAATATCTAACATTTTGTTGAAAAATCACAACACGTAAATTAGAAAAGAAAACTTATATATTATTTCCCATAATACATATCTCCAAGTATGGAATTTAAATCCGAAATAGCATATCATAAACCTTTCAAAAGAAGATTCAAGTTAAAAACCAACGACCCACACAGTTTACAGATGAGCATAGGTGGCCCAGTCGTCTAAGGCAGAGTTGCGTCCCTTGGGCACGCCAGAAACCTATGTTTGAGGGTTCGAATCCCGGTTCGCCCCGATTATCTTTCTAGGTTTGTCAGCACCATACCCGTGCTCGTGGGTTTCACCACATGGGTAAATGTCTGAGACCTGCATCACTTTGGGCATCCCTCCCACAGTTAGCTGTCAGCTGGTTTACTGTTCAAAGTAGCTTTAAAACCCAACTCACTCCCTCACTCACTCACTCCCAGGGCAGCATAATGAAGTGCAAACCCTACGATAAGAATTAGTCCTGTCCATAACTACGTCACAATGTTTAACATGTTTGTATTATTTCAGTAATTAGTGACTTTTTTCATAATTGACTGATGTATGTTTGATGAACGATTTCAGACATTCTACTTTATTTACCTTTGCAATAACGCATTAAAACATGTCCAGATTAACAGATCATTAGTTGTGCTGATGTAGACATTTCCGGATTAAACGGTGCACGGGCTAACAAGGGTTCACAGAACAAAATTGTACCATAATTGTCTCATCCTTGTAATGCCTTAGTGAGTGAGTATTGTTTTACGCCACTTTCAGAAATATTCCAGCCATATCACAGCGGGGGAGACCAGAAATTGGCTTCACACATTGTACCCATGTTGGGAATCGAACCCGGGTCTTCGGCGTGACGACCTCACACTTTAACCACTAGGCTACCAAACCGCCCCGCAATGCCTTTGTATTAATTAGGGCTGTACATATGACTATAAAGCAAACAAAACATTGCAACATGTTTATTTTACAAAATTCGTGAACAAATGATGGTTTAAGGATGATTTTCATTGTTTTTAGTTTTAGGCACAACAAAACATTGCTACACGCATGCGCGTGCGCATACACTATCATCCTTCACTGACTGGATGACCTACTGAAGACTGGCGGTTTATTGAACTCCAGGTAGGGGATTCTAATTGATGACACGGTTCCCTGGTCATCCCTGGAGAACGAGAGTGGAAACCCTTTGGGGTATTCAGGATAACCGACTATTCGAAAAGTGAGCGGGAAATCCAGAGTCTGGTAGAACTGATCACCTGACTTAAGGTTAAGGTCACCGCGCAGCAGGACGCCGAACGAATACTTGAGTTGCCCGCCATCTTGAAACACCCGAAAAGTCCCAAATGCTGGATGAATATAGTCGCCAACATATTCGCTGATGTCGGCGGGGTCGTCCGTCGCTGTGGCATCCTCGTAAGCGTTCCGCCTGGGTCGGGGCTGTTTCGGGGGGTCCCAGGGGGCCGGGTAGGTGCACCCTGTGGTGGAGTTTAACCACGGAGTCTCACCTGCATCAAACAGTCAATGAGGAAGTGAATTCCCTGTCTGCGTGTTCCTATTTATACTACCTTGTAAAGATTGTTTCTGAATACTTGTAGAACACCCATCCACATCAGTTTACTGTACTATATTATTATTATTATTATTATTATTATTATTATCATTATTATTATTATTATAATAATAATCTGCATTTCAGAGCTGAATGCTCGCAATAAAGATAAAGCCACAAATACTTATGCTGTACCCGTCCGTTCATATTCGTCTGGTGTTGTTGATTTGACGAAACAAGAAATTCAGGGTTTTGACACCCTCACACGAAGAATCATGTCAGACAATAGATCCCACCACCCTCGCTCTTCCCTCAATCGCTTATATTTACCATTGATAATAGGAGGGCGTGGTTTGATTAATGTGGAGGCTCTTCATGATAGAATTGTTTTGAGCACTTTTGCACACATTCATTTGTCTGATGAACCTTTTGTGAAGCATGTCAAGACTCATGATGAAAACAAGGCATTCCACAGTTTATTTAAACGAGCCAAGGGTGTGGTACATTATCTCAATGTCAGTGTTGATTTTGTTGATGGTTCTGTACTGCTGGACGGTACAGAAATGAGTGTCAACCAAGCGAAGTGCCATATGAAATCAGCCCAGACTAAGTTTTTCAAGGAGAGGCTGTCTGAACGACCACTGCATCGAGTTTATGTGAAGTGTGTTGAGAAGTTCGGCAATCCTGCAGAGTCCTTCACTTGGATGAAGTCGGCTGGCCTGAAAAGTGAAACAGAAGGCTTTCTGTTTGCTGCTCAGGACCAGTCACTTCCCACTCGAAACAGTCAATGTGTGATTTTGCATCAAAATATATATATGAAATGTAGATTATGAAATGAATTTAATGAGACTGTCCAACACATTGTCAGTGGATGCTCAGCTTTGGCACAAACACAGTATCTTAAGCGACATGATGGAGTGGCCCGATCATGTTATTACCGTCTTCGCCATGCTTGTGGTTTTGACACAGAGGTCAATCCATGGTACGACCCGGAATATGTAGAGGGCGTCATGGGAAATGATAAATACATAATTCTTTGGAATAGGCCCGTATACAGCCTCAGACGTATCCAGGCCAACAAACCTGATCTTGTCCTTTTTGATAAATCCAATGAAATCATTTATGTTATTGAATTTTCTGTCCCTTGACAATAATGTGATTGACAAGATTCAGGAAAAACATGGCAAATATGCGGACCTCGCGTTCGAAATGTCACGCTTGCATACCAAGTACCAAGTTGTGGGACTCCCCATTGTTCTGGGTGCCTTAGGTTTGGTACCTCCCAATCTGTTGACTGACAATGGGAGAGTACCCGTGTTTGCTACAAGGAATACAGCCCTTCTGACTATCTGGGTAATGCAGAAGGCTGCAGTTTTGGGGAGTCTACACATTCTCCGAAAAGTTCTGGGTGGGTTTGATTAGACAGCGCTTCCTGGGAGAAGTCCCATTCGCTATCAGGGCTGCGTGTAGATGGGGCAAGGGCCCTGAGCTGATGATGAGCTGAACCAGCCTGACTGTGCCAGGATCACCCAAACCCTCTTTGCTGCATTTTTTATTTTAATTTGTACATCATCATCATCATCGTCGTCGTCGTCGTCGTCATCATCAATTATTATTAATAATAATAATAATAATAATAATAATAATAATAATAATGATAATGATGATAATAATAATAATAATAATAATAATAATAATAATAATAATATTTAAAAAAAATTAATAATAATAACATCCCGATGAGCCTTCTAGGTATTGTTCTATTTAAACAGTGCTATTTCAACTTCAAAATGACAAAATGACCACAAAGGCTTTAGGTACCCAGCAAAACGTCGAGGGCGTACATGGTGATGACGTCGCGGACGGTTTCCCCCTCCCCGTTCCTGCTGCCGGTGATGCCGACCCACACCCCAACCCCAACATCCGGGAGGAAGGTGAGGGTGGCACTGTAGCTACTGTACTCCCCCGTGTGGAATGTCTTCACGTACCCTGCAACACAGACGGCTCTCGTCAACGACACAGACACAGACACGAGTAAGTCAACATAACGCAACAGTTAAAATCTATTATAACTCGTTAAGAGTCGAGCTGTCTGATTGGCCAGATGTCATCTGGTAAGAACTCATGCAAATCAGCTTGTCTCCCTGTTCGGATGTCTTGACGCAATAATGTTTGATATGACGTTAGTACTTGCAGTGTATAAAAATTCCCAAAATTTCAGTCAGACAACCGAACTGACTTTGAAAAGTTACCAGACCAGATAAAATGTTGCTTGTTCAGAATATCCTAGACAAACGATCGCAAGTAACAAAAGGCTAGTACCGTTTAATGTTTGTTCTCATCGGTATCTGAAAACTCATATCCATAATTACAGAACAGCCGATATCCCACCCATATAGAATACATGCCCATTGCTAGGGCGTCGCCATTTTGGCAACAGTAACCAGAGCTCCATACACACAGTAGGCATCGCACTTTTAGAGAATATTAGTACATGCACTGTTATGAACAATACAAGCCGAAAATATTAACTACGAGCGTTCTGATTGGATGATTTCGAGCATTTAGCCAACATTAAACGAGGACAGAAATTTGATATCAACATACGAGGAAATAACTCAATAATGTGTTCAACGTATACAGTTAATTTACCTCTCACATTGAATTAAAACTAGAATGCTTAGGTAATTTAGGGAATACAATAATAGCCCGACCATCAAAACTGACCCTCCGTCAGCAAAATAGATCGTCTCGGGCTGTCGGACAGGCGGATATTTTAAACATTGGTGCTTGCCAGGCCACAACTGTCCGTGTAGCTTGTGAACTCCCAATGATACATTGGTTTCTTGTGCCAATAGCGATAACATCGACAGCGATGGGGGAAATGATGTTTGGGGTGATCAATCGAGATTTCTCCTACGTCGTTTTCCAGCACGACACTGCTCGACCATACTCCATTCACAATATTTCCTAGCACAGAAACACATTCCTGATCTCCAGTGGGTTAGATGAACTTGATAGGCGTATACGATGACGTCATCGTGAGCCTCAAACATTGTAGGGCTTGCAACAAAAGTGGAATAAGTCTGGAATAATAACTTATTAAAGACCCAAACATAAACGTCTAGTTTTCGCTATTATTACTCTACCATTGTAAATTCCCTTCATCCAACCAAGGCCGTAGTCGAAGCTGAGGTTGTCGACTGGGAATGTGTCGCGGTGGATGCCACCAAGACCCATCGTCATAGAGGCGTCGTGAGTCTCCTTCAGCACAGACTTCGTTATGACCTGACGCCCTGCGCTGTCCTGCATACAGGGAAATAGTCAAGAGTCAGTATTGCATATGCATTCAATTGTAAACTTTTTACTGCAGTGCTATTACGTTCTTACGTTCGGTAAGATACGGTAACCATGGTGAATAAACAAAGTCGAGATAAGTAATAATGATGTTTTGCCCGTGAACATTAATTGGCGAGGAATGATAATATATTTTTTGGCCCACCGAAAATGTTATCTGTAGTGGGGCACTTGCTCACATTTATTCCAAATTCTGCTAACACTTTGCTGGGATCATGAGGGCAATGATCCGATATGAGATTGTCTTTATTCTCCTGATCGAACATACAATATGGCCGTCATATCACCAATATTGAAAAAACACATTTTCCTTGCTGTTGCCCACCATTTTTGGTCAGAATGTAATGAGATATGGTTTCAAGTTTGTAGTTTTTCGCGATAGTAAAACATGTTAGACCGTGATTTTGCTTGTGCAACATGACAAAGTTCCTTCATTCTCTCGAAATGCATTTCTGGGCTATGTAAGCATAATCTCCTCAGAGACCACGACAGCAATGACGCTGAACGTCACGTTTGTTGCCTCTAATTGTGACGCCTGTATTAGTTCAAGCGGTTCGATTACGTTTTTCAAAATACCCGCCACAACAGCCACATTGAAAGATCCTATTTATGGTCTTTATTTGGCAAGTTTTTTTAATGGCCTTTGGTATGCGTTTAGTTATTACTAGTGAGGTTTAAAACTTATTCTATTTTTTCGCAATATTTTCAGATATTCGCAATTTTGGCATCCTCTGTGAACTTCCCAGGGATGAGGTGAGGTGAAATGGGGTTTAACGTCGAGATTATTGCACTTATATAGAGGTGAGGTGAAATTGGGTTTAACGTCGCGTCCAAGATTATTGCACTTATATAGCGACGTGCATGCACGTGTATGTGTGTGTGTGGCTGCTTGTACTAGTCCGGACTGATGCCGATTTATAGTGCTAGCTATAGTGCTGACTCCGAGCCGACCAGTCCTTGTTTTAGCCCCTTAATGCCGAGCGCCAGACAGGGTAACAACAAGTACAATCTTTTAACGTCTTTTTGTATGACGCGGCCCGGGATCGAACCCTGGACCTTCCGCTCTCCGGGCGGACGCTCTACCACAAGACCACGGAGGCGGTCACTTATATAGAGACGTGCATGCACCTGTGTGTGTGTGTGTGTGTGTGTGTGTGATTGTGTGTGTGTGTGTGTGTGTGTGTGTGTGTGTGTGTGTGTGTGTGTGTGTGTGTGTGTGTGTGTGTGTGTGTGTGTGTGTGTGTGTGTTGCCGCTTGTACTGGTCAGGATTGATGCCGATTTATAGTGCTAGCTCACTGAGATACCATGCCACAGTTTAACATGAATACCCCACTCAGACACAGTATACTGACTCCGAGCCGACCAGTCCTTGTTTTAGCCCTTTAATGCCGAGCACCAGACAGGGTAACAACAAGTACCATCTTTTAACGTCTTTTGGTATGACGCGGCCGGGGATCGAACCCCGGACCTTCCGCTCTCCGGGCGGAAGGTCTATCAACAAGACCACGGAGACAGTCGAACTTGCAAGCAGGTAGAAAATCAACTTTGGCATGTGTCTTTCTCCTTATGACGTCATCATATTATGTTGATTACATCATAAGGATTTTAGTGGTGTTTTTGTCAATATTAATCTACGAAACAGTTTAATCTTAATTCTGACAGCAACGTTAGTTACGTGTTAAACTGTTGACAATAAACTCATGTGATCTACAGCTCTACTTGACTTAATTCCTTGAGTGAGTGAGTATGGTTTTACCGCTTGTAGCATTATTCCAGCAATATCACGACGGGGGACACTAGAATTGAGTTTAACACATTGTACCCATGTTGGGAATCGAACCCGGGACTTCGGCGTGCGAAGCCTTTTATTACTAGTCGCCATTTTAAGGTTTTCGGACATAGATGTGGCTAAAATGCATACTTGGTACCGACCGTCTTCCCTTCAAGGGAAACTCTAACAGTGAAGAAGTCGGTGACCTTGTGTGTACACCGTCTTTACCTCAACTCTTAAACATTAATTCACATTCACAGAAGCGCCGTGGCGTAGCCTAGTGGTTAAAGCGTTCGCTTGTCACGCCGAAGACCCCGGTTCGATTCCCTATATGGGTACATTATGTGAAGCCCATTTCTGGTATCCCTCGCCATGATATTGATGGAATATTGCTAAAAGCGGCGTAAACCCATACTCACTCACTCACTCACTCATTCACAGAAACATACCTGATAATTTCCATAGCGATTTTTTTTAAAAACAATCATCAAGAAATTCAGATTTTAAAGGCCAAAATGGGTCCCCTCCTTTGTGGAGATAGCTATTGGCAGGGTTTTACAAATTTGATAATTTTATGAGCAGCTGGGTTAGCGCCCAACATTACACATGTGTGTACCTGCATGAGCGACCAACATTACACATGTGTGTACCTGGATGAGCGACCAACATTACACATGTGTGTACCTGGATGAGCGACCAACATTACACATGTGTGTACCTGGATGAGCGACCAACATTACACATGTATGTACCTGCATGAGCGACCAACATTACACATGTATGTACCTGGATGAGCGACCAACATTACACATGTGTGTACCTGGGTGAGCGACCAACATTACACATGTGTGTACCTGGATGAGCGACCAACATTACACATGTGTGTACCTGGATGAGCGACCTACATTACACATGTATGTACCTGCATGAGCGACCAACATTACACATGTGTGTACCTGGATGAGCGACCAACATTACACAAGTGTGTACCTGCATGAGCGACCAACATTACACATGTGTGTACCTGGATGAGCGACCAACATTACACATGTATGTACCTGGATGAGCGACCAACATTACACAAGTGTGTACCTGGGAGAGCGAGCAACATTACACATGTGTGTACCTGGATGAGCGACCAACATTACACATGTGTGTACCTGGATGAGCGACCAACATTACACATGTGTGTACCTGGATGAGCGACCAACATTACACATGTGTGTACCTGCATGAGCGACCAACATTACACAAGTGTGTACCTGGATGAGCGACCAACATTACACATGTATGTACCTGGATGAGCGACCAACATTACACATGTGTGTACCTGGATGAGCGACCAACATTACACATGTGTGTACCTGGATGAGCGACCTACATTACACATGTGTGTACCTGCATGAGCGACCTACATTACACATGTGTGTACCTGGATGAGCGACCTACATTACACATGTGTGTACCTGGATGAGTGACCTACATTACACATGTGTGTACCTGGGTGAGCGGCCTACATTACACATGTGTGTACCTGGGTGAGCGACCTACGATACACATATGTATACCTGGATGAGCGACCTACATTACACATGTGTGTACCTGCATGAGCGACCTACATTACACATGTGTGTACCTGCATGAGCGACCTACATTACACATGTGTGTACATGGATGACCGACCAACATTACACATGTGTATACCTGCAAGAGCGACCGACATTACACATGTGTGTACCTGCATGAGCGACCAACATTACACGTGTGTACCTGGATGACCGACCTACATTACACATGTGTGTACCTGGATGACCGACCTACATTACACATGTGTGTGCCTGCATGAGCGACCAACATTACACGTGTGTACCTGGATGAGCGACCTACATTACACATGTGTGTACCTGCATGAGCGACCTACATTACACATGTGTGTACATGGATGACCGACCAACATTACACATGTGTATACCTGCAAGAGCGACCGACATTACACATGTGTGTACCTGCATGAGCGACCAACATTACACGTGTGTACCTGGATGACCGACCTACATTACACATGTGTGTACCTGGATGACCGACCTACATTACACATGTGTGTGCCTGGATGACCGACCTACATTACACGTGTGTACCTGGATGACCGACCTACATTACACATGTGTGTACCTGCATGAGCGACCAACATTACACGTGTGTACCTGGATGACCGACCTACATTACACATGTGTGTACCTGGATGACCGACCTACATTACACATGTGTGTGCCTGGATGACCGACCTACATTACACGTGTGTACCTGGATGACCGACCTACATTACACATGTGTGTACCTGCATGAGCGACCAACATTACACGTGTGTACCTGGATGACCGACCTACATTACACATGTGTGTACCTGCATGAGCGACCTACATTACACGTGTGTACCTGGATGACCGACCTACATTACACATGTGTGTACCTGCATGAGCGACCAACATTACACGTGTGTACCTGGATGACCGACCTACATTACACATGTGTGTGCCTGGATGACCGACCTACATTACACGTGTGTACCTGGATGACCGACCTACATTACACATGTGTGTACCTGGATGACCGACCTACATTACACATGTGTGTGCCTGGATGACCGACCTACATTGCACATGTGTACCTGGATGACCGACCTACAATACACATGTGTGTGCCTGGATGACCGACCTACATTACACGTGTATGCCTGGATGAGCGACCTACATTACACATGTGTGTGCCTGGATGACCGACCTACATTACACGTGTGTGCCTGGATGACCGACCTACATTACGCATGTGTGTGCCTGGATGACCGACCTACATTACACATGTGTGTGCCTGGATGACCGACCTACATTACACACGTGTGTGCCTGGATGACCGACCTACATTACACACGTGTGTGCCTGGATGAGCGACCAACATTACACATGTGTGTATCTGGATGAGCGACCTACATTACACATGTGTGTACCTGGGTGAGCGACCTACAATACATTTGTGTATAGCCGCAGTGTGTGTAGTCGCAGTGTGTGATCGCAATATGTGTAGATGCAGTTACCTTGCCTCCGCTGATGTGGAACTTCATCCACTTGGTCATGTCCACAGCGTTAGTGTACACGCCGGCAGCAGGGTTGATCTCTCGCACTATCCTGTGTATAGAAGTACACTTTACATATACATAGTATACGTGGTGTATAGCTTCCTCCCCATCCGGAGCGGTCGGGTAGCCTAGTGGTTAAATCGTTCGCTTGTCACGCCGAAGACCCGGGTTCGATTCCCGACATGGGTACAATGTGTGAAGCCCATTTCTGGTGTCCCCAACCGTCATATTGCTGGAATATTGCTAAAAGCGGCGTAAACCCATACTCATTCACTCCTCCCCATACTGTACAGAGACATACTTTCTTAACACACTGTACACATAACACACGCACTTACACATTTTATACGCACGTACACATAGCATACGCACTAACACAACGCATACGCAGGTACGCATAACATAGACATTGTATATACACACGCACACATAACATACGGGCTTACACATTGTATACGCATGTACATATAGCAAACGCACGTACATATAACATACGCACTTACACATATCATACGCATTTACACATAACATACGCACTTACATATAACATACGCACTTACACATACCATACGTACTTACACATAACATACGCACTTACATATAACATACGCACTTACACATATCATACGCATTTACACATAACATACGCACTTACATATAACATACGCACTTACACATAACATACGCACTTACTCATTGTATAGCACTTACACTTAGCATACGCACTTACACTTAACCTACGCACTTATACATAAGATACGCACTTACACATTTTATACGCACATACACATACCATACGCACTTACACTTAGCATACGCACTTACATTTAGCATACGCACTTACACATAACCTACGCACTTATACATAAGATACGCACTTACACATTTTATACGCACATACACATACCATACGCACTTAAACATAACATACATACATACACATAACATACGCACTTACACATTGTATTCGTGTTCCGCTGCATTCACCACTAGTCCAGTAATATCAGGATGGGGAGACTGGGAAAGCGCCTCACACACTGCACTCGTGTTGGGAGGTCGAGTACATCGCGAGTCGACGCCCTCTCCACCCAGGCTACCTCGACGCCCTCCATCACGATAACAACTTATGTACACCATGAGATACGGGTTGTGTATATGTTGGTTTACACTGCAGTCCGTGTTATTGACGTCGGAATGTAAAAAATCGAATCTAGACCAGACAAGCCAGTGGTTGATATATGTGACCCATCAGGAGAAAAGAGACCTTTTGGGTGCTAGGACACAATTGTGCTGTGACGTGATAAAGAAAGACGTTCGACATAAACTTACTTCCGTAAAAGTCGACATGTGTGGGGCGATGTACATCAATTTCGTATTGTTTTCTCGTAAGTTTGTTATGTAATAAAAACGTTATTTCAATGCATTTCAGCATGCCTATTTTCAATTAAACAGACATTATATCTCAAAACTGCAGTTATTACATAAACAGTCACATGCATAAGTCTGAAAATGGAACTTTGCAGAAAATGAGTCAAAATGTTTGATGCCATGTGACCATGTAATAAATATGTATTAAAGCTTATGAACTGTACTCATGTGGTCCTAAGATACTGTAGTTTTAAATAATAAGAAGAAGTAAAAAATGTGATTTTTCACCAATAAGGTCCCTTAATTCATAGTTGGTCACATATTTCATATTTTGAGAAATACGTCCCGCGCCATCATGATATATAACCTGCCTCGAAGCGGGGCGGTGGGGTAGCCTAGTGGTTAAAGCGTTCGCTCGTCAAGCCGAAGGCCCGGTTCGAATCCCCAATTGGGTAAATCGTGTGAAGCTCATTTCTGGTGTCCCCCAAAGTGATATTGCTAGAATATTGCTGAAAGCTTGGTAAAACCACACTCACTCACTCACTCACTCATCTTGGAGCAGCTGGTAGGCTTACGGCATTAAAGCTTTCTCTGGGTTCTGCACAGCCGTGGAGTTGATGACAGTGTAGGAGTAGGCGGTGTTGGACCAATCAGCTGCCGTCAACGTCGTGCTCACGCGACTTCCGGTCATATCTGGGCAAACATGGCACATCTAGAACTTCCATTATCGTGTCTCCAAACAAAGAGTCTGTCAAGAATCAGAAATGAATGCTGAGCCAATGCATCATGCATGTATAACAAACTAAATCCCATGCATGACGTTCACGTAAATCATAGTCATGGAACGACATGGAAGAGACAAGTGAGTGAGTATGCTTTTACGCCGCTTTCAGCAATATTCCAGCAATATGACGGCGGGGAAATCCACAAATGGGCTTTACATATTGTAACCATGTCGGGAATCGAACCCGGGTCTTCGGCGTGACGAGCGAACGCTTACCCGACCGCCCCTGGAAGAAACTAAGTGTGTAGAACTTAAACAGTGTGAGTAAAAACAACGTATACCACAGATGAAGTAAACTACCGGGCGAAAGTAAGTATACACTGCAACATTGGATATGACCAAAATATAACAAACGTTTTCAAAACGTTACTGGGCTGAAAACAGTCGCGGAAACACTGCAAACCTAAAGTCCATAACACATCTCGTATTATATACATCACTATCGAATAACTACTTCTTGCTGTTAGACGTGGGTGTATAATTTCTTTTGCCCGGAAGTTTGTATTGCCCGGAAGTTTGTATAGCCCGGAAGTTATACAGGGTCTACCGACTTAGTGGTTTGTATATGCGGTTATACACTCCGTCCTCCCAGGTCTCGCCCGTAGCGTTCTCCAAGGCCGCCCCCGCCACCACGAACAGGTAATTGCTGTACAGGAAGCGCTGACGGAACTCGTATCGAACAGGAAAATCCTTCAGCCGTCTGACCATTATGCGAACAAGGAAGTGCTATGGGTTAATTCATATACAGATCAATATACATAAACTGCAAGTGATTCCATGGCACTTGACTGACTAACCAAACAATTATTTACGTTTATGTTACCATTAACCTAAAAATATACAAATTAGGCCGTGCCCTCTAGCACACAATTGTTTCCTGATTTGACTGATTATTGAGTAGGCGTCACAGTTTTCGTATCGTAAAGATGTTTTGTGTTAATGATGTGTTTTTTTGTTAAAACAGTTAATGCAATTATAAAGTGCATTATGTATGATTCTTAATTTGCCCTTTGTTTCTTTGAGAGGCATTTAGAAGTTGGAGTACTTAGTAAAGATAAGATATATGGATGAACAACTTCTTTTTTACAATTTGGTTCTGACACCGATATCAAGCAACACTTCCTGGATATGGTAGTTAGAACCTACACCGAAACGTCGCTGCTAAACGTAATTAAGAACTTTTTCATCCATATATCTTATATTTACTAACCATTTGTTGATTTAGTTTACTATTTCCGCTGATACTTTTGTCAAATTCCACCATAAAGCTCCCAGTGTAACACAATTCCTATATTATCTTTAATAATATACATACTAAGCATCATAAAAATAAGTGAGTGAGTGAGTTGTGTTTAACGCCGCTTTTAACAGTATTCCAGTCATATCACGGCGTTCATAAAAATAAGAAACATCAGAAACATACTAAACATAGTTATCATCATAAGGCGCAATGTAGTAGTGACCTTGTAGTATATGTACTGACATATATCTCAGTTAGCGTGAGGGAGGGTGAGGGGGGGGGGGGGGGACGACGGGTGGACCTGTCGTCTAAGGCGCCGCGATTCGCTGTGCAGAGTTGCGTCCCTTGGGCACACCAGAAACCTATGATTGTGGGTTCGAATCCCAGTTCGCCCCGATTAGTTTAGGTTTGTCAGCATGTCCGTGCTCGGGGGTTTCACCGAAGTGGTAAACGTCTAAAACCTGCATCACTTCGGGCTTTCCTCCCACATTAAGCGGACACGCCGTGGTATAACTGGTATACTGTTAAAAGCGGCGTTAAACCAAGATAATTTTGATATTTCAGTGACAAAATGCAACTCACTCGGCGATGTCCACGAGGGTGAGGTTCATGACGGCGGTGCTGAGGCCCCAGTAGGACGGCATGCCGAGGCGGTGAGACAGGAGATCCCGTAGAGAAGCCCTCTCCGACCGGAACTGGTCCTGGAGCCGGAAGCCAGCAGGGAAAATATTCTTGAGAGGTTCGTCCCAGGTGACCAGTTTTCTAGCGACGGCGTCAGCGGCAAGGGTGGCTGTGAACGCCTTCGACTCCGACCCGATGTTGAGCAGCGTGGTCTCCGTCAACGGCGCGTTTGTTGTGATGTCCCTCAGTCCAAACCCCTTCGTGTAGACACTCCCGTCCTTTTTAACTAGCGTAAGAGAAAGACCTTTGACGTCGCGACACTTCATGACGTCGTTGACGTAGCGTTCAAGATCTGCGAATGTCGCTGCATCTTGTTTTGGGCGTCCGGGATGAGTAACACATGATCCCAGTAACAGAAACAGAGAGGCGAGCGCCTTCAGCATCTTGAGCGTGTAATGTCGAAGGACACACTGAAGCTGATTCGCATGCCCTGTGTTGAACTGACCCACTTCACCTCTACCATCCCACCCAGCAGTCAGATAACACGGGGGTCATACCATGGTTGTCATCTCCGGCACAACACAACATCGCCATCCGTCTCATCCATAAATCGTGCCACCGAAAATTACCGGCATGTTTAGTGAATACTACCCTGATGTATCAAGATTAAAAGGTTCATGATACCAACACTTTAAAGAATTACCAAAATTCGAAAATTTCATATTACTTAAAAAAATATATGCTTACTGATTTCAAAATTTCGCACATCAAATCATCATTTGCCCATTGAAACCGGCCGATGGCGAGGGTTACTGAGAGAAAAGCGTGTCTTTACAGTATGCCATTCATCTGCTGTTGGAGACGGGTTTCACTATCTTTTTAGGTGTGAAGCTTTTCCCAAAGAATTGTTATATTTGGCCAAATATGTTTACAATACGTAAAATATTATCACCTAAAACTATATACACTTTGAAACAACTGTCCAGATTCAATTCAGTTTGGGGGCGGTGATTTTCTCGTTCTCATACAAGTGTTCGCTCGTCACGTTCGATTCCCTACATGACTATAATGTGTGAAGCTCATTTCTGGTGTCCCCCGCCGTGATACTGCTGGAATATTGCTAAGAGCGGCGCAAAACCATACTCACTCACTCACTGTACATTTGAACATACACTCTTCAAAAAAAGAAACGCACAGGTAGTATGTAGTTCATTGAACCTGACCGGTATATAAACTGGATATATGTTATTGGGAAATGTCGGTGGCCTGATATTCGACAAACGGTGCGTCAAAACGCAGCCACGTTAGAACGCACCACAGACACTCCCACAACTGGCCAACGCGTTACAAGCAGAAAGGCGCAGATTTCCGCAGGACAGAATTCGTACACTTATCCAGTCAGGGCAGAGGAGATGCAGAGCCGTGATTGCTCCCAGAGCCGGTCACACGAGTTCAGTGGCCGTATGTGACATGACAATGAACAGTTTCCATGCCTTTGTACAACGACAACATGTGACTATCCAACTCCAAAATTTCATATTGGTACCTATGATATTAGATTAAATATATCGACTTCAATAGGTACAATAAATTTACTAAATATCTACATGTGCGTTTCCTTTTTGAAGAGAATGTTATAACGTTAAAGTGTCTAAATCACTTATTAAAACATATTATCATCTTGATCGTCAATGCGTACATAATATATATATATATATATATATATATATATATATATATATATATATGTGGTTTTTTTGTCAGAGAAATAAACGAAACTGAACTGACATGATACTTTCAGTGAATCTGTGCGCCTTTGAGTGAGTGAGTGAGTGAGTATGGTTTAACGCCGCTTTTAGCAATATTCCAGCAATATCACGGCGGGGGAAACCAGAAATGGGCTTCACACATTGTACCCATGTCGGGAATCGAACCCGGGTCTTGGCGTGACGAGCGAACGCTTTAACCACCAGGCTACCCGACCGCCCCTGTGCGCCTTTGAACAACATTTAGAGTTAAATAGTTGTATTTTTATATTTGTTTAGAAAAGCCGTCTTCTGACAAAGGCGGTGGTTCAAATAACCAAATTGTTATAAATATTTGCTATGAAGCCCTCAGTATGAAGCCCTTGATACAAGTTTAACCTGTGGGATCCGGAGTAGAACAGGTCCCCAGCACCCCATGCTTGGCCAAAGAGCCGACTTATTTCAGGGTCAGGTTGTTACAAATTGTGATTTATATCGTAACACCCCCGCGTGGATCGTTGTTCGTGCTACCGACGGAGATTGGTTAGTTACATGCTACGTGAATATATGTTACGGCGTAAAACAACATTCACTCACTAATTCAAAGAGGTAACACGTGCATCAGTCCTTACAGAACAACACAACATTACAGTTGGTACATGACCATCATCTTTTCATCTTCAACATGTATACAATAATCGCATTACGGACAAGCACCGTCCAAGACGATTATGTCGTCAATGGCGATGTCCCCAAAGTAGCCGTTTCCCCTGATGCCGTTGATGACAATGTAGTAGTCGACAGACTGGGGCAAGAGGTCAACTTTGGCTAACTTCCACTGGTCACCTTGGCTTCCATCTTTCTTCCAGATAGGGCTACCCGTGGTATGTGCAGTCTAAACACAAGATTCAAACACACGTCGGTGAGGTTTGTCAAACAAACGAGAAGAATATGCTGATTTATACATCAAGGTTCGAGAATACATAGGACTCTCCTAATCCTTGCACCATGATAACCATTGACTACCTTAGTGCCTAACTGTTCAGTGTCTACGAGGATGTGTATTTGTTTGTATGATATGACGGAAGTGTGATCTTACTCTCCCACCTTACTCTGTTTTAAATAAACTTAGAAACTTTCGAACCTATGACGATCAGAAGAAAATACTTAGGTACGTATCAACTACGGAACCATGATTGGTAATTTCTCAAAATTGGCTTTTACGAATTATGCCCCTTCTATGTACCTCCTATTGCCCGGGGAGCGGAAGGTCCGGGGTTCGATCCCCGGCCGCGTCATACCAAAAGACGTTGAAAGATAGTACTTGTTGTTACCCTGTCTACCGCTCGGCATTAAGGGGCTAAAACAAGGACTGGTCGGCTCGGAGTCAGTATACTGTGTCCGAGTGGGGTATTCATGTTAAACTGCGGCATGGTATCTCAGTGAGCTAGCACTATAAATCGGCATCAGTCCGGACTAGTACAAGCAGCCACACAAACACACACACGTACATGCACGTCGCTATATAAGTGCAATAATCTTGGATGCGACTTTAAACCCTATTTCACCTCACCTCCTATTGCCCAATAAGATCCCACGTCTCATACCGCTTGCATTTGCTTTAAACAAGATGGCGGCGCCCAGTCAAGACGATCTGATCGAAAATAAAGCTCTATCTGTCGACACCAAGCTGGCGGTACACATGTTTGCAAATCCTGCAGTCGACCGAAATCTCCACGTTGGAATCCATGTTGTTTACGAACCGGATGTTAAGTTTGTTGCGCGATATTGATTGGACTGTGCATAGACTCGTTAGTTCAGCCGAAACCAGGAAACTGGACTTTTATTGTCAGTTAATGCCTCAGGAAGATGGCATACTCCGACGACCTGCAGGCTTTCCCGTGTGTTACTGCCTTGTTGTGAGTGAAACACTGTCATGTGGGGTGCTGAGATCACGTCACTCTTACCATGATTTTGACCTGCAGAGAGCCCACAGTCTGACCGTACATGTGGTACCAGAACGTTAGACAGAAGTGGTGATTGGTGCCAAGAGGGGAGGAACGGTAAGCGGCGGCACTGTTTGGGATGCCCGCCGACGTCTCCAGATAGATGTAATGGCCGTTTGCTGAAACATTACACATATATATAATGTCTTTTTATGTTTTGAGTATTTCTGAGAGAACAGGTATGAGTGAGCGAGTGAGTTGGGTTTAACGCCGCTTTTTACATTATTCCAGTCATATCACGGCTTGTCAGCTTAATGTGGGAGGAAAGCCCGAAGTGATGTAGGTCTCAGACGTTTACCACTTCGGTGAAACCCACGAGCACGGGTATGGTGCTGACAAACCTAGAAAATTAATCGGGGCGAACTGGGATTCGAATCCGAACAGGTATGAGGTTTGTATGAAGGACATATAAGTTGGTGTAGGTGTTGTGAATAGGTGTTAGTGCGAGCAGATGTGGTGAGTGCGTGCAGGTGTGGTAAAAGGGTAAATGTGGAATGAGTTAATGCATGTGTGGTGAGTGGGTGCAGGTGCTGTAAGTGGGTGCAGGTGCTGTGAGTGGTGCGGGTGATATGAGTGGGTGCAGGTGCGAGAAGTGGGTACAGGTGCTGTAAATGGGTGCAGGGAGTGGGTGCAGGTGCTGTGAGTGGTGCGGATGCGGTGAGTGGGTGCAGGTGCTGTGAGTGGGTGCAGGTTCGAGGAGCGGGTGCAGGTGCGAGGAGTGGGTACAGATGCTGTGAGTGGTGCGGGTGCTGTGAGTGGTGCAAGTGCGGTGAGTGGGTGCGAGTGTGGAGAGTTGGTGCGAGAGTGGGGAGTGGGTGCGAGTCCTGTGAGTGGGTGCAAGTGCGGTGAGTGGGTGCAGGTGTGGAGTGGGTGCGAATCCTGTGAGTGGGTGCAGGTGCGGTGAGTGGGTGCGAGTGTGGAGAGTGGGTGCGAGTCCTGTGAGTGGGTGCAGGTGCGGTGAGTGGGTGCGAGTGTGGAGAGTGGGTGCGAGTCCTGTGAGTGGGTGCCGGTGCGGTGAGTGGGTGCAGGTGTGGAGTGGGTGCGAGTCCTGTGCGTGGGTGCAGGTGCGGTGAGTGGGTGCAGGTGTGGAGTGGGTGCGAATCCTGTGCGTGGGTGCAGGTGCGGTGAGTGGGTGCGAGTGTGGAGAGTGAGTCCTGTGTGTGGGTGCAGGTGCGGGGAGTGGGTGCAGGTGTGGAGTGGGTGCGAAACCTGTGAGTGGGTGCAGGTGCGGTGAGTGGGTGCGAGTGTGGAGAGTGGGTGCGAATCCTGTGAGTGGGTGCAGGTGCGGGGAGTGGGTGCAGGTGTGGAGTGGGTGCGAGTCCGGTGAGTGGGTGCAGGTGAGGGGAGTGGGTGCAGGTGTGGAGTGGGTGCGAATCCTGTGAGTGGGTGCAGGTACGGGGAGTGGGTGCAGGTGTGGAGTGGGTGCGAGTCCGGTGAGTGGGTGCAGGTGAGGGGAGTGGGTGCAGGTGTGGAGTGGGTAAGAATCCTGTGAGTGGGTGCAGGTGCGGGGAGTGGGTGCAGGTGTGGAGTGGGTGCGAGTCCGGTGAGTGGGTGCAGGTGCGGGGAGTTGGTGCGAGTGTGGAGTGGGTGCGAGTCCTGTGAGTGGGTGCCGGTGCGGGGAGTGGGTGCAGGTGTGGAGTGGGTGCGAGTCCGGTGAGTGGGTGCAGGTGTGGAGTGGGTGCAGGTGCGGGGAGTGGGTGCAGGTGCGGGGAGTGGGTGCAGGTGTGGTGTGGGTGCGAGTCCGGTGAGTGGGTGCAGGTGCGGGGAGTGGGTGCAGGTGCGGGGAGTGGGTGCAGGTGTGGAGTGGGTGCGAGTCCGGTGAGTGGGTGCAGGTGCGGGGAGTGGGTGCAGGTGCGGGGAGTGGGTGCGAGTGTCGAGAGTGGGTGCGAATCCTGTGAGTGGGTGCAGGTGCGGGGAGTGGGTGCAGGTGTGGAGTGGGTGCGAGTCCGGTGAGTGGGTGCAGGTGAGGGGAGTGGGTGCAGGTGTGGAGTGGGTGCGAATCCTGTGAGTGGGTGCAAGTGCGGGGAGTGGGTGCAGGTGTGGAGTGGGTGAGAGTCCGGTGAGTGGGTGCAGGTGCGGGGAGTTGGTGCGAGTGTGGAGTGGGTGCGAGTCCTGTGAGTGGGTGCCGGTGCGGGGAGTGGGTGCAGGTGTGGAGTGGGTGCGAGTCTGGTGAGTGGGTGCAGGTGTGGAGTGGGTGCAGGTGCGGGGAGTGGGTGCAGGTGCGGGGAGTGGGTGCAGGTGTGGAGTGGGTGCGAGTCCGGTGAGTGGGTGCAGGTGCGGGGAGTGGGTGCAGGTGCGGGGAGTGGGTGCAGGTGTGGAGTGGGTGCGAGTCCGGTGAGTTGGTGCAGGTGCGGTGTGTTGGTGCGAGGAAGGTATTGCGCTATACATATCATTATCGTACCATTTTCTAAGGTGTGGTCGTTCGAAGGTCCGGTCCCGACGGAAGGGGTACCGCCTTTGTTCATTGTCCAATCCAATGTATCCGTCGTTTCGTCCTTCCAGGAACAGGGACTCTCGAAGTCACAGTCGTACTCGTAGATCTCTGACGTATACCGTAAACAACACAATATAGTTTCCAAGACAACAGTTATGTATACTCAACGTTCACAAAGTTTAGCACAGAACTATCCGTCCCACCGAGTTCAGTGTGGACGACAAATACAAGTGTCACAATGTGGCGACGCCCGTGGTCGGTTCCACTACACGTTGAGGGGGTTGCCCCACTTGCTGGTTGCCTGAGTAACATCGTTGCACTATGTGGGTACGGATGTATTCTGATGTTTATTGCAGCCTATCAAGTCAGAGGACACCAAGAGTGAGTTTGTTTTTCTCAACTGTCTGCAATATTCTCTGTTCATCACGGAGGCCTGTTATTATCGAGCCTGAATCTATCAAACCCACTTTAAAATGTTCACCCGCAGAAAACGATACTATCATTCATATTTTATATATTTTTTGTCTTTTTAAATTATTTGTTATGCCTTTAATTATTTCATGTATATTTTACTTGTTCTTTCTCTATGGTGTATATTACGCGAAGTTATGTATATATGCTAATATGTTATATATATTATGTGTATGTCATTTTAATGTTTTTATCAAGAATAATCCTTGATTTTACGGTCTCTTATAAGCCGTTTGGTTGGCGTTGGTACATGTGTTGGTACATGTGTTTTAATGTATCATGCTCCGTTGACTTTTATCTTCTTTATGTACAAATGTTGTGACAAAAGACACTTTGAATTGAATTGAATTGAACAGTGATTAAGCGACATTCCATGTCATTTGGGAACGATATAACAGCTACCAGGCACATCGAGCCTCACCTTACGATCCATTCTACTTACGAGAAGCATAGATTACTGGTGACCACTTCCCCACGATTCCCTACCAGGGAGGCCAGTCACTACTTTAGCCACTATGAAACCCGTCACCCGTTTTTGATAAAACATTAATACATTAAGTACACGGCATGATAATAACCACAACTGTTTATGTGTGTTTGTTTGTTGTTTAACGCGGCCCTCTGCAATAGTCCAGCTGTATGAAGACGGTCTGTAAATAATTAAATCTGGATCAGACAATCCGGTGATTCCAATCCATCCTTTTATGATACGATGACGCCAGCCTGACCACCCAATCCCGTTAGACAGCTTTTACGACAAGCATGACTGCTGAAGACCAATTCTAGTCGGGATCTTCAAGGGGAGACCACAACTGACATCGTTCTGAGATAGTGATGGATTGGAACTATAGTTGTACCGTTATCTGACTAATAGTATACTTACTGCCAACTACAATCTTCACTGACTTTGAATTGTATCCCAGAATGCCGTCGGGCCCGACACAGCTATATGTCCCGGCATCACCTTTCAACACCTGCTGGAAACTGAGGTCATTTCCGGTAACAATACCACGTTTGCTGATTGGTCCGTCGTCTTTTACCCACGTGACCGGTACATCGAGCTTGCTGAAGCCGCAACCGAGAGACAATGGCGCACCATAGGGCACGTTAATGACGTCGGAGAAATTGCCAGTAATTTCGAATTCATCTGAGATAAAAAATCAAATGTTACTTTTCGTTTACTTTTCTTCAATTTCTGAAGATTCACGTAAAGCTAAAAACATCAGTCATATCTTAAGAAGTTGTTATCCATACAAACAGTGTCGTGTATTCATTTCCAATTCTTCTTGTTATCCTTTCACATTCGTCACCACTCGCCCCTTTCCGTAACCTGCAAGAAGACTCGTCCCCCTATCGATGAATGTTATGTGCGAAAATACGACAAACCAATCAGAATGCGCGTATGATTTCAAGTACTTCGTCAAAGAATCCCTCAGAAATAATTTTTGATTTTACATATGTCTTGCATATAAAAATATACCCAAGACACAGTTAAATGTGTTCAGTCATACTGTATAATCCCGCACGTCCCGGTGTGCTTTAAATTGCATCTGAAATATATATAATATATGGGGAAATATATGTGAACCATAACGCAACGAATTGACAATTGTTTTAGGTATGCCCGTTTGCGCTAAGACGGAACCCGGTCGCAAAAATGGTCACGAGAGGGGCACGAGTCGCTATTCGGCTTGTCCCGGAATAACACGAGTTGGTCACGAATGATCCTTTCACTGTCATTCAAGTCTTACACGTGCATATGAGGTTGTCGGAATCGTACTCTGGCCTCTGCTTTTAGTAGAGATTTACTTTGCAACTGCAGTTGGTCGTTTTTATTTACATCATCCACAAAACGGGTAACCAGTATAATAATATGATATGATAATAAGCAAACGAACAAAATTCTCCTGCCGACGTACACATAAACAACACGTAAAGGGCACAGACTCACTCAGACAGTAGCAGTCATCATGTAGTAAGGCCCCATCTGGCCCCTGTTGCCCAGCATCCCCTTTCTGCCCTGTCAGGCCCGTGGACCCGATGTTCCCTTTCACCCCGAGCGTTCCCGCCTCCCCCTTCGATCCAGCTTGTCCCTTGATGCCAGGCAGCCCCTTCGCCCCCGCTATACCATCAGTGCCGTTGTTTCCAGGGAGACCAGGGTCACCTTTAGGTCCTGTTTCGCCTCTCTGACCGTCGACACCATCCGTTCCATTAACACCCGGTGTTCCCTGATTCCCAGGGAGACCTTTGACCCCTTTAGCCCCGGGGTCACCTTTACTTCCCGGTTCACCAACGGGCCCTGGGTCTCCCTTCGATCCCGGGGTGCCAATTTCCCCACGGTCCCCACGTGGCCCTGTGGATACAGAGTCTCCTCGTTATACAGTTAGCGAATTGATTTTTATGTCACCAACTATAGATATATTTTTTTTAAATGTTGCTCATCCTATGTGGGTTTTTTTTCAGATTTCACACTGAATGTTGTAAAATATCCATACACCACTATTGTGCATTGTTAATAAAAACACATCTTCAAATGAAGTTTTTCTCAAATTAATGACGTTCTTCATTATAACTTGTTCTTGTTCTCAATTTTGAAACATACTATTTTATAAACCAATAGTATATAATCATCATCATCATCATAAACAAGTGATTCTGATTTGACAGTTCACCTTTGTTTATCTACATTGTTTTGGGGGTTGTTAGAGCCGCACCCACCAATATTCCAGCTTGATGACGGTGGTATGTAAATATTCGACTCTGAACCAGACAATCCAGTGATTGACATTATAAGCTTTGATCAACGCAATTGGGTTACGATGACAGGCATCAACCAGCTCAGCGAACCTGACTTCCGCATCCCGTTAGTCGTCTCTAAAGACAGGTATGGTTGCTGAAGAACAGTTATAACCTGTATCTTCACGGAAGTTATCTACATTGGCACCAATCTTTTGGTAACCTACCCGTGGCACCTTTGTCACCGGTAACCCCTTTGGCTCCTGTAAATAAGTAAATAATATAGATAAGTAAACAACAGTACCAGTTGTCCGTGTGTAGATGGCCTCCTACTCACATTTCGTTAGTAATACTACTTAATACATCCATTTCCATCTGTGCAATGATAAGACTTGTTGGTTATACTATAATGACTGTTAGTTGGTTGGTTATTTAGGCCGCTCTCATCAATATTCCAGCTATATGACGGCGGTCTGTAAATAATCGAGTCTGGACCAGACAATCCAGTGATTAATGTCATGAGCATCGATCCGTGCAATTGGTATCGATGACATGCAACAACCAAGTCAGCGAGCCTGACCGCCCGATCCCGTTAGTCGTCTTTTACGACAAACATAGCCGCCTTTTACGGCAAGCATTGGTTGCCGAAGACTTATTCTATGCCGGATCTTCACGAGTCTACCGATTGTTGTAAGGTCACAGGCTTAGATGCAAAAATCAACTGATAAATAATCTGTAACTGGACACTTATAGACACTCGACCGGGCTAACCTCATTGCCATAGGTCATAGGTCATCTCAGCCAACCCCGGGATGAATCCATACCGGAACTAGATTTACTCGGTAACACTCGGCTTATTCCGTCTGATAATTGGGCAGAAATGGCTTCGCAATATTGTATGATTTCACTGGAAACCGTGTAAGATCCTAAATCTCCTCCTTCCGATTTTGTTAAAACATGCTTCATGGTTAATGCGAATTGTGTATGTCATCATTTTATTGAGATACGTTTGTATAAAGGACACGAGAGTGGCAATATTGTCCCTAAAGTCATCGTCGCCCACACAGGTGAAACTAGTAATTCTAGTTGCAGTAAGTACGGATTCTTCCAGTGCTGAGAATATCCTTGTATCAACGAGAAGCTCAAGCTCACCGGGAATACACAAATCTTGTCTTTTGTTGCAGATTTGTTCAAGTGCTGCTTCCTAGATAATGTCAAAAAAACCATAATGTATATAATTATAAGTAAACAAAGCAAGTCTAGAAATACTTAACATAACGTGCTAAAAAAAGTATCAAACTAAAACCCTTTATATCAGGTTAGGTTAACGCCACATGTGTAAAAAGTTTAATATATTGCTAATCATGAAACATAAAGTTACACATCACATTGTCACCCTATTTGTCTTGTCATTATGTTAGCCAATATTTAAATATAGAAGTTATGTTATAGAAGTTTGGGGTCGGGATCATCTTTGAACAAACCCACTTCCCCTTCCCATAGAATTAATCAGAAGCAACCTATAGTTTACCTGAGACGCCAGGAAATCCCGCATGAAATCAACGATGGTCGGACTTTGCCGCCGGACATGCGCATGGGCAGCTTCCGGTGTACTATGCTGGTTTGAATATACCACAAATAATTTCATTTATATTAAATGTAATTACATTTTGTAATGAAATCGCATATTTAATTGTGGGATATAATATTTTTTGAAAATAAGAATAATCAATAAACAACAAACGCGATTTTAGACTTGTCTACGACTCTACATATTTCAATAATTCAATATATCAGTTCTACAACGAATTGTTGAAATACACAAATATGATACCAAAACAACTGCATGACCTTCACCAGCTGTCAACCTGTGAGATTAGAAGTCAGACACTGCCATCTGGGACCCACCTGCACATGGTGCGTAAGACACTCGGCCTCAAGCAGGTCGATGGCCTCCCCTTTCCTTGAAATTTTAGACCGGAAGTAGTCCAGACGCCATTCTAGCCACAGATTGACACAAACAAAGGCCACGGACTGAAGCAGGATAAAGGTGAGTAGTCCGTATAGACACGCCGTCCGTCGTTGTTCTGTTTGATACCCCATGTCGACAGGTGGCAGGGTGGTGGAGAATCACAGATAAGATCTTGATAAGAACAGTGTGAGAATCTAGTCCACGTTCTGGAGATAGTTCCCTTCCTTTTAAAAAGGTGCGCGATTTTGAATATTATCTGAACGTAAGGTCAATGCCCCAGGTTGAAATTGTTTCACCTTAAATTAATTGTTCCTGATTATTTTAATTTGGCCTCTGCAGTAATAAGATAAGAATTCGAAAATAAGAAATTCGACAAACGGTGCGTCAAACACAGCCACGTTAGAACACACCACAGACACTCCCACATCTGGCCAACGCGTTACAAGCAGAAAGGCGCAGAATTCCGCAGGACAGAATTCGTACACTTATCCACTCAGTGCCTAAGAGATGCAGAGCCTTGATTGCTGCCCGGGGCGGTCACACGAGATACTGAGTTCAGCGCAACCTTGTGACCTTATGTGATATGACAATGAACAGTTTTTAATGCCTTTGTACAACGACAACATGTGACTATCGAACTCCAAAAGTTCATATTTGTATCTATGATATTAAATTAAATATATCGACTTCATTAGGTACAATATATTTACGTTAAAGTGTCTAAATCACTTATTGAAGCATATTATCATATTGATCGCCATTGTGTGTGTGTGTGTGTGTGTGTGTGTGTGTGTGTGTGTGTGTGTGTGTGTGTGTGTATATATATATATATATATATATATATATATATATATATATAAATGTGCCATTTTATGTCAGTTTGTGTCTATACTCTCAAATATGTGGTGAGATACGCCTGATGCGATCAACAAGTTTAATTCACCCACTCACAAGTCAAGTAATAGGGATACAACAGTGATAACTCACAGGATGCCTATTGTGTGTGAAATTCCTATTCTTTGAATGACATGGTTACATGCTTGTTACAACTGCCGTTCGATAAACCGTGTTTGTGTTTATATTCAAGTTGCTATTTCCGCTATCCAAAGCGTGCAGTGAGGCCGTCTTATTGTTGATAGTCATTTTGGAGACATTAATGCCAAGTTTCATTAATGATAACAAAGACCACTTGCATTTGTCGCATTCAATTCACGCTCGCGTTAATTTCAAGATTTACAGAAATCAGTGATTTTAATCGCTAGTCTTGTAATATTGGGCCAACGGAATTAATATTTTGATAATTAAGATTCACATTTTTCTGGAGATATCCGCCAGCGAAGGGGAAAATGATTAAACTGAATATCTTTTGTGTTTCGGAAACCATGGTGATAAAATCAGGTTTCGAGCATGTTTATCTCGAAGGTGGATGCAGTCTTGAAGAAAGATGAAGGTGGATGCAGTCTTGAAGAAGGATAGATGTGGATGCAGTCTTGAAGAATAAGGATGGATGTGGATGCAGTCTGGAAGAATAAGGATGTGATGTGGATGCAGTCTGGAAGTAGAAGGATGTGATGTGGATGCAGTCTTGAAGAAGAAGGATGTGATGTGGAAGCAGTCTGGGAGAATAAGGATGTGATGTGGATGCAGTCTTGAAGAAGAAGGATGTGATGTGGATGCAGTCTGGGAGAATAAGGGTGTGATGTGGATGCAGTCTGGGAGTAGAAGGATGTGATGTGGATGCAGTCTTGAAGAAGAAGGATGTGATGTGGATGCAGTCTGGAAGAAGAAGGATAGATGTGAATGCAGTCTGGAAGTAGAAGGATAAATGCGGATGCAGTCTGGGAGTAGATGGATAAATGTGGATGCAGTCTGGAAGTAGAAGGATAAATGTGGATGCAGTCTGGGAGTAGAATGATAAATGTGGATGCAGTCTGGGAGAATAAGGATGTGATGTGGATGCAGTCTGGAAGTAGAAGGATAAATGTGGATGCAGTCTTGGAGAAGAAGGATAAATGTGGATGCAGTCTGGGAGTAGAAGGATGTGATGTGGATGCAGTCTGGGAGAATAAGGATGTGATGTGGATGCAGTCTGGAAGTAGAAGGATAAATGTGGATGCAGTCTGGGAGAAGAAGGATAAATGTGGATGCAGTCTGGGAGTAGAAGGATGTGATGTGGATGCAGTCTGGGAGAATAAGGATGTGATGTGGATGCAGTCTGGAAGAAGAAGGTTAATGTGGATGAAGTCTGGAAGAAGAAGGATAAATGTGGATGCAGTCTGGAAGAAGAAGGACGTGATGTGGATGCAGACTGGAAGAAGAAGGTTAAATGTGGATGCAGTCTGGAAGAAGAAGGACGTGATGTGGATGCAGTCTGGGAGAAGAAGGATAAATGTGGATGCAGTCTGGAAGAAGAAGGATGTGATGTAGATGCAGTCTGAAAGAAGAAGGACGTGATGTGGATGCAGTCTTGGAGAAGAAGGATAAATGTGGATGCAGTCTGGAAGAAGAAGGATGTGATGTGGATGCAGTCTGGGAGAAGAAGGATGTGATGTAGATGCAGTCTGAAAGAAGAAGGACGTGATGTGGATCCAGATTGGAAGACAAAGGACGTGATGTATCCATGTACACTAATCAGAAAGCGAAACGCACAGGTAGTATGTAGTACATTGAACATGACTACACAAAAAATCCGGTATATAAATTAAATATATGTTATTGGAAAATGTTAGTGGCCTGATATTCGTCAAAACGCAGCCATTGTCGTTTTGCATTGTCTTAAACGGCATTGTTTTCACACTTGTTAAAAAATGTCATGGAGGAAAACAGTAAAGCAAAATGCACGTGCAAGTTATGGCACTTGTAACTCGTGGTAGTGGCTATAAAAAGGCAAGCATTAGCCAATAATTTGTCATTCAATTGTCAACATTTTTCAAGTTCGAAAATGCCGAGACTTCTGTTGCACGCAACTTCAACATCCACCACAGCACCATTTGCCGCCTTTGGGACCGATACACACAGTTCAATTCAACTGCAGATCATCCGAGAACCGGCCGACCAAGAGTTACCACCCCTGCACGAATCGCTACTTTCGACTGTTCCACCTACGTCAATGCCACAGCTACGGAGACTGCAGGACGCATCCCAGGTTTGAGGAGGATATAGGACGAGACTGTCGGCAACCATCTTCGCGAGGCTGGAATCCGACCCAGAAGACCAGTTATCGTCCCTGTTGTGCAACAGATCCATCCACAGTGACGCTTGCGTTGATGCCATACCTTACAGCTTTGGAATTTGAGAAACTGGAGACGAGTGTGGTTTAACGATGAATCACGATTTCTTCTTCCCCGGCGAAATGGAAGACAACGTGTTTATCTTCGTCGAAATGAGCGCTTTGCCCCACATTGTGTACGTTAATTCGAAAATTCCCGTGGCGGTAGTGTCATGGTGTGGGGGGCCACATCCTATACCACGAGATCTATCTTGGTGGTGGTTCAGGGAAATTTGACAGCAAAGCGCTACATGAATCAAATTCTTCAGCCTCACCTTCTTCAACTCATTGACCGCCACAGGGAGCTGTTTCAACAGGACAACGCTCCACCGCACACGGCTCGTGTCACAGTAGACTACCTGCATAATGCCAACATCAACGTCTTGCCCTGGCAGTCGAGATCTCCAGATCTCAATCGAACGCCCCTGGGATGAACTCGATCGACGTGTACGTCAACGTCAGAACACGCCGCAGACACTCCCACAACAGTTACTGGCCAACGCGTTACAAGCAGATTGGCGCAGAATTCTGCAGGACAGAATTCATTCGTACACTTATCCAGTCAGTGCCGAGGAGATGCAGAGTCGTGATTGCTGCCCGGGGCAGTCACACGAGATACTGAGTTCAGCGCCACCTTGTGGCATAATGTGACATGACAATGAACAGTTTTCAATGCCTTTGTACGACAACATGTGACTATCGAGATCCAAAATTTCATATTTGTATCTATGATATTAAATTAAATATATCGACTTTATTAGGTACAATAAATTTACAAAATATCTACCTGTGCGTTTATTTTTATGAAGAGTGTAAATGGTGTCGGCACTGAAGCAATCTCAGCTGGTCGAACACAACCATCTTGTCGTCTTCTCCGTCAATGAGGACCAGACATGTCTTACCATGCTGTCAAGAGGCCTTCCAGTTGCAGTCTAGGGATGGTGTGGCCTTTCACTAACAACTGATTATAATCCCTTTGATCCAAACATATATGGCACACGGCTCATTTTTCTATATTGTCACAACATCTAAAAAAGATTAAATCTGTATTCTGGAAACGTCCATCATACTGTTAGGTGAACCTGTCCGTCCCATCTTATACGTCCCATCTTATGTCAGCAAAGTGGGGTAGAACCGGAGCATAGCATTGACATTGTGAAGGTTAACCCATGGTGGAGCTGGATCCAGTTCGATCCCCTGATGCAAGGCGATAGTTTTGTATTTGGTCAGCCTGGGACATGCATGTTCGTATCATTAAGAAGACAAAGTCAAAAGGGACTATCTGCCGGACAAATGAAATTTTAGACCCATGTTTGATGATGCTAAACATAAAACAAAATACAGATGGTTATTTGCTCGGCAATTTATATTATTCTTTACAGTTTCAGAAACTGAGAACCTTTTCAAATATATAAAAAAAGATATAATTATTTTAAATGAATGAAAATAATTAAATATTACGATAATAATGGGTTTCTGAAGACCAATACTAACCCGGATCTTCACGCGGGCACACATATAACGGAAGGTCACATGAAGCCGTCCGTCTATCCCCCGTAGGATTCCATGGTAGTTGTACTCCCCACAAATCCTCATTTACACAGTATCTATACACAAATCAAGAAACCAAATTGCAACTTTATCTTCCCACAAACATCCATAGTCAGGTTAGTTCGGGTCACTCCTTTGCCTTACATCGCACGGCAGCCCCGCTACCCTAGTGTCTCACTGATAGTTGTACTGATTGATGCCAGTGGGAACCCTGTGTAACTGATCCCTTGACGCGTCCTCTGAGATACGCCCGCAGAGCCCTGGCTGATGACGTCGTGATCCAAAACAGACCACGTCTTCCTCAACTCGCGATGTCAACGTGTGTTCTGTGGCTTGTGGTTATATTATGTAGTGTGACGTACGACGTCGAGGCCAGTTCCCTCAGTGTGGAGCAGATTCAAAAGTTGGAGGAGTTGATACGGAACGTTGTACAATGTCGTAACGTCCCGGGGATGGCGGTAGCGCTGGTCCGTCGTAACGAGACCGTTTACACTGGTGGCTTTGGTATCCGCGAGACCAACTCAAGCGATGCTGTCACTGACAAAACGTTGTTCAATCTAGCGTCGCAGTCGAAGGCGTTCACCAGCACTGTGGCAGCTGACGCCGTTGCAAGAGGGAAGATCACGTGGGACGCGCCACTCAGAGAGGTGTGTGCTGTGCTTATTATTTGTGTATATTAGATGCTGATTCAAAATTTCCTATGACATGGATACATTTAAGTGTCCATATATCTGATGGGATCGGTGTACATGAGAAGCGATTTTAACGCCTTTTTGACGTGTTTGTTGCATTAACGGATCCCTCTTAATAACATAACCATCCCCTTTTTATGTTATGTAACATTTGATAGTGAGTTAGTGAACGTGTTGTATTTCACGCGAAGAAACAAACCTTGAAATATAGTCGGGCGAACCGGGAATCGAACAAACGATCATAGCGTGCCAAAGGGACGCAACTCTGCACAACGAATTGGACTTCTCAGACCCCAGGGCAACCAGTGTACATCTAACATTAAAGAAGCGCGTTTTAACTCCCTTATACGAGGATATGGTTATTCGGTGCTATTTGACTCTTCATAAAGCAACTGAGGTGTCCGTTGTATAGTTGCCTTTGGGGTTATCTTTATAACATCTGTTTGACTGGTACGTTGCATTTACGGAACCTTTAAGGAATTTTCGACGGGTATGTGACATTTGCAGATTTCTCTAGGTTTTCCTACACGATATATTCGCCCAGAGATTTGGGTTATTATAACGGTGGTGTTAACAATACAGGTTCTGGGCCCTAACTTCCGGCTGCAGGATGAGTTCCGGTCTGAGGAGGCGTCCCTACGTGACCTGCTGTCACACCGCCTCGGGATGCCGTCTTACTGGGGCATCACTACGTCAGTCATGAACCTTACAAGACTGCAGATTCTGGAGTACGTAGAAGTAGAAGTAGTAGTAGTAGTAGTAGTAGTAGTAGTAGAAGTTGTAGTAGTAGTAGTAGTAGCAGTAGTAGTAGTAGTAGTAGTAGCAGCAGTAGTAGTAGTAGTAGTAGTAGTAGTAGCAGTAGCAGTAGTAGCAGTAGTAGTAGTAGTAGAAGCAGTAGTAGTAGTAGCAGTAGTAGTAGTAGTAGTAGTAGTAGTAGTAGCACCAGCAGCAGCAGCAGTAGTAGTAGCAGTAGCAGTAGCAGTAGAAGTAGTAGTAGTAGCAGTAGTAGTAGTAGTAATAGTAGTAGTAGTAGCACCAGCAGTAGTAGTAGCAGTAGCAGTAGTAGTAGTAGTAGTAGTAGTAGCACCAGCAGCAGCAGCAGCAGTAGTAGTAGCACCAGCAGTAGTAGTAGCAGTAGCAGTAGTAGTAGTAGTAGTAGCACCAGCAGCAGCAGCAGCAGTAGTAGTAGCAGTAGCAGTAGTAGTAGTAGTAGTAGTAGCAGTAGTAGTAGTAGTAGTAGTAGCACCAGCAGCAGCAGCAGTAGTAGTAGTAGTAGCTGTGGTGGTGGTGGTGGTTTGTTGTTAAATGCCGCACTCAGCAATATTACAGTAGTGTAGTAGTGGTGGTGGCAGTTGTAATAGTAGAAGTAGTAGTAGTAGTAGTATTAGTAGTAGTAGTAGTAGTAGTAGTAATTGTAGATGTAGCAGTAGTAGTAGTAGCAGCAGCAGTAGTAGTAGCAGCAGTAGTAGTAGCAGTAGTAGCAGCAGCAGTAGCAGTAGCAGTAGAAGTATCAGTAGTAGCAGCAGTAGTAGTAGCAGTAGCAGTAGTAGTTAGAGAAGAGTTAGATAATGGCACCAGCATTAGTAAACTATTCTGTTGTTGCTGTAGACGTCTAAAAGACTTTCCAGTCCTGTACGACTTCCGGGACCGCTACCTCTACAGCAACTACCTGTACGTGGCGGCGGCAGCGGTGGTCGAGACGGCATCGTGCGAGACGTGGGAAGACGCCGTCCAAAACAGAATATTCAAACCTCTTGGTAAGACCACAATTACTTACTTGTCCAACAGATTAGCAGACTTAAAAGTTAAGGAAATGAAAAAAGAACTTTTGAAAACCATAATTTCAAAGCAACTTTTTTAAATAACTTTTGTGGACACAACCTGGTCACAAACCCCTGAAGGAGTGAAATGAGCTGTGTGACGATCGAGACTTGAGTCATTGGTTGACTCTCAATGGCAACTTCAGGAATGACGGCGAGCCGTCTCAGCACGCGTTTGACGGACGGCGACTGGGACAACATCGCCTACTCCGCCGACATCGTCCAACACAACAAGGTGGAGCAGTTCGACGAGCCGGCGCTGCTACCGTGAGTGCCGACCATTCCCATATATACACGATATCAGACCACAATATATTTAGATTTAAAACATGGAACATATCCAGTACCCACGACTGTACATGCTAATGCACTGCCACTCATGGGGACCAAAACGATTGCTCATCACAAAAGACCGGTTGGAAAGACGGAGAAATAGGTGAAGTGCATCGTTGGTGCCCCCTCCCCGATATTGCTGGATACAACCATACTCACTCACTCACACACACTCACAAACTCACCTCTATCCAACCAGTCAATGCGCCGCGATTCGCTGTGCAGAGTTGCGTCCCTTGGGCACGCCAGAAACCTATGATTGTGGGTTCGAATCCCGGTTCGCCTCGATTATGTTTCTAGGTTTGTCAGCACCATACCCGTGCTCGTGGGTTTCACCGAAGTGGGAAACGTCTGAGACCTACATCACTTCGGGTTTTCCTCCCACATTAAGCTGACACGAAGCGACAAATATAACTGTATATAAAGCGGCGTTAAACCCAACTCACTCACTCACTCTCGATCCGACAAGAAAAATACCCACATAATGTTGGGGTCATGTGTGTCAATTAGGTAGTTCTGTGTTATACAGATTTCAAACATGAAGTGCCGTAAAATCCTCCAATACATACCGACATTAGTCCACTGGCACAACGTGATCTTAGCGCTACGACACTAGTACTTAACTTCCATGCTAAAAACATAGACTTACGGTAATCGTAGCGCTAAGATCGCTTTCTTCAAGCGGGCCCTGATGTTTTATAGTAGGATGACGTTTTTCCAGGATCGTCCAGGAGCTGGCTCCAGCTGCCGGCGTCTACAGTAACGCCCAGGATATGGCGAAGTGGCTGCGCTTCCATCTCAACTCGGGGAAGGTAGGTATTGATGTATTAAACGATGCTTTACAGGCCACCCGTTATACAGTGGAACCCCGTGTATTCGGACGACAGAGCTATGACTGAAATAGAATTGCCGGATTGAAGACTTAAAGAATCAAGGTCACTGAGCAATGTCACTATGTATACATGTCAGTGATACCCGCAGCAGTCGTCCTGAAGGTAGAGATTCCGGATTGACGGGTGTCCGGATTAACGAGGTCCGGACTAACGGTGTGTCAGTGCAGTTGAGATAATGTTGACTCAATCACTCACCCACTCACCAAGCCAACCACCAGCCAGTGCACTGACCCACCCCCACACACACCCCACCCCACACCCACCCACACCCACACCCACCCAGACAAACACACCACTCGCTTTGATCCGGCCAGAAAATCACCTGCATAATCTTCGAATCCTCCATCACTTTTATTTCAGAGCGAGCAAGGCCACCAGGTGGTTGATGCGGATGCTATGCGGGACACCTACCACCCGAACACCGCCGAATACAGCCCTGACCTGACCCGGGACATCTTCCCCGTGGACGACCTCATCTACTCCTACGCCATGGGCTGGAGGAACGGCGTGTACAGAGGTCACGTGACAAACATATTAACGAAACATATCAAGAGCATTAATATTTTGGAATTCGTGCTTCCCTTCCCCTCTGTTACAAACACAGCGCAGTGGATAGTGCGTTCGCTAATCCTAACCTCGGTCATCATCCCGAGGCAAGAGAGTTAACTGACTTTGAAAGTCCAGTTTCCACCCTTGCCGAACTAGGCTGGAATTCCTGGGCTCGATCGTAGCGCCACCAGTGGCTATTACGAGTTATGTCCTTTCTATGCCTCTCCTATTGACCAATCAGATTTAACCTCTCGTATCACTTGCATTTGTTTCAAACAAAACGGTGGCGCCCAGTCAAGACGATCTGATCGATAATCAAGATATATATTGTGATAAAATGAGTCTTACATCGCGAAGTGCATCAAATCACGTGAGCACCTTGATTAAAAACATGAAAAGATTCAGAAAATATCTGTTGACAACGAGTTAGCGGTGCACATGCTTTGCAAATCCTGCAATCGACCTAAATCTGCATGACACTCTACGAACCGGATTTCGATTTCGGTGCGCGATTTTGATTGGACTATGCATAGACTCCTTAGTCCAGCCAAAATCTAACTCCATAATACCAGCCTAGTTCGACAAGGGTGGAAACTGGACTTTATTAGTCACTGAACTCACTTGCCTCGGGAAGATGAACCTCGGTGCAATTAGAATACGTGTTTCCTCTGTGGTTGCATAATCTCTAACCAGAGAATACAATTGGTTGAAAGAAGAATACGACTTATCCTAAAGATATTTTTATTTCTACAAACGCAATATAAGAAATTCGACCTATGCAATGTATTAATACTGGACCCGTGAAAATTGCTTGTTTAGGAGGCGAATAACGGGATCGCGTGGTCAGGCTCGCTGACTTTGTTGATGCATGTCATTGTATCCCAAATGCGTAGATCGATGCTCATGATGTTAATCACTGGATTGTCTCGTCCAGACTCGATTATTTTTAGACCGCAATCATATGGCTGGAATATTGATGAGTGCGGCGTTTAAAAATAAACAAACAAACAATGTATTCATACCCAGTTACGTCACATCATTTATCCCCATTTTGTATAATTGTCAATTAAGAACGTTACCTTGTCTTACACTGCAGGCTACAGGAAGAACCTCCATATGGCCGCCTACAACGGCTACCAGGGAACCCTGACGTTCCTGCCTGACGTCGGCGTCGGTGTTTGGGCGCACCTCTCCGGCGCTGCCAACAACAGGGGCTACGACGCCAGAAACACCGTCACCATGTACAGTCTGGACCTGTTGCTTGGTAAACTGATTCCTAAAAATCTCGTGGATCACAACAGACACCTTAAAATAGATTCTGGTCTCTGATCACAATTATTTGAATACTGCGATAACCTCTCGTGTAATTGTCTGGTTTGAATGTCCCAAAAGAGAATATCAAATTGTCAGTGTCTGATTTGGAAGCAAAACTTGAAATTGTAAAAGCGGTCCAACTCGGTGACGGTTGATTGCGTCAACTTGACCCGATGGTAAGGGGCGTTTCTCATGTCGACCTCGGATCTTTCCAGGTCAGACAAGATTATTTACTACGGAAGCCTTTTAGGGCCATTTGTTTTTGTATTTTTCTTCTTAAAATTTCAAGATACTCATTTGAAATTTTAAGATATCTATTAAGGTGAAATTTCAAGATAATAACTTTCAACTTAGTATCTTGAAATTTCAACTTAGTATCTTGAAATTTCAAGTTAGCATCCTGAAATTTCAACTTAGTATTTTGAAATTTCAAGATGATTATCTTGAAATTTCTAGATGATTACCTTGACATTTCAACTTAGTATGCATCTTGAAATTTCAACTTAGTATCTTGAAATTTCAACATAACATCTTGAAATTTCAAGAAACAAATAAAAAATCAAATCTAAATCAAATCTAAATCAAATCTAAATCAAATCTAAAAGGCTTCCGTAATTTACAGACCCTGATACTCATCTGTTTTTGACCGTCACAGGGTACGGGCAAGGTACAACAAAGAATTTATTCGGGGGGCAGCTGTATCAGAGGTGAGGTGAAATGGAGTTGGACATCGCGTTCAAGATTGTTGCACTTATATGGCGACGTGCATGCACGTGTGTGTAGCTGCTTGTACTTGTCTGTACCAATGTCGATTTTATAGTACTAGCCCACTGCGATACCATGCCACAGTTTAACATGAATACCCCACTCAGACACAGTATACTGACTCCGAGCCGACCAGTCCTTGTTTTAGCCCCTTAATGCCGAGCGCCAGGCAGAGTAACAACAAGTACCATTTTTAACGTATGACGCGGCAGGGGATTGAACCACCGACCTTCCGCTCTCCGGGCGGACGCTCTAACCACTAGACCACGGAGGCGGTCAACTGGATCAGACGGAGCTTGTATAGGATAATCGTATGCTGTTCGACAAAATATGTATAATTGTATGTCATCCCCAATCAGTTGTCGCCAAAATATGTATAACTGTAACAATATGTATATTAGCATGTCACCAAAGAGCAGGGCTGGATTCCCGACATGGGTACAATGTGTGAAGCCGTGATATTGCTGGAATATTGCTAAAAGCGGCGTAAAATTATACTCACTCAATCACACATTGTACATTTGAACACAATATTACGTTACAGTGTTTATATCACTTATTAAAGCATATTACCATCTTGATCTTCATTGTATACGTAATATATTTTATATACATGATTATACTCTCGTCCCGTGATAAAGGCAACGAGATCTGGTTGAACTCCAGCACGGCTTGTTCCTTCCCCGCGCCGTGGTATCAGGATGATGCCGCACCACCGGCCCCTACCGTCCCGGAATATGCACGTCCTAGCGTCTTCATCAATACCACCGAGTACATCGGCAAATACTACCACCCAGCGTTCGGAACGCTGGAGATCTTCGACGACGACAACGATGACCATTTGCTTGGCTACAGGTGAGCGTCACCGTCCACTCTCACCGTTGTTAATACTCAGCTCTGATAAACTGTTAAAGCTGTGTAGTATTATCGTTCGAAGAATAACCATATTTCACATCCTTACTTTCAGGTACGGGGAACTCATGGTCGGATACTTGAAAGCCAAGGGAGGTAACCGCGAGGACTTTATCCAGTTTATGACAGGACCGCTTGGTATTATTCACGTCTACGATGACCCTGACGGTTTTAACGTCAATTTTAACCGAGATGATTCCGGCGCTGTTGAGAGCGTACAGTTCCACTATTTCGAGTTTTCTAAACCACCGGTGTTCACAATCGTGGAAGTGAAGCCAGGAAACAACACCGTGGTGTCCGCCTGTGCTGCGCCGTCATCGCATCCACCATCAACTGCAGGGCCCACTTCCGGGTTGTCTCACTTCCGGTCGAGTAAGGGGATGGTTTCGTTTTTCTATGTTAATTTTTTACTCTGTTTAAAATTAGTTGTTTGATATAAACAATAATTCTAAATATATCATGATTACAGATTATTCTGCGCTTAATTGTGACTCTTTATAACACATAAACAGCCTCTGGCGCATATGTTGAAACATGAAGAAATTTTCTGCATGTTCCTTCTATGACCATTATGTCTACTTACATGTAAACAATACACAATACGAGTCCTGCCTATATTCTCAGCTAAGAACATTTTCTTTGCCGCTTATATGTTTATGTATATTTTCTCTTTGAATATTCTTTCTTTCAGGCATTTGATTTGATTGCTTTTATTAATCGAATTTGATCATTATTGTCATTAAATCATTTTTCATCAATGTTTTCTCAGACAAAGTATTCATATAATCATATTCATAACGTCATTTATTGTATTCAATTTAATTAAGTGTATTTCACATACATTCATATTTGCCTTTCTTTCTTACATTCATATATTGATAATTATTCATTTCAGTCCCATGTAATCGGTAATCCTTTCATTTATGCATAAACATACTTTAAGATTATATTTCATTGCCTTTGCAATAAACAATTCTTTATCTACATTGTGGTTGTTTTGGACTAAAAATTGACTTTTCCCAGGAGCACTTTTTGTTTATCAGTAGGTTACAAGTTTCTAACATATTAAGATTTAAGAAAATAATGTAAACAAATACATACACACAGTGTCATTATTGAAGGGACACCTTGGTATGTAGGGTGTCAAACATGAACATATGCCAACAAGCGTCAATAGGTCTGAGTTTGTTTTGAAGACCATGTTATGCCCATGTCACACTGATCGGATGCTTTCATGAAGCTGGAAAAAGTACAACAATGAAAAGTGCAGGATTGAACGTTATGGAAGAGGCTACCCAAACATCCACCTAAAGGCAACCAGCGGTTTAACCCATGCACGTGCAACACGTGACAAGTAACAGTCAATGTGGGAATAAAATGGTTCGCACCAGATGTAACTGAACTACATTCTTGGAAGTTGAAAATGTGACGGTTTTCTTTTAATACTGTTCTCATATTATCTGCGTGCCCCCTCAATAATCACGCTGAGTATAATACGTTTTCCAAAATAATTCTGAGACGGTTCTATACTCTATTCACATTTGCATGTGTTGTCTTACAGAGTAAATGTCAATGGAGTGTTGCCTGTGATACTGCCTGGGTCAATACTTTCAACTGGTTCCTGTTGCATTTGCGTTTGAGGCTCCTTTCCATGTTGGTTTTACTTGTTATACCCAGTCAGCTATATCAGTAGACAGGTGCCCAGTTCAACACCCTGGAACAGCGCATGGAAACTTATACTTCTTTTACAGACATGGTATTCCAATAGCCGACCCATTTAACACTTTCCCTACATTGCCGTTGTGGTATCGTCTTCTCTACCGATGTTATATACATGCTACACAGAGTTTATGACAAACAACACAACAGAAGGAACAAACAGCAAATTTTTCCCGAACCCTAGAATACCCAAAACGGGCTTTTCAGTAATATGAAATTAACTGTCTCTCAAGCACATGTGCATTTTCCCGAGGCAAGGGAAGTAACTGACTATAAAAGTCCAGTTTCAACCATCGCAGAACTAGGCTGGTATTATAGAGTTATATTTTGGCTGGACTAACGAGTCTTTGCATAGTCCAATAAAATCGTGTACGAAATCGACATCTAGTTCGTAAACTGCCGTGCAGATTTCGGTCACTTGCAGGATTTGCAAAGCATGTGTACCGCCAATTCGGCATCAACATATATTTTCCAGATCGTTTCATGTTTTTAATCCAATTGTTCACGTGATTTGATTCATTTCGCGAAGTAAGACTCGTTTTATTACATATAGATTATGATAATCAATCAGATTGTCTTGACCTGGGGGCGGCCATTTTGTTTGAAGCAAATGCAAGTGATATAAGAGGTGGAATATGATTGGTCAATGGGAGGGTCATAGAAGGGACATAACTCGTAATCGCCACTGGAATTTAGGATGACATGCGAGTATACATATTGTTACAGTTATGAACGAGCCCAGATATTCCAGCCTAATTCGACAAGGGTAGAAACTAGACTTTTACAGTCAGTTAACTTGCCTCAGGGAGATGGCACATATCTAGCCCTCGGAACATTATGTCAGTAACGCATGGTAAATGTTGCCTGTAACTTATTCTTTGTCCAGAGGCCATATTCAATGTTATTTCTGGGATATTGATCTTTGCAATAACATTGTATTGTTTCACGGCCTCATTCAGCTACATGATGGTCTATAAATAATTGAGTCTGAACCAGACAATCCAGTGATTACGAACGTCCCATGCAGTAGAGGTAAGATGGCATGCAATCAACCAAGCCACTGTGTCTGACCACCCTATTCACTTAGCCACCTGGAGAGAAAGACATGTTTCTGGGGATGCATTCCTTCTAGAAATCCAAATCTCGGTATCACCATCCTTGGAATTCATAAAGTTTGTTTCTTTCTTGTTTAACGCCACACTCAGCAATGTTGCAGCTATTTGATGGCAAGCAAGTATTTGAATCTGGACAAGACAATTCAGTGATTTACATCATAAGCATCAACCTATACAATTGGGATACGATATGCATCAACCAAGTTCTCAGACCTGACTACCCGACCCCATTGGTTAAACACTGACTGACTAAGGTTATATTCCTACTTGACCAGTACCTATCAACACACAGTTTGTCAAATAAGTTTTTCAAGGTCAAATCAGATTAAACAAACTGTGGTGATAGTAATGTGACCTCTGATGCCCTTTCTATTACCCATTCTGTTGGAATATCAAAGTTGACAAGAGTTTACATTGAACGTGTGCCCACATTAACATTCACACCTTCAAGACAAGACCCCATGCAAGCATCCATTACAGGTCCTGCAGATGTTCCTCCACCACCTCTGAATACACTGGACGGCTTTGCAGCCTCATGTTCCCATTGCCACCTTTCATTACAAGGAATTGGTGGCCCAGTCGTCCAAGGCGCCGCGATTCTCTGTGCAGAATTGCGTCCCTTTGGCACGCCAGAAACCTGATTGTGGGTTCAAATCCAGGTTCGCCCCGATTATGTTTCTAGGTTTGTCAGCACCATACCCTTGCTCGTGGGTTTCCCCGAAATGGTAAATGTCTGAGACCTGCATCACCTCGGCTTTCCTCAAAACTTAAGCTGACACGCCGTGATATAACTGAAATACTGTTAAAAGCGGTGTTAAACCCAACTCACTCACTCACTCAATCATTACAAGGAAGTCACCTTCTCAGCACCCCACAGAACTACATTTCCATGTTCAATGGCTGAAATATTCCTGAATTTGTTACGCACACACACATGTACATTCAGTGATATGATTTCACAAAAAATCTCAAAATATTCAATGACAGAATAGTAAATATTTATTAAGCTTTCATATGAACATATTTTGATACAATATATAAACAGGTGTATTTACAGCATTCTTATTAAACAGTGTGTATATGTTTACATGAATTTTCTTATAAATGATAAAGTAACTGATAAGCCATTCACCAGAAAATATTGCACGTTACAAAAATGTGACTGAAAATTTTGCAAAACACAGAAACAAGCACTAGCTGATGAGCACATGTGACATTGTGTGGGTGTGGTGGGTACAACTACACAGTTGTTTTAAGGACCCACCATTTACTATTCTTGATGTGCCCTGCGAGTTTTCCTTGAAAACACAGAGCGGTGGGGTAGCCTAGTGGTTCCCTCATCACCCGGGTTCGATTCCCGACATGGGTACAATTTGTGAAGCCCATTTCTGGTGTCCACCGCCAAGATATTGCTGGAATATTGCTAAAAGCGGCGTAAAACCATACTCACTCAGTCCTTAAAAACATAATATGGTGTTTTTTTTGGACACATATTTCTCAGAACATCAAGTATGTCCAGCTTACAATGTTGTTTAACATTTCATGGAATGTATCATGTGATATTCCAACCCTGTTCACCAAGAAATACCCATGTCATGAAAACAAGAATCAATGTTGACAATAACTTGGGGAGTGCTTTAATATATTATTATTATTATTGAAGTCATGACCTGAATGTTCTATTGTAAACCTGCAACTACCCCATATTTCGTAGAGTGACTATGTCCAAGGTTTCCTTTGTATTTCCTTGTTGACATTCCACATCGACAGTCACAGAACCATGGTTACTGAGTACAAAATCGGCTTCACCGGAAGCACTCATAAAACATCCATCTTCAACCATAGCAATGGTTTGGTTCACTCATTGTTACTGTTGATGGAGTCTTTCTATGTGTGAAAGGCACAAAGCCCTTCCATGTGTAGACCTGTCATTGATGGGATACTTCAAGCCCAAATAATTGGGACCTTTTATCCATTATAAAAATTGGTGGGCATTTCTTATTTATCTAATCCATTGCATATCCACTAAATCTTCCCATACAGTCACTGTACGTATATACCGTGCCAGAGGTATAAAGAAGAGAATCTGTGTCACAGACCTGTATTGAAATACCTACGCACCAGATAGACTAGGGAAGGTTAACCCTTGTAACCTGACTTGGCTAATCATTCTAAGCATCGACCTGCAGTATAATCCAAACATTCTAGACAGACCAGTAAGCGTTAAACTGACTGATCTAAATGGGCAAAATATTCCCAGTATTGATCTGCAGTATGATGCTACATCACAGACCAGTAAGGGTTAACCTATGTAGTCTGAACTAGTAAAACATATTTTCGTATCAAGCTGATGTATAATCCCACTGACATAGTCTGAATGGACAAAACATCTTCAGTATCGAGCTGAAGTATTATCCCACCACAGACCAGCAAGGGTTAACCCATGTAGTCAGAATGTGGCAAACATCCTCAGTATCAAGTTGAAGTAAAACCCCACCACAGACCAGCAAGGGTTAACCCATTTAGTCAGAACGAGGCCAACATCCACAGTACAGATCTGCAGTATAATCCCACCACAGACCAGCAAGGGTTAACCCATGTAGTCAGACCGAGGCCAACATCCACACTACAGATCTGCAGTATAATCCCACCACTCCAGACAGACTAAAGCGAAGTGACCCATCTAGTGTGAGCGGGCTATACTGGAGAAGAACTCGAGCACATCGTCTATGCTGAAGTCCAGGGTGATCTGCATGTCGGGGTAGCACTTCTTGCTCAGGTCGTCATAGTGCTTGTACTGCTTGATGAACTCGTCCTGCATCTCGCGCCACACAACCTACACACAAACACAGCCATTAAACATACTTGTGACAACATACTTTGTTGCATAAACAGAGTAAAACATTTTTGAATTATATTATTCATATGCATTCGTGGGGTCCAATATTCAAAGGTTACATAACAATAACTAACAACTTTGTTTCAAAAAAGGAAAACAAACTTTTAAACAGTTTTACATTTTAGCATTGAAAAAAGCAATATCACTGAATCTACGAAAATAAGGAAATGGGAAAAATTTGTAAAAAAAATAGTTAAATCACTGTATCATTTGTTGAGATTAGTTTCACTGGCTGTGTGTTTTACGCCGCATACAGCAATATTCCAACTACATGAGGTGGACTGAAAATTATGAAGTCTGGACCAGGCAGTCGAGTGATTGATATCATGAGCAACGATCTACGCTGTCAAAGTGTGTTGACATGCAATCAACCATGTATTCAAGCCTGACCACCTGATCCATCAAGTGGCCTCTCATGACTTTGATAGGATGCTGGTGACCAATTCTAATTTGGTTTGTTGGTTGTTTTACGCCGAACTCAGCAATGTTTTAGCTATACGTCGGCGGTCTGTAAATAATCGAGTCTGGACCAGACAATCAAGTGATTGATATCATGAGCATCAAACCACACGATTGGGATTGATGACCTGCTTCAACCAAGTCAGCAAGCCTGTCCACCCGACAGCGTTTGTCGCCTCTTACAATAAGCATAGTCGCCGGCAAGCATGGGTTGCTGAAGACCTATTCTACCCCGGATCTTCACGGGTCAATTCCAATTTGGAATACCCACAGGTTTAACAATGTAGTCCCCTCTTTCAACTAGCAATAGGGAGCTGGGGACACATTCTAGCCCCAGATCAAACAAATCAGTGTTCCAATGTAGACAAAAACGTATGGATAACAACTTCTTTATTATACTGTAACAGTCTTTTGTCTACTATGTCAACTTCTAAAAAATGTCTATCAAACAATAAATCAGTGTTCCTATTAAATCAGATGATTCAAGTGGAAACTTCATTTATAGTCAGTGTTTTCTTGGTGATAGCTGACCAAAATGCAAAGGGCAAATTGAAGTCAATATATTTTTTCAAATGCGTTATTCCCTCTAGGGGAGATAACCTCTACCAAGGGGAGACAACTACCTCGAGCAGGTGCTCCTCATCACTGAGCTGCTTCTCCACCTTCTTGTTGAGGTGTTCCAGGTTCTTCTTCACCTGCACAGAGTAACAAAACATCAAACACAACATCAAACATGTGGTAGATCCAAATATTTGGGGGGCTGGTAATTTTTAGAGTTGCCCGTCCACTAGGCCTGGAAAGTTTCAAAGCCAGCGGGAACACTGTAGATCATCAACAGTCAAACTTTCAACAAATATTCAATTTCCTAACTGCACAGGTTCTACTACACCAAATCAGCATCAGTCGTTCGACACGCAGTTTTCATAGAGAGCCTTCAGTGCAGAATGAATCATCTGGCACTGTGATTGGATGATTTTGTGTAAGGATTTATGTTTTTAAATGTACATCCATCCAGTAATTAAAGCGGACAATGTTTTATCTATATTTAGTGCTGTCTTTTATAACATGATAACTTCTGCTGAAAATGACCACAGATATTTTCAAACAAGAGACATTTGGGGAGTAACTGAGGGTAGTGTGTTCAGCTTCCTGTACTCGGAAAAGGACACATGTACATCTAATAGCTATTGAATGCTTATTTGTTTAAAAATAAAATAAAATGTTACAATAGAAACATTTTGTTGTGTGTCTACAGTCTGAATAACAAAGCATTTCTCCCCAACAAGAGGGCTACACTGTCATATCATCCAAACGTTCAAAGACAGATCTACAAATGTTGGTTTGTTTGCTGTTTAACGCCGCACTTAGCAATATTCCAGCCATATGACGTCGGTCCATAAATAATCGACCAAGTTCTGCAAGCACTGACCTCCTTCCCAGGGTACTCCTTGATGACTTTGCGCAGCTCCTGTTTACTGAAGGCGAGCTGGAAGCCGACCTCCTCGGGCTTCACACCGCTGGCCACACGCTTCTCAACACCCTCGAAGAATATCTGCAGAAACAGTGCAAGTTAGTCTCCATTAGATATTGAAGAAAAAATTCCAACAATGCTGTAAACAACTCAAGTTAATGTAGCGTATTAATTACAGCAGAGGTAACATGGATAAGCATGGTATGAAATGTGTTCTTTGCGCACAAGAACCTTGTCAGAACCTTGTCAAAACCCTGTCAGGCAATCAGCGGTAAGCCTTTGGTTGGTACTTACTGGACATAAAATTAATGGATGACAACTTCCTGATGAAAAAAATGTTTAGGTTGCGTCATCTCACTTCATCAGCTGAAATGGTGAAGGGACAAGATTCAAACATGAACTGTCAATGAGAAAGTCTGATGTGTTCATGTTCTGCTGAATACACCAAGAAACCCTGGGAACTGTGTTATGTTGGGCACTCACATGTAGTTTCTCCAGGGGGCGCCCCAGCAGCGTGGTGGTGTATGTCCGCAGGTTGTCCCAGTAACGCTGCTTGGCATCCTTCCGCTCATTCTCCAGACAGGACAGCTTCAGCTGGGACAAGATGGCTGTGGGGACAGAAACATCAGCAACATCACATTATAAATCTTACTGTCAACACACAAGTCCTGTGACAGTCAACAGACACACACCAACAGACACACACCAACAGACACACACCAACAGAGACAGACAAGTCCTGTGAGAGTCAACAGAGACACACCAACAGAGACAGACCAGTCCTGTGACAGTCAACAGACACACACCAACAGAGACAGACAAGTCCTGTGAGAGTCAACAGAGACACACCAACAGAGACAGACCAGTCCTGTGACAGTCAACAGACACACACCAACAGAGACAGACAAGTCCTGTGAGAGTCAACAGAGACACACCAACAGAGACAGACCAGTCCTGTGACAGTCAACAGACACACACCAACAGAGACAGACCAGTCCTGTGACAGTCAACAGACACACACCAACAGAGACAGACCAGTCCTGTGAGAGTCAACAGAGACACACCAACAGAGACAGACCAGTCCTGTGACAGTCAACAGACACACACCAACAGAGACAGACCAGTCCTGTGACAGTCAACAGACACACACCAACAGAGACAGACCAGTCGTGTGACAGTCAACAGAGACACACCAACAGAGACAGACCAGTCCTGTGACAGTCAACAGAGACACACCAACAGAGACAGACCAGTCCTGTGACAGTCAACAGACACACACCTACAGAGACAGACAAGTCCTGTGACAGTCAACAGAGACACACCAACAGAGACAGACCAGTCCTGTGACAGTCAACAGACACACACCTACAGAGACAGGCCAGTCCTGTGACAGTCAACAGAGACACACCAACAGAGACAGACCAGCCCTGTGACAGAGACACACCAACAGAGACAGACCAGTCCTGTGACAGTCAACAGACACACACCAACAGAGACAGACCAGTCCTGTGACAGTCAACAGAGACACACCAACAGAGACAGACCAGTCCTGTGACAGTCAACAGAGACATACCCAACAGAGACAGACCAGTACTGTGACAGTCAACAGAGACACACCAACAGAGACAGACCAGTCCTGTGACAGAGACACACCAACAGACACACACCAACAGAGACACACCAGTCCTGTGACAGTCAACAGAGACAGACCAGTCCTGTGACAGAGACACACCAACAGAGACACACCAGTCCTGTGACAGTCAACAGAGACAGACCAGTCCTGTGACAGTCAACAGAGACACTCCAACAGAGACAGACTAGTCCTGTGACAGAGACACACCAACAGAGACAGTCCAGTCCTGTGACAGTCAACAGAGACACACTAACAGAGACAGACCAGTCCTGTGACAGTCAACAGAGACACACCAACAGAGATAGACCAGTCCTGTGACAGTCAACAGAGACACTCCAACAGAGACAGACTAGTCCTGTGACAATCAACAGAGACACACCAACAGAGACAGACCAGTCCTGTGACAGTCAACAGAGACACACCTACAGAGACAGACCAGTCCTGTGACAGTCAACAGAGACACTCCAACAGAGACAGACTAGTCCTGTGACAGAGACACACCAACAGAGACAGACCAGTCCTGTGACAGTCAACAGAGACACACCAACAGAGATAGACCAGTCCTGTGACAGTCAACAGAGACACTCCAACAGAGACAGACTAGTCCTGTGACAATCAACAGACACACACCAACAGAGACAGACCAGTCCTGTGACAGTCAACAGAGACACACCTACAGAGACAGACCAGTCCTGTGACAGTCAACAGAGACACACCAACAGAGACAGACAAGTCCTGTAACAGTCAACAGAGACACTCCAACAGAGACAGACTAGTCCTGTGACAGAGACACACCAACAGAGACAGTCCAGTCCTGTGACAGTCAACAGAGACACACTAACAGAGACAGACCAGTCCTGTGAGAGTCAACAGAGACACACCAACAGAGACAGACCAGTCCTGTGACAGTCAACAGAGACACTCCAACAGAGACAGACTAGTCCTGTGACAGAGACACACCAACAGAGACAGACCAGTCCTGTGACAGTCAACAGAGACACTCCAACAGAGACAGACTAGTCCTGTGACAGAGACACACCAACAGAGACAGACCAGTCCTGTGAGAGTCAACAGAGACACACCAACAGAGACAGACCAGTCCTGTGACAGTCAACAGAGACACTCCAACAGAGACAGACTAGTCCTGTGACAGAGACACACCAACAGAGACAGTCCAGTCCTGTGACAGTCAACAGAGACACACTAACAGAGACAGACCAGTCCTGTGAGAGTCAACAGAGACACACCAACAGAGACAGACCAGTCCTGTGACAGTCAACAGAGACACTCCAACAGAGACAGACTAGTCCTGTGACAGAGACACACCAACAGAGACAGTCCAGTCCTGTGACAGTCAACAGAGACACACTAACAGAGACAGACCAGTCCTGTGAGAGTCAACAGAGACACACCAACAGAGACAGACCAGCCCTGTGACAGAGACACACCAACAGAGACAGTCCAGTCCTGTGACAGTCAACAGAGACACACTAACAGAGACAGACCAGTCCTGTGAGAGTCAACAGAGACACACCAACAGAGACAGACCAGTCCTGTGACAGTCAACAGAGACAGACCAGTCCTGAGACAGAGACACACCAACAGACACACACCAACAGAGACACACCAGTCCTGTGACAGTCAACAGAGACACACCAACAGAGACAGACCAGTCCTGAGACAGAGACACACCAACAGACACACACCAACAGAGACAGACCAGTCCTGTGATAGTCAACAGAGACATGTCAACAGAGACACGCCAACATGTTGTTACCATGCTGACATTCTAGTCATCACACCCTACTCATGGTGATGTCACAGAGCCTGGTGTACTTCTGGAAGAAATTACTCTATATTCATTGTTGTGATCATAAAATAATTAACATGATTAAACATGTTAAAAGGTATTGCAAATATACAATAAGAGTTTAGAAAGTGATTAAAACTAAACTAAGATCTGTCATACTTACAATACATTCTGTGGAAGTTCTCTGGAAAATAAGAACAAATGATGAATCATAACATTTAATGAAACAAATACAACTTACAAGAATTTATTTGGAGCCCTCAAAGGGTTTTTTAAAGCTACACAACATGGAAGGATGGAAGGAAGGATGGATGGATGGATGGATGGACGGACGGACGGACGGACGGACGGATGGAAGGATGGATGGAAGGATGGATGGATGGAAGGATGGATGGAAGGATGGATGAACGGACGGAAGGAAGGAAGGAAGGAAGGAAGGAAGGAAGGATGGATGGATGGATGGATGGATGGATGGATGGATGGATGGATGGACGGACAGACGGAAGGATGGAAGGATGGATGGATGGACGGACTGATGGACGGATGGAAGGATGGATGGATGGATGTGAGGTGACACTAACCCATCATGACAACCTCCCTCGGATTCTTCTGCTGTTCTGTGGCCACTCTAACAATCTGCTCAAATATAACCTGCACCAGTTTAGCGTAAGCCTTCTCCAGATCCGCATGGCGATTTGAGCCCTTGAAGATCCGTTCAGCCAGGTTGGCAAAGTCCTGCAACAAAGTTTTTTGTTTGCTTGTTTGTTTGTTGTTTAATGCAGCACTCAGCAATACTGCAACAATCTGTAAATAATCGAGTCTGGACCAGACAATCAAGTGGTTGACATCATGAGCATTAATCCAAACAATCGGGATACAATGACATGCATCAACCAAGTCAGCGAGTCTGACCACCTGATCCCGTTAGTCACCTCTTACGGCAATCATGGGTTGCTGAAGATCTATTCTACCCCGGATCTTCACAGGTCTGCAACAAAGTCTTCTCATTTCTACAAAGTGGTACACATCTTCATGAGCCTCTTTGATATAATTGCAATATCTTTTCATGTCTTTTGGTACGACGCTTCAAGGGGATCGAACCGTCGACCACGGAGGCGGTAACAACAACATGTACCAATTATTTGTACATCATGATGTTTATTTCGAATCAACCTTATGGAATTCTTTTAATTTTCAGGCTTTAGACTTCCTCAGTGTCTGTGAGAATCAACCCATCTAAGACTTTGTGCATGCTTCTTTACATCAACACATGCAAGACCTACCTCAAAGTTGTGTACAAAGCTGATGATCCCACATCTGTTCTTCTTGGACACTTTTGTCTCCTCCACCCCTCGAATCTGGACTTGCTGAAACCCAAACACACAACATGTAGTCAACGTGGTTGAAAATGTGAACATTAAACAATCTTTTTTGGACATGCTAGACATCTGAAAGCATGTAAACACTTCATGAGCATATTTCAATAATGTTTGCATATTTTTCTGATGTGCATATTTCCGTAGCCTGTTCACATTGCATTATTCATTCCAGATTCTAATTGTATCAGTGTACAAGTACAATTGTATCAATAACAAGTTGCAAGGGTTTCAATAAGGGATCACTACAAACAGAGTAAAAGTTTAGGACACTTCTTACTATGGCCTGTAAATAATCAGGTCAGAGATATCCTGACCAGAGGTTGACAGCATGAGCAACAACAAGGGCTGGGAAAAACACCATCTACCTTCCACATTCCGCAAAGTGGTCTCAGTGGAAAGACGATAGTAGCTACATACCCTTAATGCTGACTCAGCACAAATATTCACACATTTTAACCATCCCATCCTCATTACCCTGCTAACCCTGACAAAGATGCCCACTCTGACATTTACACACCAAAATGGGAAAGGAAATCCTGACCTGTACAAAATTGATCCCCGAAGAAACTGAGTGAGTGAAACGGATTTTATGTTCTTAAGGCTTAAAAAAATAAAAGAATTGGTTCTCAGGCAATGGCTTTTGAAAATATAGTGTGGGTGGGCGTTGTTTTTTTCTTTTCTTACTCAAACTAGTTTGTAACCAAATAAACAGTTGTGTACCATCAACCTGGGAAAGGACTTCCTACATGAAGAAGCATACAAACTCTTATTGCCCCATGACCATGACACAACATGTGCAGTAAAGCAGTGTGCATGTAAAGGGAAGTAACTGTGTGCTATATTGGATTGCATTGTTTTCAAGTAGAATATTTAGGATATTTTTTTTTTTTAAATTAAATGTTAATAAAACCAAAACATGCGGCAGACTTTATGATAATGTGGGCGGTGCCTAAGAACCAAGACTATTATTTTTTTTAGCCTAACCTTTGTTTTTACTTACAATGTACTTGTCAAAGTTGCGCTTGACCTTGACGAGGCAGTTGCCGAAGGTCTTGCTGAGGAAGGACCCCATGTCCTGTGAGTGGTTGACGTGGGCGCTCAGCTTCACCAGCATGTACATGGAGTTCCTGCAGGCAGGGGGGAGTCAGTTATATGGAAACAGGGTGAGTAGGTGATACAGGCAAGGGTGAGTGAGTGATGTTTGTTGTTGTTTAACGCCACACTCAGCAATATTTCAGCTATATGACGGCAGTCTGTTTATAATCCAGTGATTGATATCATGAGCATCAATCTATGCAATTCGGATACGATGACATGCATCAACCAAGTCAGCGTGGCTTATCCACCCGATCCCGTTAGTCGCCTCTTACGACAAGCATAGTCGCTTGTTTTACGGCAAGCATGAACTGAAGACCTTTTCTAACCCAGATCTACATGGGTGGATGGTGGTCGGGTAGCCTAGTGGTTAAAGCGTTTGCTCGTCACGCCAAAGACCCGGGTTCGATTCCCGACATGGGTACAATGTGTGAAACCCATTTCTGGTGTCCCCTGCCTTGATATTGCTAGAATACTGCTAATGAAGCGGCGTAAAACCATACTCACTCACTCTTCATGTGAGTGAGTGAGTGAGTGAGTGAGTGAGTGAGTGAGTGAGTGAGTGAGTGAGTGAGTGAGTGAGTGAGTGAGTGAGTGAGTGAGTGAGTGAGTGAGTGATATAAATGAATCTGATTTTTTCACTATTCTTTACATTTACCTTAGCAACACTACATGTGATCAAGGGGGGTGTCACCAAGAAAGGTTTTCACATTTGTACCCATGTGGGGATCAACCCTGAGTGTGAGGAGTGATGGCACTAACCACTGGGCTACCCTAACATCTGACAGTCAGTGTGAATCCAGACAGCACTTACAATCCATCCCTCTGGTCAGCGAAGACGAAGAAGTTGTCCAGCTCACACTCCAGCGTGGGGAACAGGGCCGCCATCATGCTTCTACAACATCACACATCAGGGAATAACAGATGTTAAACTCCTAAAACATCACACATCACGGAATAACAGATGTCATGCTCCTATAACAGCACACATCACAGAATAACAGATGTCAGACTCCTACAACATCACAGGTCACAGAAAAACAGATGTCAGACTCCTACAACATCACAGGTCACAGAATAACAGATGTCAGACTCCTACAACATCACAGGTCACAGAATAACAGATGTCAGACTCCTACAACATCACACGTCACAGAATAACAGATGTCAGACTCCTACAACATCACAGGTCACAGAATAACAGATGTCAGACTCCTAAAACATCACACATCACGGAATAACAGATGTTAGACTCCTACAACATCACACGTCACAGAATAACAGATGTAAGACATCAAGGACGGAGGTCCAGATGTAGTGGAGTCATGATAGGACAGATGTGTGAGGGAAAGATGACTATAATTCTGTAAATGTGATGGGGCAGGTTTCACTGGGCACCATATTGCTCAGACACAAATAAAACACTTTTGTTCAGGGGTCAATGACCCAGGCAGGTTAGCGATCAATAGGAATGGGCAAGTCAGTCCTTTCCTACCACTGTTTTAAGTATAAGGGTTCTCAGCCAATATTCAGCCAATACTCAGCACTATCCATTATATAACAACACTGTTCCTTAAATGACAGCACTATCCACTATATAAATACACTGTTCCTTAAATGACAACACTATCCATTATATGATAAAATAAAGTAGTTACCTCACTGCATCATTAATCTGCCTCCTGGAAAAAGAAAAAAGTCAATGTACAATCTGATCACCGAGGATTGGTATTTTCAATACCACGTGTAACATATTGGTAATCTCTTTCACATTACAGAAAACAAGTTGTAATATAAAACACATGTACACACAGTGTAAAGTGCATATTAAACATTTATTATCAACCTGAACATATCTATTTGAAACCAAAGCAGTTACACCTGTAACATCACCCGACGTTACATCGTAACTCTTTCAATGGTATTTTTCATTTTACTGTTATCATGGTTATTGCCTTAAATTGAATATCAGCATAGAATCATATACATTCTTTGTTTGCATTGTCTTATAATCAAAGACTGAAAAGACCTGTACATGTTGCATTACAACATAATTTCACACACAAAATAGAAATGAATGATACAACTAGTCCAGTACAGTCATAACATAACAGTTTAACAAATACATAAAACCTAGAAGCTTCAAAATAAATTTCAAAAGCGCAAATACAATGTGAATTAATAATTTGACAATGTGTATCAACCGATACTGCAAGGGAAAAGCAATGTGTCTGGAGAAGATTGAATAAATACGAGCAGAATGGAAGAAGCTGAACAAGTGAAAAAGCAAATAAATAAAACTAAAAGGGATGAACAAAATACAACAAGATATCTTGATAGTACGAACAAGCTGTTCCTGATACAAAGTAAAGCAATGGTTACTATGGAGGGTGGAAGATATGAGCATCAGTCACAGTGGGCTGAAAACATGGTGAAGAAGACACGGAAATGGAGATATATCACCCACATGCATCACAAGTTACATTGCAGGAATATTATTCCTCCAGGAGGGATACGAGTGATATTCCCCCACACAAGGCAGACATGCAGCATCCCAAGCCCTGAACCTCTTTATAACAAGTTTGCAGATTTCTACCCATCCAGTCAACTTGTTGGGTAGTGGTAGAATTCTACCACTAAATGCCATGACACACCTACATACTTATTGTAAATATGAATAGCTGATTATCAAGCCTTCTTGTTATTTATATGAAGACTTATTCTGTTGCTTAATGCGCATTCTGACTTTCCCACAAAATTCAGCTATGTCATGCATTTATACCTCAAACGGTTCAGTCGGGTATTTACAGAACAATGATGCAGGTATGAGAGACAGGAAGTCACAGAGAACAAGGCAAATGCAGGTTTATAATTGGTCCATATTTTAGGCCACTGAGATTGTTTTCCTAAAGAGGTTAAAAATTTGGTAACACTAACAACATACATTCCATTCAAAATTGATGAATTGCAAACCTCCTAACATGTTCAAGGAAATTTTCCTCTTGAAAAGCACTAAAAATGTCCTGTGTCTCAGACAGGGATTGTGAAAACCTGTTCCCTTCATGTATTCTCAGAGAACACTGCAAACAATATTTTCATGCATGATAATTTGTATGAATATTCTTACCATGTGCACATGTAAAACTTGTGTGTTGTTTTGTTACACTGATATAACATAGATGTTATATGCCTTGGTAGCTCAAATGACAAAATGACCCGTGAAGATCCGGGGTAGAATAGGTCTTCAGCAACCATGATTGCCTTAAACAGCGACTAACGGGATCAGGTGGTCAGGCTCGCTGACTAGGTTGATGCATGTCATCTTATCCCAATTGCGTAGATTGATGCTCATGATACCAATCACTAGATTGTCTGGTCCAGACTCGATTATTTACAGACTGCCATGATACAGCTTGAATATTGCTGAGTGCACCGTTAAACAACAAAACAAAACAAAACCAACTGACAAACTGAGTGTACATATGCTGATTTTACAATAGTGTTTTAAGGCAGTGTAATTTATTGTTAAACAATGATTGTAACTGTATTACATGGTTTCTGTTCAGTAGATGTTCATTGCATTGTATTTGGACAATGATTAGTTGTCAGGAATGTAGTACTATCTAATGTAAGCAGTGGTGAGGAAGTTATCATATTTAGATGCTAGTGTGATGTGCAAACTTTCGTGACAGTGTGTACTGATGTGGATCATAGGAGAATGTTCTGGAAGGTGTTTGGACTACATAAGTGTGTGCCTCATGCATCTCACACTTCAACTGACATTACATCAAGACCAGCTTTCGTTTGAAGATCACTTTTCACCCTGGTGTTCAGCCAAGCCTATCTTGGAAGCTTGACCATTGTTGGGTCGAGGTGATTATTATTCTATTATTGTCATTTCCACTGCCCTCACATTTAGTATTGCCAATGAATATTGTACTACCACTCTATCGTGTACTGCATTTTAATTGCTGTGTAGTAATTTGTAATCATTTGTAAACTTAGTTCATTTTGTAATACAATTGCTGACTGAAATCCATTTGTTGGTTTCACACAAAATTCTTTTACGTACAGACTTCTTAGTTAATATTGTTTCAATTTTGGGATGGACTCATAATGACAGGTAGACATGTAACACAGTCACAGTGCAGCAGTGAGCATGGTTCAAAGTCTGTGTGGCCTGTACACACCAGAGTTGATTCTCCACGGTGACATGTCCTTGAAAGGCTAAAGTACATGTAAACTGTGCTCTTACTGTTCAACGAGCATGCACACAAGACACTGAACCAAAGACACAACAGACACAATCCAGGCACTACACATGGTAAAGTAGACACAATTTATGGATAACAATTTCTTTAATTACTGTAAAGGGGATGTTTCAGTATAGATTCTTATACCGTTGTCAAGCAAGATCCATAAATTGTGTCTACTTTGTCATCCATCAACTTCTAAGGAATGACTATCAAACAATTCACTACAAATGGTGTTACATTACATCATTAGTGGGATAAATGTTAGTTTGTTTGTTTGTTTGTTTGTTTGTTTTATTCCAGCTATATGACGGGGGTCTGTAAATAATCGAGTCTGGACCAGAAACATCCAGTGATTGACATTATGAGCATCGATCCACGCAATTGGGATACGATGACATGCATCAAACAAGTCAATGAGCCTGACCACCCGATCCCACTTGTTGCCTCTTACGACAAGCATAGTCGCCTATCGCTGAAGACCTATTCTTCCCCCGGAACTTTACGGGTCGATTGATGTATTTTCACAACTTTGTTGTGACAGGGATCCAAATACACAAAGAAGCTAAAAACATAGGAATGCTGGCAAAACCTCATGACTGTGCATAATTTCTTACAGAATACACTCGCAACATGTGCTGCAGAAAATCAGGGTAGGAGGCTCGGGTTGCGTGTTCTAATCCACCAAAAAAGCAAATGGAGGACATACTGTAACCATGGTAACCAGATGGGCTGACAACACAGTACTTACAATTGTGACGTGGATCGTTTCTGCAGCAACCCCTCCCCTAGATTCTCCATAAAGTAATCCCTAAAAAGAATCACCAAGTTCCCTTATTACAGACCACGATCTTGACCTTGGATGACCTGTCACACCGTCTGACCAACAGGCAGCTCCAGCATGTGTAAATGTGTAACAATGTTAAATGATGTTAATGATATGAACAATCAAGGATTATATACAGCAGTGACACCATATGACTGACAGTGATGAGCAGTAGACAGGGAAATATGACCTCACTGTTAATACCACAACAGACAGTTGTCAAGTTGGGCCTTACATGTTTTTGCTTACAGATCTGCCAACCTCAAAAATAGCAAATTCAGGTGGAAAAATAAATCAGAGTGAGAAGCTTTTTTTCAACCCACAACAGTAGAAAATGACAATGAAATGCCACTGTCTGATTTTAGGTGTAAAATATTTATAAGCACCCAAACCAGGCCAAGATTATTATATTTTCTTAATCACCTACTGATCCAAATCATCTTTTCAACGTAAAAAAAAGTATCCTTTAATTTTTTTTTAAATTTTCGACCTACTAACCAAATTTTCACTTACAAAATCTGTAACCCTCCAAAATTCATCTGGCTTTGTTTAAGAAGATTACTCCTAGTACTGCTACAGAAAATAATGCTGCTTATTTTCTGAAGTTATATGCTGTTGTCCTTTCATGCTCGTGAAACTTTCTCCATATGGTGTCACTGCTCTGGACTCATGTCAATCTTCTCATGTGGGCTAAATAATGCATGTGGAATATGCCTCATCCCAACAGTCTGACCTCAAGAAGTTGATTGACATGAGTCCTCACGTTAATAACTGTTAACTGACAAACATATTTCAAGATTAGTTTGAAAATGATGCAGTTTCCAAACTAGTCTTCTGTTATCATGATTATAAACATGAAATGAATATTGAGCTGAATTGTTCATGATGTTAAAGGAAGCAGAGACACAGTACATCACAAGGTGAAAGTGATCGATCAGATCATGAAAGTGTTTCACATCATGAGTAACATTAATGTTACCATGAGTAGGCTGTGGCCGTGATCTGATTGGAGGACAGGAACGGGGGCTTGCATGCATACGCCTAAAAAGCAGGATTATACCATGCATCACATCAGGCATTATATCATGCATCACACCATGCATTATATCATGCATCACACCATGCATTTTATCATGCATCACACCATGCATTTTATCATGCATCACACCATGCATTATATCATGCATCACACCATGCATCACACCATGCATTATATCATGCATCACACCATGCATTATATCATGCATCACACCATGCATCACACCATGCATTATATCATGCATCACACCATGCATTATATCATGCATCACACCATGCATCACATCAGGCATTATATCATGCATCACACCATGCATTATGTCATGCATCACACCATGCATCACACCATGCATTATATCATTCATCACACCATGCATTATATCATGCATCACACCATGCATTATATCATGCATCACACCATGCATCACACCATGCATTATATCATGCATCACACCATGCATTATATCATGCATCACACCATGCATCACACCATGCATAATATCATGCATCACACCATGAATTATATCATGCATCACACCATGCATCACATCAGGCATTATATCATGCATCACACCATGCATTATGTCATGCATCACACCATGCATCACACCATGCATTATATCATTCATCACACCATGCATCACACCATGCATTATATCATGCATCACACCATGCATTATATCATGCATCACACCATGCATTATCAATGCACATATCTGACATCAAACTTAAACGTTTCATGATCATGTAGTTGTCTGTATTCCATGCACTGATCTTCACGCTCTTGTCACATGCATAAGCTTCATATATTTTCCATTATACATTTTCAGAAGTTAGTTTAGGAAAGAGTGTTGGCTTGATAATCATGCCGTCCTTGAAGTCACCAAAACAACATGCTGTGTCACAATACCCTTGAAAACTACCAGCTAATCAATCAAATAAACAAATATTATTTTCTTCACAACTAGTTACAGATGTGAAATATTCATGGGCTGCAAGTGAACTTATTGGGACCTCTGTGTTAACAGTTTTCTTGTCCCAAAATGTTTTGACAGGTCAGATTTCCAGATAAGCCATGACATTTTAAAAATAATTATTTTTAAGTTTCCGAGAGTATATATGTGTAACTATGCGACTCTAGTGGTGAGGATTACTGACGTGCATTATACATGTCGACACAGTTATGGGTACAGTGAACCACCTCAGGGCACAACAACTTGATAACAGGTACATTGAGATCCTTTTATGCATTTTACATCCTTCATTGCATGATGCTTCATTGTCATGGTTACCATTTTATAATAAATCTGTATAATCTTCTAACATAGAATTCTGCATATGAGGTGTTATGCAGATCTAATGCCGTAATGAATATGTTATTTTCTAAAACAATTCACTGTTCAAAATAGTTTCACCTTTCACCATGTTTACCATGAGCTCATGCTGCAACCAAATCCTTGAAGAACCAGATCAGTTTGTTGTGACCCGAGACAAAATTTATTTCCTTGGAAGCAACTTCCCTTAGTAAACACACCATACACACCGTCAATTGAATCAAAATTAGAAAACGCTGTTCTATCCTTTTTCCATCCAAACCTCACTGCATACAACTAACTACCCCACTCCTCAACCTCATGACATGCCAAACATTGCCCCACCCCACACAGCACCACCATGCCATGTGCCCCCACCCCACATAGCACCATCAAGCCATGTGCCCCCACCCCAAACAGCACCATCAAGCCATGTGCCCCCACCCCACACAGCACCATCAAGCCATGTGCCCCCACCCCACACAGAACCATCAAGCCACGTGCCCCAATCCCACACAGAACCATCAAGACATGTGCCCCCACCCCACACAGCACCATCAAGCCATGTGCCACCTCCTTACACAGAACCATCAAGCCATTTGCCCCCACACAACACAATCAAGCCATGTGCCCCCACCCCACACAACACAATCAAGCCATGTGCCCCCACCCCACACAGAACCATCAAGCCACGTGCCCCAATCCCACACAGAACCATCAAGACATGTGCCCCCACCCCACACAGCACCATCAAGCCATGTGCCCCCACACAGAACCATCAAGCCATGTGCCCCCACCCGACACAGCACCATCAAGCCATGTGCCCCCACCCCACACAGCACCATCAAGCCATGTGCTCCCACCCCACACAGCACCATCAAGCCATGTGCCCCCACCCTACACAGAACCATCAAGCCATGTGCCCCTACCCTACACAGCACCATCAAGCCATGTGCCCCCACCCCACACAGGACCATCAAGCCATGTGGCCCCACCCCACACAGAACCATCAAGCCATGTGCCCCCACCCCACACAGCACGATCAAGCCATGTGCCCCCACCCCACACAGCACCATCAAGCCATGTGCCCCCACCCGACACAGCACCATCAAGCCATGTGCCCCCACCCCACACAGCACCATCAAGCCATGTGCCCCCACCCCACACAGCACCATCAAGCCATGTGCCCCCACCTGACACAGCACCATCAAGCCATGTGCCCCCACCCCACACAGCACCATCAAGCCATGTGCCCCCACCCCACACAGCACCATCAAGCCATGTGCCCCCACCCCACACAGAACCATCAAGCCATGTGCCCCCACCCCACACAGCACCATCAAGCCATGTGCCCCCACCCCACACAGCACCATCAAGCCATGTGGCCCCACCCCACACAGCACCATCAAGCCATGTGCCCCCACACAACACAATCAAGCCATGTGCCCCCTACCCACACAGCACCATCAAGCCATGTGCCCCCACCCCACACAGCACCATCAAGCCATGTGCCCCCACCCCACATAGCACCATCAAGCCATGTGCCCCCACCCCACACAGCACCATCAAGCCATGTGCCCCCACCCGACACAGCACCATCAAGCCATGTGCCCCCACCCCACACAGCACCATCAAGCCATGTGCCCCCACCCCACACAGCACCATCAAGCCATGTGCCCCCACCCCACATAGCACCATCAAGCCATGTGCCCCCACCCCACACAGAACCATCAAGCCAAGTGCCCCTACCCCACACAGCACCACCACGCCATATCACTGGTTGCCCCACTCCACACTTAGCCAACCACGCCAGCAGGGACATTCCTGGGACCCCCATGCTGTACACATGCAGGCATCCGTCGGTCTGAAGAAACAAGAACAGTGTCAGTTTTGAAAGCAGCAGCCATTTTTTCCTACTTACTCTGCTACATTTGACGGGTTCCTTAGAGTCCACACCTCACTGTCGTCCTCAGCACTGACATTGTGCTGCCCGGGGGACCCCTAGAACACATCAAGCAGGTATACCACATGGAGTCAAAGGTGTGCCACACAGAATCACAGGTGTGTTACATAGAATCACAGGTGCGTTACACAGAATCACAGGTGTGTTACATAGAATCACAGGTGTGTTACATAGAATCACAGGTGTGATACATAGAATCATAGGTGTGTTACAAGGCTTTTATGCCAAACAGAAATGTGCATCCAGTACACACAAATGTTTAGAATGGGCGCATAAAATATATATATTGCATCCCATGGGATGCACAATACTATTCATCATACTAAATTCTTGACATGAAATATAAAGTTCCTTTAATAAAAGTAATTATGAAATTTTACAGTTGACTACACTATACTATTTCATTACTTGCAGGGCCACTTATTCCCTATAAGGGCCCTTGAAATTAGTAACTTGGTGTTCCCTGGACCTGCAGTTTTGAAGGTCAAGGTAAGACCCTGGTTACATCGAATCACAGGTGTGTCACATAGAATCACAGGTGTGTTACATTGAATCACAGGTGTGTTACATGGGATCACAGATGTGTTAAATCACACACACACACCACAGCACCCCTGTTAACAACAAATCCCCTCCAACAGTCCTGATCATGTACATCTAATGGTATCAAGTTTTGTTTGTTTTTTGTTTAACGCCACACACAATTTTACAGCTATATGACGGCGGTCTGTAAATAATCGAGACTGGACCAGACAATCCAGTGACTGACATCATTAGCATCAATCCACGTAATTGGGATATGATGACATGCATCTACCAAGTCAGCGAGCCTGACCACCGATCCCGTTAGTCGCCTCTTACGACAAGCATAGTCGCCTTTTATGGCAAGCATAGGTTGCTGAAAACCTATTCAAACCCGGATCTTCACGGGTAGCAAACATCTAATGCATATAATGCCACTAGACAAGATCTGGCTAGAATGCTAAAAGTTTGGCAATGACTGATGAAATTTTTTTTGTGTGGAACATTGTAGAGATTCCTATGGGTAGCTAAGACCTATTCTACCCCGGATCTTCAAGGGTAGCAAACATCTAATGCACATAATGCCACTAGACAAGATCTGGCAATGATTGATGAAATTCTTTTAGTGTCGAATATTGTAGAGCTTCCTATGGGTTGCTAAGACCTATTCCACCCTGGTTCTTCAGGGTCTGGTATCAAGTAATGTAATCACCTTTGCATCTGACACTGATGGCGTCTTCTCGATGAGCTGGAAGAACTTGTAGCAGAAGTCCTGCTCCGCTACACACACCCGCTCCAGTTCACTCAGCACCTTCTCCAGCGTCTGCAGGAACAACGCCAGGCAGTGAGCAGAGCCTCAGATAAGCTGCGTATTTGTATAAAATACCCCCAAAAATATTCAAAACCCAATTACTTTCAAGTGACTTGCGTACAGAACACATGCAGTAAATGAAAAACTCAAATGTATAAAAACAGCATGTGTAAATACCCAATGAAGCTTTTTCAGCATGCGTACAAAGGAGCTAATTTCCAAAACACAATTACGAGCTAATTTACTTTCCGAGTCAAACCTATATATTAAGAACAGTTATACATCTAAAACATTATTTAATTTTATTGAAATTTTAAAATGTTCACTAATTTTGGGAAAAAGCCAATAGAGTGATTAAAATGGATGAGTGAAAAAATATAGGTTACCAAATGAAAAATGTAATAACCCAGTTAAAAGAAAACCCTAGAGTAAAAACTCAATTGCTCAAAAAGTTATCTGGAGCTCTGAGTAGGAGACATTATCTTACATTATACAGTGATCCCTCACTACAACGCTACTATTCCCTGTCCCTGTCAACTGAAGTTCATTTCAAGGCGTCAATAGGGGTAATCTGACCGTGGTTACTGTAAATAACAGTGTGTTGTGCAATCTGCCGATCACTTCACACATGATTTCGCCAAAATTAATGTAAACAATATTGAATGATTCTTTTAATAAAATTCATTAAATATGTTACAAACATAAGACCAGATATACAATGAAAATGTGTAAAAATAGAATTCAATCACTTCATAGGACTTTGTTGATTGGTATTTCCGGTGCTGCTTGCTCGCAGTGATCAGCTGGTAATGTTTTTGCCAAGGGAAAAAACATTGTGTAAGTGCAAAACTTGAGTTTATTAAAAATGTTCATAAATTTTGAGATATGCATTACCGCGTGCTATATTGATGAAGTGTGAGAGCCAAGAGTATGCCTTACACATCAGCGCCCAGGCATTGGTTGCAGCTGTAGTTTCACACAGTACTAGTCCCACTCCGTATTCTACACAGTACTAGTCCCACTCCGTATTCTACACAGTACCAGTCCCACTCCGTATTCTACACAGTACTAGTCCCACTCCGTATTCTACACAGTACCAGTCCCACTCCGTATTCTACACAGTACTAGTCCCACTCCGTATTCTACACAGTACTAGTCCCACTCCGTATTCTACACAGTACCAGTCCCACTCCGTATTCTACACAGTACCAGTCCCACTCCGTATTCTACACAGTACCAGTCCCACTCCGTATTCTACACAGTACCAGTCCCACTCCGTATTCTACACAGTACTAGTCCCACTCCGTATTCTACACAGTACTAGTCCCACTCCGTATTCTACACAGTACTAGTCCCACTCCGTATTCTACACAGTACCAGTCCCACTCCGTATTCTACACAGTACCAGTCCCACTCCGTATTCTACACAGTACCAGTCCCACTCCGTATTCTACACAGTACTAGTCCCACTCCGTATTCTACACAGTACCAGTCCCACTCCGTATTCTACACAGTACCAGTCCCACTCCGTATTCTACACAGTACCAGTCCCACTCCGTATTCTACACAGTACTAGTCCCACTCCGTATTCTACACAGTACTTGTCCAACTCCGTATTCTACACAGTACTAGTCCCACTCCGTATTCTACACAGTACTAGTCCCACTCCGTATTCTACACAGTACTTGTCCAACTCCGTATTCTACACAGTACTAGTCCCACTCCGTATTCTACACAGTACTAGTCCCACTCCGTATTCTACACAGTACCAGTCCCACTCCGTATTCTACACAGTACTTGTCCAACTCCGTATTCTACACAGTACTAGTCCCACTCCGTATTCTACACAGTACTAGTCCCACTCCGTATTCTACACAGTACTTGTCCAACTCCGTATTCTACACAGTACTAGTCCCACCCTGTATTCTACACAGTACTAGTCCCACCCTGTATTCTACACAGTACCAGTCCCACTCCGTATTCTACACAGTACTTGTCCCACTCCGTATTCTACACAGTACTAGTCCCACTCCGTATTCTACACAGTACCAGTCCCACTCCGTATTCTACACAGTACTTGTCCCACTCCGTATTCTACACAGTACTAGTCCCACTCCGTATTCTACACAGTACTAGTCCCACCCTGTATTCTACACAGTACTAGTCCCACCCTGTATTCTACACAGTACTAGTCCCACCCTGTATTCTACACAGTACCAGTCCAACTCCGTATTCTACACAGTACCAGTCCCACTCCGTATTCTACACAGTACTTGTCCCACTCCGTATTCTACACAGTACTTGTCCCACTCCGTATTCTACACAGTACTAGTCCCACTCCGTATTCTACACAGTACTTGTCCCACTCCGTATTCTACACAGTACCAGTCCCACTCCGTATTCTACACAGTACCAGTCCCACTCCGTATTCTACACAGTACTAGTCCCACTCCGTATTCTACACAGTACTAGTCCCACTCCGTATTCTACACAGTACCAGTCCCACTCCGTATTCTACACAGTACTAGTCCCACTCCGTATTCTACACAGTACTAGTCCCACTCCGTATTCTACACAGTACTTGTCCCACTCCGTATTCTACACAGTACTTGTCCCACTCCGTATTCTACACAGTACTTGTCCCACTCCGTATTCTACACAGTACTAGTCCCACTCCGTATTCTACACAGTACTAGTCCCACCCTGTATTCTACACAGTACCAGTCCCACTCCGTATTCTACACAGTACTTGTCCCACTCCGTATTCTACACAGTACTAGTCCCACTCCGTATTCTACACAGTACTTGTCCCACTCCGTATTCTACACAGTACTAGTCCCACTCCGTATTCTACACAGTACTAGTCCCACCCTGTATTCTACACAGTACTAGTCCCACCCTGTATTCTACACAGTACTTGTCCCACTCCGTATTCTACACAGTACTAGTCCCACTCCGTATTCTACACAGTACCAGTCCCACTCCGTATTCTACACAGTACTAGTCCCACTCCGTATTCTACACAGTACTAGTCCCACTCCGTATTCTACACAGTACTTGTCCAACTCCGTATTCTACACAGTACCAGTCCCACTCCGTATTCTACACAGTACTTGTCCCACTCCGTATTCTACACAGTACTTGTCCCACTCCGTATTCTACACAGTACTAGTCCCACTCCGTATTCTACACAGTACTTGTCCCACTCCGTATTCTACACAGTACTTGTCCCACTCCGTATTCTACACAGTACTTGTCCCACTCCGTATTCTACACAGTACCAGTCCCACTCCGTATTCTACACAGTACTAGTCCCACCCTGTATTCTACACAGTACTAGTCCCACTCCGTATTCTACACAGTACTTGTCCCACTCCGTATTCTACACAGTACTAGTCCCACTCCGTATTCTACACAGTACCAGTCCCACTCCGTATTCTACACAGTACCAGTCCCACTCCGTATTCTACACAGTACCAGTCCCACTCCGTATTCTACACAGTACCAGTCCCACTCCGTATTCTACACAGTACTAGTCCCACTCCGTATTCTACACAGTACTAGTCCCACTCCGTATTCTACACAGTACCAGTCCCACTCCGTATTCTACACAGTACTAGTCCCACTCCGTATTCTACACAGTACTAGTCCCACTCCGTATTCTACACAGTACTAGTCCCACTCCGTATTCTACACAGTACTAGTCCCACTCCGTATTCTACACAGTACTAGTCCCACCCTGTATTCTACACAGTACTAGTCCCACCCTGTATTCTACACAGTACTTGTCCCACTCCGTATTCTACACAGTACTAGTCCCACTCCGTATTCTACACAGTACTAGTCCCACTCCGTATTCTACACAGTACTAGTCCCACTCCGTATTCTACACAGTACTAGTCCCACCCTGTATTCTACACAGTACTAGTCCCACCCTGTATTCTACACAGTACTAGTCCCACTCCGTATTCTACACAGTACCAGTCCCACTCCGTATTCTACACAGTACTAGTCCCACTCCGTATTCTACACAGTACTTGTCCCACTCCGTATTCTACACAGTACTAGTCCCACCCTGTATTCTACACAGTACCAGTCCCACTCCGTATTCTACACAGTACCAGTCCCACTCCGTATTCTACACAGTACTTGTCCCACTCCGTATTCTACACAGTACTAGTCCCACCCTGTATTCTACACAGTACTTGTCCCACTCCGTATTCTACACAGTACTAGTCCCACTCCGTATTCTACACAGTACTAGTCCCACTCCGTATTCTACACAGTACTAGTCCCACTCCGTATTCTACACAGTACTAGTCCCACCCTGTATTCTACACAGTACTAGTCCCACCCTGTATTCTACACAGTACTAGTCCCACTCCGTATTCTACACAGTACCAGTCCCACTCCGTATTCTACACAGTACTAGTCCCACTCCGTATTCTACACAGTACTTGTCCCACTCCGTATTCTACACAGTACTAGTCCCACCCTGTATTCTACACAGTACCAGTCCCACTCCGTATTCTACACAGTACCAGTCCCACTCCGTATTCTACACAGTACTTGTCCCACTCCGTATTCTACACAGTACTTGTCCAACTCCGTATTCTACACAGTACTAGTCCCACCCTGTATTCTACACAGTACTAGTCCCACCCTGTATTCTACACAGTACCAGTCCCACTCCGTATTCTACACAGTACCAGTCCCACTCCGTATTCTACACAGTACCAGTCCCACTCCGTATTCTACACAGTACTTGTCCCACTCCGTATTCTACACAGTACTTGTCCCACTCCGTATTCTACACAGTACTTGTCCCACTCCGTATTCTACACAGTACCAGTCCCACTCCGTATTCTACACAGTACTAGTCCCACTCCGTATTCTACACAGTACTAGTCCCACTCCGTATTCTACACAGTACTTGTCCCACCCTGTATTCTACACAGTACCAGTCCCACTCCGTATTCTACACAGTACCAGTCCCACTCCGTATTCTACACAGTACTAGTCCCACTCCGTATTCTACACAGTACTAGTCCCACTCCGTATTCTACACAGTACTTGTCCCACTCCGTATTCTACACAGTACTTGTCCCACTCCGTATTCTACACAGTACCAGTCCCACTCCGTATTCTACACAGTACTAGTCCCACTCCGTATTCTACACAGTACTAGTCCCACTCCGTATTCTACACAGTACTTGTCCCACCCTGTATTCTACACAGTACCAGTCCCACTCCGTATTCTACACAGTACCAGTCCCACTCCGTATTCTACACAGTACTAGTCCCACTCCGTATTCTACACAGTACTAGTCCCACTCCGTATTCTACACAGTACCAGTCCCACTCCGTATTCTACACAGTACTTGTCCCACCCTGTATTCTACACAAGCGTCTCACCTGTTCAAAGGGTCCACGTTGAGCCAGGTCCTGGTCCGAGCCCAGCGATGCTCTGTCCACGCTCTGCATGGAGGAGGATCTCCCCCGGAGCTCGGAGATCTTCCCCAGACTGGTGGAGGACCCAGACAGCTTGGTCAGTGTGGCTGTAGGGTGGAGAGAGCCTCACAGTTAGTGCTCAACACACAACAGCAGGAGTAGGACAAGGTCCTCGACAAATGCTTCTTGTCTACCATCTTTCCACTGATCAGTTTCCGTAGAATTCGATCACCAGAACCATGCATTAACTGGAGTCTGAGCAAGCTAGCTTCAACACAGTATTAACAGAAAAGTATTTCCGTTACCATGGTTACAACACTGTATGCCATTGTAATCATGTTAACAAAGGTTGAAGTTTGCTTGCTTGTTGTTTAACGCAGCACTGAGCAATATTCCCAGAACATGATGGCGGCCTGTAATTAATCAAATCTGGATCAGACAAACCCGTGATTGATATCATGAGCAAGGTCCCTCATCGTCGATGTATGTCGACCCACAAACAACCAAGTCTTTCAGCCTCTTGATCCGTCTTAGCGTCACAACTAAGGGAGGCAACTCTGCATATAGAATTCATTGCTATTTATGTTTGCGGCATCTTATAGCCTGTTATCCACCAATCCAGGAAGAGATGGATTAACAACTGAAGACCCAGTGTAGGTGACTAAGACAGACATAGCAGGAACCTCGTCTCAACCAGAATGACACAGGTCTCGTGCATAATGCAGTGGTTATTTTTCACTTATCACACCAGCTGTAATGACCACCTCAGCCGCCAAACTGTCCAAGATTTAAAACAAGTCTGTATTATTATATGGCAGTAGAGATTGTTGGAGGTTAATGTGTAGTGATTGTCGGCTGCAGCAAATGATTAAAGCTGATTAAAATTAAAGTTACCATCAGTTGTTGACAACCCACCCCAAGTTGTGGGATGAGACAGTTTCTAAAAGGCCGGCGGTACCTCATAGAAGCTACACAGGGGTGGTTCGAGGTCTTTTACACCTTATCTCCTTGCCAAGTGTGAATGTGATACACCAAATTCGTGGCAGCTTCCAACACTATTCGGGGCGGTCGAGAAGCCTAGTGGTTAAAGCGTTTGCTTGTCACGCCGAAGACCCGGGTTCGATTCCCGACATGGGTACAATGTGTGATGCCCATTTCTGGTGTCCACCGCCGTGATATTGCTGGAATATTGCTAAAAGCAGCGTAAAACCATACTCACTCACTCACTCCAACTCTATTCCAGATTCTAGAACAGTGAAAGGCTGTTGCAAAACATTTGTCAGTGACAAAAATGTGGACATCAGTGCACTATTATTTATCATAGGGCTTGGTACTCATTGTTGCAGCATGTACTTGACCCATTTTATTGTTTTCTTTATTGTATACCTAAAATTGTGTGTTTCAATATAACGTGTTGGTTATTCATTGATCTTGTTTCATCACCACTGATTTCACATTTCTGGGTTAACATTTGCATTTCAATTCATAAATTACCTTGTGATAGTACGTAACATCTTCAGTGCTGTATTTTTCATGTGATGGCCTTTTTTTTGTGCAAATTTAAGGCATTTAGAAGTGATACACATAAGGAAGAGAATTTATAGATGTCAACTTCTTTTTTAGGAGGGACACAACATTTCGGAGTGTTTACTTACACCTTCATTCACCTGATGAAGAAGTAGGTATATACTCTGAGGTGAGGTGAGATGAAATTGGGTTTAACGTCGCGTCCAAGACTATTGCACTTATATAGCCACGTGCATGCACGTGTGTGTGTGGCTGCTTGTACTAGACCGGACTGATGCCGATTTATAGTGCTAGCTCATTAGATACCATGCCGCAGTTTCACATGAATACCCCACTCAGACACAGTATATTGACTCCGAGCTGACCAGTCCTTGTTTAGCCCCTTAATGCCGAGCGCCAGACAGGGTAACAACAAGTACCATCTTTTAACGTCTTTTGGTATGACGTGGCTGGGGATCGAACCCCGGACCTTCCGCTCTCCAGGCGGACGCTCTACTTCTAGACCACGGAGGCGGGCGTATATACTCCGAAACATTGACATCCATAAATTCTCTTCCTCAGCACAATCTTCTTCATAAAATACCCCAGCACTTGCATGTAGTTGACACCACTGATCCTACCTGGCATTGTAGCTGTGCACCCGCTATGGTGTGCAACTGTAGTGGCCATAAAATTTCCAAGTCCCGTGATGGGATTCGAACCACAGACCTTCTCATCCAAGCTTGGACACCTTATCCACATGACCAAAGAGGTTAACCCCATCAGCAAGCTGGCAAGGTAAGGGTGTCAACTGTGGGATGACTCCACACACTGCTACACAACATTTAATAATAGTGAGTGAGTGAGTATGGTTTTACGCCGCTTTTAGCAATATTCCAGCAATATCACGGCGGGTGACACCAGAAATGGGCTTCACACATTGTACCCATGGTACCGGGTCTTCGGCGTGACAAGCGAACGCTTTAACCCATTTAATAATAGTGACATCTTACCGTATTTACTTCCCTTTTCAGATTTTCCCATAAGTCTCTGCTTGGCATTCTCCAGGAAGTCTTGTAATTCCCGTGTGTACATCTTGTTCATGCTGACTGTGTACACCTAGTCAACACAGGATAAAGTAGATATCATCAAGTACCCAATTTTCGAATGACACCTATTTTCAAAAAGCCGTATTTGACAGTGATTTGTCGTGTTATAATGATCATAGCTTCACCCTCTCACTCCCCACACCTGGATCATAGCTTCACCCTCTCACTCCCCACACCTGGATCATAGCTTCACCTTCTCACTCCCCACACCTGGATCATAACTTCACCCTCTCTCTACACACACCTGGATCACAGCTTCAACCTCTCACTCCCCACACCTGGATCATAGCTTCACCCTCTCACTCCCCACACCTGGATCATAGCTTCACCCTTTCACTCCCCACACCTGGATCATAGCTTTACCCTCTCACTCCCCACACCTGGATCATAGCTTCACCCTCTCACTCCCCACACCTGGATCATAGCTTCACCCTCTCACTCCCCACACCTGGAACACAGCTTCACCATTTCACTCCCCACACCTGGATCATAGCTTCACCCTCTCACTCCCCACACCTGGATCATAGCTTCACCCTCTCACTCCCCACACCTGGATCATAGCTTCACCCTCTCACTCCCCACACCTGGATCATAGCTTCACCCTCTCACTCCCCACACCTGGATCATAGCTTCACCTTCTCACTCACCTTGCCTGCATCATAGTTTCACCCTCTCACTCCCCACACCTGGATCATAACTTCACCCTCTCACTCCCCACACCTGGATCATAGCTTCACCCTCTCTCTCCACACACCTGGATCATAACTTCACCCTCTCACTCCCCACACCTGGATCATAGCTTCACCTTCTCACTCCCCACACCTGGATCATAGCTTCACCTTCTCACTCACCTTGCCTGCATCATAGTTTCACCCTCTCACTCCCCACACCTGGATCATAGCTTCACCCTCTCACTCCCCACACCTGGATCATAGCTTCACCCTCTCTCTCCACACACCTGGATCATAACTTCACCCTCTCACTCCCCACACCTGGATCATAGCTTCACCCTCTCACTCCCCACACCTGGATCATAGCTTTACCCTCTCACTGCCCACACCTGGATCATAGCTTCACCCTCTCACTCCCCACACCTGGATCATAGCTTCAGCCTCTCTCCCCACACCTGGATCATAGCTTCACCCTCTCACTCCCACACCTGGATCATAGCTTTACCCTCTCTCCCCACACCTGGATCATAGCTTTACCCTCTCTCTCCACACCTGGATCATAGCTTCACCCTCTCACTCCCACACCTGGATCATAGCTTTACCCTCTCTCTCCACACCTGGATCATAGCTTCACCCTCTCTCTCCCCACACCTGGATCATAGCTTCACCCTCTCTCTCCCTACACCTGGATCATAGCTTTACCCTCTCTCTCCACACCTGGATCATAGCTTTACCCTCTCTCTCCCCACACCTGGATCATAGCTTCACCCTCTCTCTCCCCACACCTGGATCATAGCTTCACCCTCTCTCTCCACACCTGGATCATAGCTTCACCCTCTCACTCCCCACACCTGGATCACAGCTTCACCCTCTCACTCCCCACACCTGGATCATAGCTTTACCCTCTCTCTCCACACACCTGGATCATAGCTTCACCCTCTCACTCCCCACACCTGGATCATAGCTTCACCCTCTCACTCCCCACACCTGGATCATAGCTTCACCCTCTCTCTCCACACCTGGATCATAGCTTCACCCTCTCACTCCCCACACCTGGATCACAGCTTCACCCTCTCACTCCCCACACCTGGATCACAGCTTCACCCTCTCACTCCCCACACCTGGATCATAGCTTTACCCTCTCTCTCCACACACCTGGATCATAGCTTCACCATTTCACTCCCCACACCTGGATCATAGCTTCACCCTCTCACTCCCCACACCTGGATCATAGCTTCACCCTCTCACTCCCCACACCTGGATCATAGCTTCACCCTCTCACTCCCCAAACCTGGATCATAGCTTCACCCTCTCACTCCCCACACCTGGATCATAGCTTCACCCTCTCACTCCCCACACCTGGATCATAGCTTCACCCTCTCACTCCCCACACCTGGATCAGGTGGACATACCTTGGTCAGTTCCTCAAACACAAGGAGGTCAGTGTTCTTCAGCCACAGCATCAGGTCTGCATAGACAACCAACTCCCTCTGCATCGTGTCATGGATTGGCATCTTCAGCTCCCCCGAGAAACGACTCAGTGTTTCTCCCAACTCGTTACCCTGTGGTCCGACAGACAATGCAGAGCATCATAATTAATAGCTTTTTGAAAAATCATAGTGACAATCAGTAAATATAATACACCTCTCATTGAGATATTTCCACAATGACTCATAATAGCCAGACAAAATGTATAAAGATCTATTTTCACAGTTCCAGAAAGTACAAGGTTGTTTGTACGTTTGTTGTTTAACGCCGCACTCAGCAATATTTCAGCTATATGATGGTGGTCTGTAAATAATCAAGTCTGAACCAGACTATCCAATGAGCATCGAGCAGTTGGGATACAAGACATTCATCAACCAAGTCAGTGAGTCTGATCATCCGCTCCCGTTAGTCGACTCTTACCACAAGCTGAAGACCTTTTCTAACCCAGATCTTCAAGGGTCAGAAAGTACAAATTGAAACGTTAACCCTATATCTGTGCCTTACATGAACATAATGTAACAAAATAGATATTGGCACTAGCCCTGACCAGTATTGTGACTGTTAAAGGTATCGTTAGTGCTGGCAGAATTTCAAACATTTTGGTGGGGTATTGCAATATATTATCAGTAAGCAGACTTGTTGCCTTTTCCATCCCCCGACATTATATGCCTTTTCCCAGTAAAGAATGAACAAATGAAAATCTCAAAAAAAAACATTTAAAAATCTAAAGAGTTAAGCAGAAATATAACGGATGCCTTGCAATGGAAATCTATCATGTAGGACAGTACTTTGCACATGATAACAGTACCCTCAGTGTTTGAAATAATTTATACAAAACAAAAAGACAGTCGAGACCCATAAGTGTTGCCTGCCCATCTTCAGAGCTTCCTGCCCGCACACAGACATTATATATTGAAAGATCGTGAAAAATAAGAGACAAATTGTATCTTGATTCAGTTGAAGTTATGCAAACAAAATTTCTTGAAAATCTAATATAGTTATGATAAAAGTGAATACATAAGTAGTGTTACAATTATCTGCCTGACAGGTGGACAGGTGGAGGAAAGTTTCCGACAGCCCAACAGAAAAGTTACCAGCCATGGGCAGTGGGGCAGCCAGATATTTGGGACACCGACTACACGACAACACGGGCTGACCTGGTGTATGAAGAGATTGTTGAGGTGGTGGGCCACCCGCTTGGAGAAACTGACGGACAGCTTGCTGAACCTCTTCTGTTGTTCCTCCACTGCCGCCATCCTCCTCACCGCTGACAGACGAACAAAACAAGGCATTACAACTCGGAGCTTGGAGGATCAACTTGGTCACAAATGTAACCTGATTTGTCTGGCAGCATTATCATGATTATGATAAAAACCAGTAACGAGCAAGCACTGAGCACACACATTTCACAAATTTAAACAGTGTTTGAGTGTAGTGTAGCATTTGTTTTTGTCTATATTGAACATTTGTTATAAAAGATGACCAGTACCTGATGCTTAATGTAACAGATCCAAGTACCTGATGCTTAATGTAACAGATCCAATTACCTGATGCTTAATGTAACAGATCCAAGTACCTGATGCTTAATGTAACGGATCCAAGTACCTGATGCTTAATGTAACAGATCCAAGTACCTGATGCTTAATGTAACAGATCCAAGTACCTACTGCTTAATGTAACAGATCCAAGTACCTGATGCTTAATGTAACACATCCAAGTACCTACTGCTTAATGTAACAGATCCAAGTACCTACTGCTTAATGTAACAGATCCAAGTACCTGATGCTTAATGTAACAGATCCAAGTACCTGATGCTTAATGTAACAGATCCAAGTACCTACTGCTTAATGTAACAGATCCAAGTACCTGATGCTTAATGTAACAGATCCAAGTACCTGATGCTTAATGTAACAGATCCAAGTACCTGATGCTTAATGTAACAGATCCAAGTACCTGATGCTTAATGTAACACATCCAAGTACCTGATGCTTAATGTAACAGATCCAAGTACCAGAAGCCTAATGTAACACATCCAAGTACCTGATGCTTAATGTAACAGATCCAAGTACCTGATGCTTAATGTAACAGATCCAAGTACCTGATGCTTAATGTAACAGATCCAAGTACCTGATGCTTAATGTAACAGATCAAAGAACCTGATGCTTAATGTAACACATCCAAGTACCTGATGCAATGTAACAGATCCAAGTACCTGATGCTTAATGTAACACATCCAAGTACCAGAAGCCTAATGTAACAGATCCAAGTACCTGATGCTTAATGTAACACATCCAAGTACCTGATGCTTAATGTAACACATCCAAGTACCAGAAGCCTAATGTAACACATCCAAGTACCTGATGCCTAATGTAACACATCCAAGTACCTGATGCTTAATGTAACACATCCAAGTACCTACTGCTTAATGTAACAGATCCAAGTACCTACTGCTTAATGTAACAGATCCAAGTACCTGATGCTTAATGTAACACATCCAAGTACCTACTGCTTAATGTAACAGATCCAAGTACCTGATGCTTAATGTAACAGATCCAAGTACCTGATGCTTAATGTAACAGATCCAAGTACCTACTGCTTAATGTAACAGATCCAAGTACCTGATGCTTAATGTAACACATCCAAGTACCTGATGCTTAATGTAACAGATCCAAGTACCTGATGCTTAATGTAACGGATCCAAGTACCTACTGCTTCATGTAACACATCCAAGTACCTGATGCTTAATGTAACAGATCCAAGTACCTGATGCTTAATGTAACAGATCAAAGAACCTGATGCTTAATGTAACACATCCAAGTACCTGATGCAATGTAACAGATCCAAGTACCTGATGCTTAATGTAACACATCCAAGTACCAGAAGCCTAATGTAACACATCCAAGTACCTGATGCTTAATGTAACACATCCAAGTACCAGAAGCCTAATGTAACACATCCAAGTACCTGATGCTTAATGTAACACATCCAAGTACCTGATGCCTAATGTAACACATCCAAGTACCTGATGCTTAATGTAACACATCCAAGTACCTGATGCTTAATGTAACACATCCAAGTACCAGAAGCCTAATGTAACACATCCAAGTACCTGATGCTTAATGTAACACATCCAAGTACCTGATGCTTAATGTAACACATCCAAGTACCTGATGCTTAATGTAACACATCCAAGTACCAGAAGCCTAATGTAACAGATCCAAGTACCTGATGCTTAATGTAACACATCCAAGTACCTGATGCTTAATGTAACACATCCAAGTACCTGATGCTTAATGTAACACATCCAAGTACCTGATGCTTAATGTAACACATCCAAGTACCTGATGCTTAATGTAACACATCCAAGTACCTGATGCTTAATGTAACACATCCAAGTACCTGATGCTTAATGTAACACATCCAAGTACCAGAAGCCTAATGTAACACATCCAAGTACCTGATGCTTAATGTAACACATCCAAGTACCTGATGCTTAATGTAACACATCCAAGTACCAGAAGCCTAATGTAACACATCCAAGTACCAGAAGCCTAATGTAACACACCTAAGTACCTACTGCTTAATGTAACAGATCCAAGTACCTGATGCTTAAAGTAACACACCTAAGTACCTACTGCTTAATGTAACAGATCCAAGTACCTACTGCTTAATGTAACAGATCCAAGTACCTGATGCTTAATGTAACAGATCCAAGTACCTGATGCTTAATGTAACACATCCAAGTACCTGATGCTTAATGTAACAGATCCAAGTACCAGAAGCCTAATGTAACACATCCAAGTACCTGATGCTTAATGTAACAGATCCAAGTACCTGATGCTTAATGTAACACATCCAAGTACCTGATGCTTAATGTAACAGATCCAAGTACCTGATGCTTAATGTAACAGATCCAAGTACCTGATGCTTAATGTAACACATCCAAGTACCAGAAGCCTAATGTAACACATCCAAGTACCTGATGCTTAATGTAACACATCCAAGTACCTGATGCTTAATGTAACACATCCAAGTACCTGATGCTTAATGTAACACACCTAAGTACCTACTGCTTAATGTAACAGATCCAAGTACCTACTGCTTAATGTAACAGATCCAAGTACCTGATGCTTAATGTAACAGATCCAAGTACCTGATGCTTAATGTAACACATCCAAGTACCTGATGCTTAATGTAACAGATCCAAGTACCAGAAGCCTAATGTAACACATCCAAGTACCTGATGCTTAATGTAACAGATCCAAGTACCTGATGCTTAATGTAACACATCCAAGTACCTGATGCTTAATGTAACAGATCCAAGTACCTGATGCTTAATGTAACAGATCCAAGTACCTGATGCTTAATGTAACAGATCCAAGTACCTGATGCTTAATGTAACAGATCCAAGTACCTGATGCTTAATGTAACACATCCAAGTACCTGATGCTTAATGTAACAGATCCAAGTACCAGAAGCCTAATGTAACACATCCAAGTACCTGATGCTTAATGTAACAGATCCAAGTACCTGATGCTTAATGTAACACATCCAAGTACCTGATGCTTAATGTAACAGATCCAAGTACCTGATGCTTAATGTAACAGATCCAAGTACCTGATGCTTAATGTAACAGATCCAAGTACCTGATGCTTAATGTAACACATCCAAGTACCTACTGCTTAATGTAACAGATCCAAGTACCTGATGCTTAATGTAACACATCCAAGTACCTACTGCTTAATGTAACACATCCAAGTACCTGATGCTTAATATAACAGATCCAAGTACCTGATGCTTAATGTAACAGATCCAAGTACCTGATGCTTAATGTAACAGATCCAAGTACCTTATTTCTGAGGGAGATACAACATGATACAGCTCTGACAACTAGAGGGAGACAATCACCATTACCTGGGTGTATGTTTGCATTCATGCACTTGAGTAACGCCTGTGCTGCCCTTGTACACTCGTAGATTCCATTGGGTGTCGCCAGGTCACCATTCACTAAGGCGTCCACATGCTTTACGTCAAGGTCAAGCTGGTTCTATAACAGATATGCACAGCCTGCAAATCCCACCTCTCTTATATCCATGGATATCAGCGACACACACCGCCATCCTCTTCGCCTGTTATGCACATCGTCATCCTCTTTGCCTGCTACACACACCATCATCCTCTTTGCCTGCTATACACACTACCATCCTCTTTGCCTGCTATACACACCGCCATCCTCTTTGCCTGCTATACACACTACCATCCTCTTTGCCTGCTACACACACTACCATCCTCTTTGCCTGCTACACACACCGCCATCCTCTTTGCCTGCTATACAAACCCACCATCCTCTTTGTCTGCTATACACACTGCAATCCTCTTTGCCTGCTATACACACTGCCATCCTCTTTGCCTGCTATACACACCGCCATCCTCTTTGCCTGCTATACACACCGCCATTCTCTCCAGACAGACTATACACAAGGTCATCCGCTTTGCCTGCTATACAAACCACCATTCTCTCCATACAGGCTATACAAGCTATACCCACCACCACTCTCTACAGACAGGCTATACAAGCCATACCTACCACCATACTCTCGAGACAGGCTATACTAGCTATACCTGCCACCACTCTCTGAAGGCAGGGTAAATAAGCTATAACCACCACCATTCTCTCCATACAGGCTTTACAGGCTATACCCACCACCACTCTCTCCAGACAGGCTATACTAGCTATACACACCACCACTCTCTCCAGATAGGCTATACAAGCTATACACACCACCACTCTCTCCAGACAGGCTATACAAGCTATACACACCACCACTCTCTCCAGACAGGCTATACAAGCTATACACACCGCCACTCTCTCCAGACAGGCTATACAAGCTATACACACCACCACTCTCTCCAGATAGTCTATACTAGCTTTACACCCCACCACTCTCTCCAGACAGGCTATACAAGCTATACACACCACCACTCTCTCCAGACAGGCTATACAAGCTAGACACACCACCACTCTCTCCAGACAGGCTATACACCCCACCACCCTCTCCAGACAGGCTATACAAGCTATACACACCACCACTCTCTCCAGACAGGCTATACAAGCTATACACACCACCACTCTCTCCAGATAGGCTATACAAGCTATACACACCACCACTCTCTCCAGACAGGCTATACAAGCTATACACACCACCACTCTCTCCAGACAGGCTATACACCCCACCACTCTCTCCAGACAGGCTATACAAGCTATACACACCACCACTCTCTCCAGACAGGCTATACAAGCTATACACACCACCACTCTCTCCAGACAGGCTATACAAGCTATACACACCACCACTCTCTCCAGACAGGCTATACACCCCACCACTCTCTCCAGACAGGCTATACAAGCTATACACACCACCACTCTCTCCAGATAGTCTATACTAGCTTTACACCCCACCACTCTCTCCAGACAGGCTATACAAGCTATACACACCACCACTCTCTCCAGACAGGCTATACAAGCTAGACACACCACCACTCTCTCCAGACAGGCTATACACCCCACCACCCTCTCCAGACAGGCTATACAAGCTATACACACCACCACTCTCTCCAGACAGGCTATACAAGCTATACACACCACCACTCTCTCCAGATAGGCTATACAAGCTATACAAGCCACCACTCTCTCCAGACAGGCTATACAAGCTATACACACCACCACTCTCTCCAGACAGGCTATACACCCCACCACTCTCTCCAGACAGGCTATACAAGCTATACACACCACCACTCTCTCCAGACAGGCTATACAAGCTATACACACCACCACTCTCTCCAGACAGGCTATACAAGCTATACACACCACCACTCTCTCCAGACAGGCTATACACCCCACCACTCTCTCCAGACAGGCTATACAAGCTATACACACCACCACTCTCTCTAGACAGGCTATACAAGCTATACACACCACCACTCTCTCCAGACAGGCTATACAAGCTATACACATCACCACTCTCTCCAGACAGGCTATACAAGCTATACACACCACCACTCTCTCCAGACAGGCTATACAAGCTATACACACCACCACTCTCTCCAGACAGGCTATACAAGCTATACACACCACCACTCTCTCCAGATAGGCTATACTAGCTTTACACCCCACCACTCTCTCCAGACAGGCTATACAAGCTATACACACCACCACTCTCTCCAGACAGGCTATACACCCCACCACTCTCTCCAGACAGGCTATACAAGCTATACACACCACCACTCTCTCCAGACAGGCTATACAAGCTGTACACACCACCACTCTCTCCAGACAGGCTATACAAGCTATACACACCACCACTCTCTCCAGACAGGCTATACACACCACCACTCTCTCCAGACAGGCTGTACAAGCTATACACACCACCACTCTCTTCAGACAGGCTATACAAGCTATACACACCACCACTCTCTCCAGTTCCTCCAGCAGCTGCTGATGGTTGATGTTCCGGATCTTCACCAGCATGTCCTTGTCCCGCATCACCTCCATCTGCTCCTTCACATTCTGCATGAACAACCAATCACAAGTTGGTATTTCTACACCCACCAATCACAAGTTGGTATTTCTGCACCCACCAATCACAAGCTGGGATTTCTACACCCACAATGCAATATATATTGTAATACCCACTAAATACAAGTAACACAGTCCATTTCCATTTTCTGTGACTGACATACATAGATGGACGAGTGAATTTGGTATGATGCTGCTTTGTTTGTTTGTTTTTTAATGCCGCACTCAGCAATATTCCAGCTATAACACAGCGGCCTGTAAATAATCAAGCCTGAACCAGACAATCCAGAGATTGACATCATGAGCATCGAGCAGTTGGGATACAAGACATTGGGTGGTCAGTGAGTCTGACCACCCACTCCCGTTGGTAGAAATGTCAACCCTATATCTGTGTCTTACATGAACATAACATAACAAAATAGATATTGGCACTAGCCCGCTAGCCAAGACCAGTTTTGTGACAGTTAAAGGTATCCTTGGTGCTGGCAGAATTTCAAACATTTTGGTGGGGTATAGCTATATTTTATCACTATGCAGACTTGTAGCCTTTTCCATCCCCCGACATTATATGCCTTTTTTTCTTATGACAAGCAAAGTGACCTTTTACGGCAAGCATGGGTTGATGAAGACCTATTCTGCTGCTTTGGGATGTAGTTATACATGTGTGCCGCCTTATCTGGGAGTCAAGCCGACAGTGGTGCAGGTACGTGGCACCACTAGATGTGTACTTTGGTGAAACAAAGAGGATGGGTATGGTGCACACACAACAGGATTATTACACGGTGGGATGAAATGGTAATGTGGCTGTTAACCTTCTAGCACCTCACAGGCATCATAGGTTGTATACTCCTCAGGGAGCTGAGAATGAAAATCGAGTGATCAGTGATCTATTGACCGGGGTAATAAAAGTGCAGCGCCATGAACATCCACTTGGTGAATGGAATCTGGCGCAATATAAATGCACTTATTATTATTATTATTATTATTATTATTATTATTATTTACAGATTAAAATTTTTAAAATGCAGCAAAGAGGGTTTGGGTGATCCTGGCAGTCCAGACGCAGCCCAGACAGCAAATGGGACTTCTCCCAGGAAGCGCTGCCTAGTCAAACCCACCCAGAACTTTTCGGGGAATGTGAAGACTCCCCAACACTGCAGCCTTCTGCATTACCCAGATTGTCAGAAGGGCTGTATTCCTGGTAGCAAATCCGGGTACTCTCCCAATGTCAGTCAACAGATTGGGAGGTACCAAACCTAAGGCACCAAAAACAATGGGGAGTCCGACAACTTAGTACTTGGGATGCAAGCGTGACATTTCGAAAGCGAGGTCTGGCATATGTTTTTCTTGGAATCTTGTCAATCACATTAGTGTCAAAAGGGACAGAAAATTCAATGATATAAATGATTTCATTGGATTTATCAAAAAGGACAACATCAGGTTTGTTGGCCTGGATTTGTCTGAGGCTGTTTATGGGCCTATTCCAAAGAATTTTGTATTGATCATTTTCCATGACACCCTCGACATATTCTGGGTTGTACCATGGATGGACCTCTGCGTCAAAACCACAAGCATGGCAAAGACGGTAATGATCGAGCTACTCCATCTCGTCGCTTAAGATACTGTGTTTGTGCCAAAGCTGGTCATCCACTGACAATGTGTTGGACAGTCTCATTAAATTCATTACATAATCGACATTTCATATTTATATTTTGATGCAAAAGCACACATTGAAGGTTTCGAGTGGGAAGTGACTGGTACTGAGCAGCAAACAGAAAGCCTTCTTCATCCAAGCGAAGGACTCTGCAGGATTGCTGAACTTCTCAACACACTGCATATACACTCGATGCAGTGGTCGTTCAGATAGAGTCTGGACCGATTTGATATGGCACTTCGCTTGGTTGACACTCATTTCTGTTTATTATTATTGTTGTTGTTGTTATTATTATTATAACTTGGGAATTCGAAATCCATTGTAAGCACAATTGTTAAATAACCTCCCACAAGAAGTCTTCAAAAGTAATTGCCTGCACTCAAGTCAAGCTGATTTCCTTTCCTACTGAGCCTACCAGCAGTATGTTGTCATACGAGTCCAGCTTGCGCTCTATCCTCTCAGCCTGTTGGATTCCCTCGTCCAGCAGCCGCATCAGGTTCAGCACTTGGTCCTCCGACCCCATGATAGAGTGGATGTTGGCCTGGGGGACGGGGAATAGATGTAGACATAATTATGATTTTTGTTTGTTTGTTTGTTGTTTAACGCCGCACCAAGGAATATTCCAGCTAAATGACGGCGGTCTGTAAAATAATCGAGTCTGGACCAGACAATCCAGTGATTGAAATCATGAGCATCGACCCATGCAATTGGGATCGATGACATGTATCAACCAAGTCAGAGAGCCTGACCACCTTTTACGACAAGCATAGTCACCTTTTACGGCAAGTATGGGTTGCTGAAGACCTATTCTACCCCGGAAACATAATTATGAAGTTAAGACATTCATTATATATATTTGTATGCTATAACCTCAGAATTTTCTCAAATGTCCAGCTTATCTGGAGCCCTTATGCAACCCAAAGGGCTGAATATGAAAATCCACGTCACAGAACAATGACATAACAAGTAACATTCATGTGTCAAAATGTAGACATCAAAGCGTAAACAATCCAGTGGAGGAAGAAGGCGCACGGGTCAGTGGGGAGTGAACACATTCTGACTGCAACATAGGTTGCTTAAACAATAACCTGAATCCAAAAATGTTCCAATTTGGGAATTTAGTTACTTGCTCCAGATCTAGGGCTGTATATTTGCCTCTGAAAATCCATAAAAAAATGCACATTTTGCCTCAAAAAACCCATAGCCATGTGTTGCCCTCACCCCATCTAGGACGGACAGCTGCCTGGAGAGCTGGTCAGTGAAGGTCTCTGCGTTACTGATGGCCACCTTGCACTCGGACATGAGGAGTTCCAGGTCCGACTCTTCCTTGGAGGAGAGCGCCTGGTAGTCCTCGTCCTCGATGGAGATGTCGTCCCCGCCCTCCGACTTCTGGTTCTGGTCATGAGGGGCGGTGATATCTGGGGACAGGAACCATGGAACACTGAAAACTGGGGCCTCATCCAAAAGTGAGCCAGTCCAAATTTAACATGACAACAGCAGTAACTCTTGTGAATAGTGACGACTTCATTCCATTAGGTAATCACAGCAGGATGACTTTGGCAATTTAAATAAGTTAACATAAGATCACAGTACTTATGTAAAAATGATGAATATTTCACCTATACTTCGCAGTTTGTAAATAACAAGTCAAGACAAGATGGTCCAGTGATTGATATCATGAACATCGATCAACACAATTCTGATACAATCTCAGCATGATTCCCTGATCCTGTTAGTCGCCTTTTTTACGACAAGCATGGGTTGCTGAAGACCAATTCTGACTGGATCTTCACAGGGTTTTACAAATGATTGCAGTAGTCATTGTGCTAGGCCCATATTGCTTTACTATATCCTTCACACATGGTTGGTTGTGTAACGCCGCACTCAGCAATATTCCAGCTATATGACGGCGGTCTGTAAATAATCAAGTCTGGACCAGACAATCCAGAGATTAATATCATGAGCATCGATCCACACAATTGGGATCGATGACATGAATCAACCAAGTCAGCGTGTCTGACAACCCGATCCCATTAGTCGCCTTTAATGACAAGCACAGTCGCCATTTACGGCAAGCATGGGTTGCTGTATACAGATTCTACCTAGGATCTGCTTCACACATTGACCCACACTGCCCCAGTACTACAATGAATCAGGACACTAGTGTACGTACCTTCAAGCAGCCCTGGCGGGACATTGACAAACTCAGGCTTCTGTATCAGATATCGCTGACTCAGCTGAAAGAGAAACATTCATAGGAAAGGATAAGGAATAATGCTTGATCATAACAATATATACTAATTAATAAAGGAAACAAAAAGAAAAATAACATGAATTGACTTGATGATTAATGTTCTCTGTTGAAGCAATATTGCAAAGCAATTGAGTTTCTATTTTAATTGGGTTATTACATTTTTCATTGGGTAACCAATATTTTTCACTCATCTATTTATAACTCTATTGGGGTTTTTCCGAAATTGAGTAAATATTTTGACATCTCAAAAACTATGAAATAATGTTTAAGATGTATATTTTGTTTGTTTGTTTGTTACTTAACGGCGCACTCAGCAATATTCCAGCTATTGTCTGGTCCAGACTCGATTATTTACAGTCTCTAAATAATCGAGTGATGACCAGTTAATCCAGTGATTGACATCATCAGCATCAATCTACTCAATTGGGATACGCTGACATGCATCAACCAAGTCCGCGAGCCTGACCAACCGATCCCGTAAGTCGCCTGGTACAACAAGCATAGTCGCCTTTTACAGAAAGCATAGGTTGCTGGAGACCTATTCTTCCCCAGGGTACCGTGTCAATGTTGTCACGAGTAGTCAAGTGGTCCATGAGTTACCTACCCTCCACAAGCAGGCAATGAAGGACTCCTTCTCATCAATACTACTGGCCACCCATTTGTACAGCTTCTCAAAGTTCAGGTCAAATTCAGCTGTCTCCTGAAATAACATCAGTCATCTAGAGGCTGATCAAGCAACATACACAACCACAGGGAGAACTGTTTTAAACACACTACCCTGTACCAGAGCACTATCAGATGCACAAATTGTGATGAATCTAATGTCCAAAGACAACACATTTAAAATTGATTCACCTAAGATTGAAATTACCACACTTTACAAGAACATTATTCCTTTGTTTTAAAATACTTTTTTTTGTGTACAACAGTTTATAATAGTTTGAATGGAAACTAAATACTGTGAATAAATAAACATCTTGTACATTGAACATAATATATTTATCATTCACTCTCAAAATAAAATATATACTTAACATTTACAAATTTATATCTCATAATATTTAAGTAACTGTTTTCCAAACATGACATTCCTACTTTGTTAGCATTCTTTCCATCAACAATCTTGAGGTCTCTGAGCAGCCATGACAGTTTCTTCTTGTACGACTCTCCTCTGTCGGCTTTCTTCACCTGATACACGCGGGCTTGTACCGGGCTCTCTGCTTGGTTCACTGAAACAAGCCTATACACTTCAGGGACAAATTCACATTTCATCACAACATTAGTCAGAAACTGTTTGTTTGTTTGTTTGTTGTTTAACGCCGCACTCAGCAATATTCCAGCTATATGACGGCGGTCTGTAAAATAATCAAGTCTGGACCAGACAATCCAGTGATTGACATCATAAGCATCGATCTACACAATTGGGATCGATGACATGTATCAACCAAGTCAGCGAGCCTGACCACCCGATCGTGTTAGTCGCCTTTTACGACAAGCATAGTTGCCTTTTACGGCAAGTATGAGTTGCTAAAGATCTTTTCTACCCTGGAATCTTCACGGGTCAGTCAGAAACTGAACAATGAAATATGTTCCCAGTTGTGTAGCATAACCTATGACAAAATGTGTTGCTTAGCGAATGTAACGTCACGAATGTTTGGATTATAAGATTGTGCGAGAATTGAGGACCCTGTTTTGTCTGGAAATCATCCTTTCTTGATGATACAGTTTCAGTGTATTACATGCTTTAAAATATTTAAGTTGTGATAAAATCATAGAAGGCCTTTTAAGCATCAATCTCATCATGGAGTACACTCTCAATCACTTCTCATGCTAATTCCTGTCTCTGATAATATACCACTTACGGACAGCACAGAGGAAACTCCCTTTCTTCTTTTTGGGGGCCTTAAACACGTATATCAGACCTATCAGTCGTTCATCATTGGGGAGGAACAGGTCACGGTTCAATGTGTGCTTTATGGCCGCCATCGTCAGGTGTCATCAATCTGCGTCAGAAAAGACATAGTTTATAGGAAGATTCATCATAATTTCCATGCATTTTGAAACATCCTTCATCACAAATACAATACAGGCCTATAGTCACCAGACAAAACTGTTAAGTTAAAAGTAAATATTTCAGGAAGCATGATAAAGCAATACACAATTAAAAAACAAAGGTGCTTAAAACTTTCATAATACTACACACAAAAATGAGTGAGAGTGATTTTTTTCAATAACGTACATAACTGCACCGCTAATGGTGCAGGTGCTAGTGACTATGTCATCCGAAATTGCAGACGATTTTTCAAGTCTTCGCATTTGTGACAACGGTTATGATACCATTGGGTCTGGCTGCACGGACAAATGTGAGACACATACTTTTCATCATGCCTGAAATAAAATATGGCAATCTAAGCAACGCAACTTACACATTGCTCATCGATAATGCGGAACAAACACGATAAATAATGTTCGCACACCTAATGCGGAAGCAGGATTACTCCCCTTTCAGTGTTCAATGCGCACGCAGCATACACTTCCGATGACCTGCTTCCTTCCGGTCGTTGCCTGGCGATTGTAAACAAATGATATTCGAGAGCGGTTAGTTGGTTATTGTTTGAACCCACCAGCCGTGATCGTGTCGGCGGAGTAGATCACGATCCCGGTTTAACAAGGATCATTTGATAGACAGTTACTGACAATGGCGACGGGGCATATTTTGCCCGGCTATGGGGATCCAGTCTCAAGGCTGAGGCGCGTGAATTCGTCAGGGTACCCCTTAGACAGTAACACCCTGCTGCAGATGGAGGCAAGTTACAAACTCAGGGACCTTGAGTTCGACAGGATAAGGGCACAGGCGCGTCATATGTGGTCGAGGAGGGATAGGGAACCTACAACCTACCACCACTTCCATTCGGGCCAGGAACTACCACCAGAGGAACAGACACGATCCCGACCAACATCGCCGACCAGAAGGAACAAGCCCCACCCACCGCCGTAAGTCTGCAAACATCCACTGCTTATGAAATATGTCATGCATTGTAATGTATTATTGTTGTTGTTGGTGGTATTGTTGTTGTTGATGATGATGGTGGTGATGATAATAACAACTAAACATGTATATATAGCACTAGATTCAAGCTACAGTTAAGTGTTCAAAAGCGCGTTGTTGGAGACTGCATATGACGCTGGTCATAATAGTTGTGATTGGAATTAGGTCCGTTCTTGAATTCTTCTGAGGTTAAACGGCGGTAGAGTGTTCCATAGCAAAGGAGCTGCTCTTACTAAACAGCGATCCTCAATATTAGTTGTCCGCGATGCATAATCTCAGAGTTATGTTATGTATTTATAGAACCGATGACAGTCATTCCAAGTTATTGCAAAATAGATGCAACCTCTATGAGTGCATTTATCAGCTGTTAAGTTTGTCCTCTGTGATGAATAAATCTTAGTCGATGTGTTTCTGAATTGTTCACAAAGTATAAGACTGCTATTGGTACGTCTTGGGAGTAACGGATTAACAAAATAACTCATTGAGAAAATTCCACCATTGAATGGTTATAGTATAATACAGATACTAGTCCATCCGTACCGAAAATGGCTCACCTGTACCTAAAATTCCCGTCAGATCCGTACCTAATTTCCAGAATTCGTACTTTATTCCGCCGACTCGTGCACAAATTTGGATGACCCGTACATAAATTTGGATGACCCGTACTCATTTATTTTCATATTTGTTGCATTTGTAACGAGTACTTATAAAAATCAGATTGCGGTCAGAAGAGGTTGGGAGTACTAAACGGATTTTATGGAATTTAAGCTTGAATTTCATTATAACAGCCTGTCACTACATAATCTCCAGTGTCAAATAACATTTCCGGGTCAACAGATATCAACAGAAATAAATAATGTTGAAAATGAGATCAATTTTCATTTGGGTACGAGCCATTCAGTGGATTAGGTACGGGTGGGTACGGGTTGTCCAATATTTGTGTCCGAATACGCCAACATGTATACAAGGTGCGGATCTCCGTGTGTACGGATTGTACAGTTGCCTGTAATGCGCTTATGGAAGATCCATAACAATCAACACAATGGCAATATTGCAGCCACAAGATGTGTGGGATGTCACGAAAATGTAAATGACTAGTTTAGAAGTAGCCCCAGGTGTTGTTCTCCGTGAATGTGTCATGGAGTCATGTTCTTCCAAAGTATACATGCCAATCACAACATGACTTATTTACTCTACCAGGTAGCAATGGAGTATATTAAATTTCAAACTACATCAGTACACGAAAGGTGTGTACGAATAGACATCGGGGTGAATCGATACCGGTGCACCGGTGTAAGATTTCATGTGATGATACGATACCCGATACACGATACATTTTCTTCTGTCATGATACAAAATGAAATACCTGCTGAAATAAATTACAGTAAACTACGGTTATAACGAACACGCTTATAACGAACTGACGGATATAACGAACTTTTTTGGTCCCGACTATTGCTGTAGTCATGCTGTATATATGCTTATAACGAACTACGGTTATAACGAACTAAAATTAGTAGTCCCTTTGAGTTCGTTATAACCGTAGTTTACTGTACTCACTATTCGCTTTATGACCTCTGGCGTTTTTGTCAGTCAGATATCGCAATATGTGTTGTAGTTAGCGTTTCAAGTTCACTACTAAAATAGCCATAACGAACATATGTCCACGGGTAGCTTTTCCTTTTGAAATTGTTCTGAAATATTTATTGTCAAGAAGTTACATGCGATTTGATGTATATATGCGTATCGTGATACGTATCGTATCGTGGCCGTGCTTTGTCGTTTCACCCCTTCGTGTTGGCATTGTCTGCATCATCATGTGACGTCGTCCCGTGAGGTAATCTCCTGACACCCGTGTTAACACACACTGCCTCCGGTCGACTATCTGATAAGTAGGGTGATATGGTTGTTAGAACACTCGCGGGGTTAGCAAATAGTATAGAGTGGTATATTATGGCTAATATATCTCACCTCCAATCAGTCTGAAAATAATACTGCATGTCTGTAGTAGGCGGAGTCTTCCTACTGGCCCTAAATTCTGTTCAGGAATCCGACAGGTAAACGAGTTCGTTTATCAAACAACCTCAAGTAATGTACGTTTTATGGAGTCGTGATTTATTAGCACTGACTCAATATAAATATTTTTTACAACGTGAAATAGTATGGCAAACAACTCATTCATACCTTCAGTTTGAGAGTAATTGTGACCCTTAGATATTAAATGGTATGGTTAACATTGTATACATATTGAAAACTCAAGCATGTTGAACTCTTACCCTAAATTAAATTTGGCATTCGCAGTACAAAAATGTAAGGGATGTTGATAGGGGTAAAACATATATCGGTGAACTGGTGCGTCGTGACTGTACATGCAACGATACGATACACAATATGGTTTTTTTCTGTATCGATATAAGACGATACACTTGCTAAAATATATTACTTACTATTCGTTAAATTGCCCCAAGCGTTTTTGTCTGTCAATATCGCAAAATGCGTTGTAATTTAGCGTTTCAAGTTCAAAACAGAAATAGCCGCTACAAACATGTGTCTACAGCCAGTTTTTTCCCTTTGAATCCGTTCTGAAATATACATGTATATTGTCAAGACGTTTCTACGCGATAAGATGTATGTATATCGCGATACGTATATCACATCGTGACGTAGTGTATCGTGATACGTATTGTATCATGATCTTGCTGTATATTTCACCTCTAGATGGTGACGGTTAAGGCCACACTTTTTTAGTTTTATGTTTCACGGATTTATTCCAGATTTTCCACACAAGGTCGGTCGAAACGAAAATAAAAATAAAACACTATGTTAATCATTTATTTATATGAGAGTCATTCTGCCGTAGAGTTAAAACTGCAGCTGGCTTCATGAATCACTGATAGTGATGTATACGTGGAATTTATAAATAGCATTTTGTATTGTGTAAGAGGGTCTACTCGTATATCACTAGCGGGTGACATGATAAAAATAAATATTTTCATGTTTAATTTATTTCTTTTCCAGATGCATTTCGTTAGGGGCGGCGGGCCGTGAAACGAAAAATAAAAAATGTGTGGCCTAATGTTTGTAGGGTTATGTGGTGCCTTGTGGTATTATTTGTACATTTCATTTACGTATTCCCGTCGTAATCAGTAAATCAGTGAGAGTTGAAAGTTTTATTCAAAGAGATAAGGACACTCGGGGTGTCACAATGAAAGATTATATATGTCCACGCATTGTGTAATTTGTCTTTATTCATTGTTTTAGAGTTTTTCTCACCAACCGACTCCATTACATTGAAGGATACCACAACCCGGACACCAGGCTGGGCAAACAGTGCTACAGAAGTAAGCTGCAGGCTCCGTGTCAGTCACATAGTGTGTCCTTTTTCAGCTTGTTGCCACGGTACTGTATGACATATACGTGTGTTAGTTTACGAAAATCACATATTATGAATAAAAACTAAAATCGGCGTCTTAAACTATTTTCTTGAATAACGACGTGTCAAGATATTTATGCCCCCTATCTGCACTTGAGAAATGTTGTTGACATTCGATCACATGGGGAACCGTCACTTGATCGAAAGTGAGATGGTGTTGGAGGGCCAATATGTAAGGTATGTCATGGCGTTCCGCATTTTTTTAAAAATGGGGGGGGGGGGGGGGGTGGGCACGAATATGAACACGGATATTGTGCTCATGTATCAAGGATCATAATGGGAGGAGTCTGGGATTCGAACCAGAAATGGACTCGTGGATCCAAGCACATCTTTCTAGGGTCTCCTTAAACAACTCGTTCACACATGTCCGCTGGAAATTATGAAATCCTAGTTAATTATGGAAGGATATATTTTATGTTCAATGCGTTTCTATAGTACAGTGTGTGTTTCAGTCGACGCTAGTCTTCCGCCTGAAGAGCAGCACGAATATGAACACGGATATTGTGCTCATGTATCAAGGATCATAATGGGAGGAGTCTGGGATTCGAACCAGAAATGGACTCGTGGATCCAAGCACATCTTTCTAGGGTCTCCTTAAACAACTCGTTCACACATGTCCGCTGGAAATTATGAAATCCTAGTTAATTATGGAAGGATATATTTTATGTTCAATGCGTTTCTATAGTACAGTGTGTGTTTCAGTCGACGCTAGTCTTCCGCCTGAAGAGCAGCACGAATATGAACACGGATATTGTGCTCATGTATCAAGGATCATAATGGGAGGAGTCTGGGATTCGAACCAGAAATGGACTCGTGGATCCAAGCACATCTTTCTAGGGTCTCCTTAAACAACTCGTTCACACATGTCCGCTGGAAATTATGAAATCCTAGTTAATTATGGAAGGATATATTTTATGTTCAATGCGTTTCTATAGTACAGTGTGTGTTTCAGTCGACGCTAGTCTTCCGCCTGAAGAGCAGCATCAGCGACGTCATATACGACGTAAATACGTCGCCGACCGCCCATCCACGGCACTGTTGAACACATATAAGGATCAATATGTACGTATAGGGCGGGCAGTCTGTTTGGGATTGTAATATTGTATTCTTAATCATTTTAAAATTTAATGCTTTCGGTAGGTCCAAAAGCGCCTTACGTCAGTAAGTTGATATTATTTTGATGGTACATTTAGATCAGAAATAAATCGCACTGATGATTAATACTCCGACTTGGCTGTCCTGGTTCTATCAATATTGATAGAAAACAGCTGTTCGGTTGAGCTGAGGTTAACATGTGATGTCTAACGTGACTTTCACTGACTCGTAAACATTGAGCTTTTTTTTGCTTCGTGGCGGGGTATAAAGGATTTATTCTCCCACTCAGAAATCCACGTACAGACCGTTGTCTTCGGGGCGGTGTATAAGGGAGTTATTCTCCCGCTCTCAAATATATTTCACTCCTAGGCTGAATACGTAGTATTTATCAAGATCACGATAACTTGAACCAATCAGATCTCAGTATTCTGACATGGAGGTAAGGTGTAATTGGCTATGTAGGTCACATATTTCTTCTTCAATATTCACCAGGATGGTAACTGTTACATATTCATTTCTGTGTTCCTAATTCTCGAAAGTGCACGAACTTACACGTTATCACACTGCAGTGACATGAAATTATGTAAAGGCAGGATAAAAGAAACTGTTAATTTCCAATAGGGCGTGAAGAACTACCTGGATCCCGTTGCGGCCCAGGGAGCGGAGGCGTGGCTCAAGATAGCGGATGATAAAGGTGGGGTATACATTTGTTCTATATACTCATGCCTTTATTACATAGTTGTCATAGTGCTGAGTTCGGCGTTACACAACAAACAAACAACATAGTTGTCAAATACATAGTGATCAGTGACTTTCGTACGACCATCAGGTCTTGTAAACCTCACTCCAGTATTTGCTGATATTCAAGCTGATACTCTGCGATTCTGTTCAACACCCTCCGTCATGTATACGTAAGACTTCATAGTCCGCAGCTTGAGAATGAGTGTTATGTGTCGGATGAAACACGCCAGGGTTTTTTTATGAGATTTATTCCCGAATCAAAGGGTCAGAATAAGGGGGCGTTATCCTGAGGATAAAGGTTTTAAATCTCATAAAAACGAGGCTAAGTGTCTTTTCTAACATATAAACCGAAAAAAAGAAACTTAAAACAACATTATCAACATTTTTATGTTTCAAACATACATTCAATGAACCGTAAGAAACGGGCGTAAAATATCTGCTGCCGGCGTACGTGTACTTGAAAAAGACATTCTCAATAGCATTGTGATTTATCAGCGCCTCTGTAGTGGTACCTTTGTCATTTTATTTTACATTACATTGTGTTCAAATGCATAATTAATTTCTAGCGAGAAACATTCATATGTTACAATATAAACGGAAGTTGTATTAAAGAAATCCCTGAGATATTATATGACATCCCCGTTTATGAGATTTAAACCCACTGCAGAACAATAGGATGACCTGACTGGAGGTTTTTAATAAACGCCGCAATTACATCATGGTGGTCTGTAAATAATCAGGTCTGGGATACACAAACCGAGGACCAGTTGTTTATATCATGTTTATATCATGTGCAACGTCCCGCTCTCTCGGTAACAACCCGGGTTCGATTCCCGACGTGGGTACAATGTGTGAAGCCCATTTCTGGTGTCCCCCGCCGTGATATTGCTGGAATATTGCTAAAAGCGGCGTAAAACCATACTCACTCACTCACTCTCGGTAACGATGACCCAATGAGTCTGAGCTTGGCAACCCGACCAATGTAGTCACCTCTAGCGACAAGCATTGATTCCTTGTGACCCATCCTATCCCGAATACCCCCAGGACCGTCTGTATATAAAGATTGAGTATAGTTTTACCTCGCTTTTAGCAATAGTCCATCACTATGACGGCGGGGGACACCAGAAATGGGTTTCACATTGTACCCATGTGGGGAATCGAACCCAGGTCTTCGTCGTGACGAACGAACGCTTTAACCACTAGGCTACCCGACCACCCCTTCAGCTGTATATAGACGAGCAAGGCATGTGGATGTGTTCACTCATTTTGATGAGTTCGATAGTCCCCGTTCCCCATGTACATTGTGTATGTACAATGAAACCTGCTTAATCGGGACGGTACTTTTCCCAGGGAAATCGTCTAGATTAACGGTTTTACCGGGTTATCATTTCGCTGACACGGCGTAATGTATCTTGTATATATGTTGACTTGGGCTGTAACGATTATCCGATACCTACGATATCATCGATACTAAGGTACATACGGTATAAATATGACATCGCTATATGTGATACGCTATAAATAGAACAGAGACTGATAGAGTTACCTCCCGTAATGGCAGATGTGGCACAGAGCAACCATTCGTCACCACTCGCATGATTCCGTAACCTGCAACAAGGCTGCATTCGGCATATCCCGGAATGGGGCGACAGCGCAACTTGAAAGCAGAACACGAGGACGTGGTGATTAAGGGCGTGTCCGCTATTAAACTGTTACATTTAATAACCATCCCTTCATTTAAAACGGTTTTGTTGACAAATTTTTGTTGTGTGATAATAAATGTATAAATCCGGAGGTTTCAGAGTAAAATAGTTCAGTGACGTATTGTATCGCAAGATACCCGGCGATACTCAGCTCTAAGACGTTCTACTATTCGTCACCGCTCGCCCCTTTCCATAACCTGCAAAAACCCCGTAGAAGAATCGATGAATGTTATGTGAAAGAATATTACAAACCAATCAGAATGCGCGTATGACTTCAAGTGCTTTGGTAAAAAAATCCCTCAAGGGTAATTTATTATCTTACATATGTTTTGCATCTAAAAATATACCCTAGATACAGTTGAATGTGTTCAATCATACTGTATAAATACCGTAAGTCCCGATGTGTTTTAATAGCATCTGGAACATATATGACTTTGGGGAAATATACGTGACTTATTACGCAACGAGTTGACAATTCTTTTAACTATGCCCATTTGCGCTTAGGCGGAACCCAGTCGCAAAAATGTCCACGAGCGGGGCACGAGACGCCATTCGGCTTGTCCCGGAATAACACGAGTTGGTCACGAATGATGTTCCAAGCAGAATGTCCCCGAATGCGAGAGTCCCAAGTGTCCTGTCAGGGAATAAACTAGTCACACTCAAAGTGTTGATATATTCCACACCATGACTAGGAAACTCCCAAATTAGAATGGAGAAAATCCCAATTGAGGTTATTATTATAAAACTAATATTTAGTTATGCAAAGGTGACCTGTATTTCAATGCTGACACGGTTACTAAAGATAGGAAAGACGTTTTGAAAGTAATTATTAAAAGATCCAGTTTGCCAGTCTCATCGCCACAGGCACTTAGTGTATTATTCCAGACGAAAGAGGCTCGATGACTTGGTTGATGTTTGTCATCGTATCCCAGTTGCGAAGGTCGATGCTCATGATATCGATCACTACTGTCTGGCCCAGACTTGATTATTTACAGACCGCCGTCATAATATTAATATTGCTGAGCGTTTCGTTAAAGTTTACCCGAACAACATGACATATTAAATACAACATTCTATGCCTCCTACCTGACTGTTCCCCCGTGTGTCACCAGACAAGGACGAGGTGATGATGGCTGTACAGAAACACCGCGAACAGGAAGACCTGCAGGCGACCAGGGACGCCCACAGACAGGTAACAATTACATAGATGTGTACTTGTAGTAACTGTGCATTCACGTTACATATAGTGATAGAATGTCACTGGTTTGGGTTGGAAACAGACTGCATGGTTGGCAATACTGTCATGTGTGATCAAAAAACGTTGCATAATTACACGTCTACTGTGCATTCACGTTACATATAGTGATAGAATGTCACTGGTTTGGGTTGGAAACAGACTGCATGGTTGGCAATACTGTCATGTGTGATCAAAAAACGTTGCATAATTACACGTCTACAGGGAAGAAAGATGTCTCAGTGCCAATGTCTGTAATTATTGCTGAAAAGGTTTGAACAGTATTTGCTTTGTGGAACTGTCTCAGTGCTCTGAGTGAGTGAGTATGGTTTTACGCCGCTTTTAGCAATATTCCAGCAATATCACGGCGGGGGACACCAGAAATGGGCTTCACACAATGTACCCATGTTGGGAATCGAACCCGGGTCTTAGGCGTGGCGAGCGAACGCTTAAACCACTAGGCTACCCGACCGCCCCCTCAGTGCTCTGAGGCACCGCATCAAGTTGGTGCAGAGTTGAGTCCCTTTAATGCCCGGCAAGGGGACTTTCTCCCTTAATAAACTATGTCTGTCAGCACTATACCCGTGCTCTTTGTTTAGCGTCTATGTACCTTTTTTTCCACATCAAGATGACATACCTGTTACAACCGAAATACTGTTGAAAACTGCGTTAAACACATCTCACTCAATCATGTACCTCTGTGCTTGTTTCAACCACACGGCTGCAATTAATGGTAACACTTTTTATGATCCCTATCGATTGAACATATGTTATTATCATTTTACACATGGAAACCTTAATACGTATGTTGCATCAGTCGTCAAACCATGCTTCATATCCCATAACACCAGTAGACCATTGTAGATGTACACATCTATGTTATTAATATTCCATGTTGATATATTATTGTGTGAGTACATTCCACGTACCGATGTTGCAGCCCACCCCGCCAATGGTGCCGAGAGCCAACACAGCCTACCCGTCACTCAACAGGTTCATGAAGTATGCTGGAGCCACAGGTACGGCACCCTGTCAGAAACACAAGACTCGTGTTCTCTTCCATCCTTCAGTACAGTGACCTCCTTTATATCAAGACCTGTTATATCTTTGTTTGTTTGTTGTTTTACGCCGCACTAAGCAATATTCCAGCTATATGACGGCGGTCTGTAAATAATCAAGTCCGAACCAGACAATCCAGTGAGTGACATCAACAGCATCTACGCAATTAGGATACGATGATATGCATCAACTAAGTCAGCGAGCCTGACCACCCGATCCCTTTAGTTGCCTCTCATGACAAGCATGGGCTGCTGAAGACTGCTTTTATATCTAAGTTTCCAAAACCGAATAAAGGTACTAGACTCTGACTTCGGACTGGAGTCAATGTGTTCTCTCCTACTCCACAGCAGTAACTACTTTCACGAGGAAGACTTCATTCCTGGTGAAATCTCTGTTAAATCTTCTATCCAAAACCAAAATCTCCCTATTTGTAGCCATGGTTCACGGTATTAAAACGGATTCATAACTCAATTGACAGATAGCAAATATTTATTTTCTCAACTTGCTTACTAAGAGTCTGGCTACTTGTGTACTGTTACTTTTGCTCGGATTTTGTGTTTTTGAGCATCTCCCCGAGGCCAGAGAGTTAACTGACTGTTTCCACATTTACTTTTTAGAGTTAACTCCTTTGCCTCGGGAAGATGGTGTTTGAAATAAAAGATACACACAGCAATACATTTCGCTGGTTACTTGTAAACCGTGAAAAAATGATGTTCCACAGAAGAGGAAGGGAGCAAAGTGTGCCTCTAAATGTATATTTATAAACATCTCTTTCACTTCAGAATCCAGCGCAATGGCTCCTCTTCTGAGACCTCCGCACGCCATCATTGGCTACAGTGGGGACATGAGGTCACGTGACATCGAGGCAACCAGCCGGGTGCGGGTATCGTCTGCATGCGGTCGTGGTGACTTTCTGCTGCATCCTGATTGGCCGCCAACCTTGCCCCACCATCGAGTGCCTTAGCGTACAGTCACATGACTAGATACGTGCTGCTGACTTGTAGATAGTAGTGTTAAGTTTGTCAAAACCAATGACATGTAGCGAGAAGGCCAGCATACGTATGAACCCCCACTGGCATTGTAGAATAGGATCTCTAGTCCAGGAAGCCTGCATAAGAAGGTGGATCCAGCCAGTACCCACTCCCTTATATAGACTCCCAGTTACTAACTTCCACAGGGATCAGACGCCGTAAAGAACCAAAGAGATGTTTGGATTTCATATTATGAGAATGCAATTCTCGTACATTTGAAACAGAAATGACAGCATTATTCTTCCTTACATATACCATGACAAGAGTGTTTTTTATACTTTTACACATGCGTTCCATTGTACGTTGATAAGCAAGCCAAAGTGCGGGTTTCTCTGTATGTAATGTATCGTCAGAGATGTACTATAGTCCATGTACACATTGGTCTCTGTATCAGTTTCTTAGAAGTGGATGCATGCGTTGGCAGTTACAGTGGTAACGCCGAACTGAAAATCCTCGTCTTAATGAAAACATCTGACATCAGTAAGTAAGTTTATTTTAGTGTAAAGGCCACAGACCCAAGTACACTATAGGTACATGCATTATGTACAAAGTGGTGGCTTAATATCCAGAGGTACAGAGTGCGATTAAAGTACAAAATTATTATTATTATTATTATTATTATGAAGAACGTAAAGATCGGGCCTCTTTAATGTATTTAGCACATAGTGACATGGTTTCAATGTTAGAAGTTTGTAGTAAAGTTCTGAGAGAATATTCTTTTTTAAGTTAGTGTTGGGAAAATCTGTGTATCTTAAAATATCATAAGATGGGCATACTAACAATAAATGTAACTCACCTTCAATAATATTTTTACAAAAAGAAAAAAATCTGAGGTTTCTAGCTACACCCTCCCGCCTACCTATATATTTCATAATTTGTAATTCTACAATTCTTAATGATGTTAAATATCTTCTTTGGTCTCTTTGGTGTACATGCATCTTCCCGGGAAAGGTGTTAACTTAATAAAAGTCAGTCTCCACTTTTGCCACGGGAAGATGGTTTACATGAAGCAAATATGGTTCAATTGCGAAAGTTCACTTCATAGTGGAGTAAAAATCTACTTTTGAATGCTCATTTAACTTTGGAAAAGGAGATTGAACACAACAGTCTCTAAATCTTTGTTGAAATTCTAAAAGAAATAAATCAATGTTTCCGACACTTTGATTATTCCATACATATTTAAAACCACGTGAATAAAGTAATTTCTTAACATTTGAGGTCCATTGCTGCCTTGCTCGTCCAGTCCTCTCAACATGTCATAACATTGCTTTGGATATCTAGTATCCGTCATACATATGCATCTGCAGCTGTTGAATGAATCACAATATATATTACACCGACCACACTCACTTAAGACAGCTGCAGTCGTAGAAGATTTTATCTGCCCTTGACACCAAAATATAAAGTATCTTGATGAACAATGTGTTTCACTCGGTTAATACCTTAGTTATTTATTTATTGGGACGTGGCGGTTTGACACTTTTCGCCGTCATTGTGTATTCCTAATCGGTTGAACACGCCCTTGTTAATAACAGAAATGTTTGTAGCGATTTATGGAAGAACATTGTGGTGTGTCAAGTCCTGTTTTGTTGTTATTACTAATACACCAATTGATGACACCAGCTGTTTATGCTGGAGATATGTTTGTTGAATAGGTACCGGAGCACGTATACACTGACAGTATATGGGTACTGGTATATGTTATAGCCTTAATGTAATAATACACCCCAGTATTAATGTAATTCTCCAGTATTACTTATTCCATATATGTATTGTCTTTTATCACCATCACCAGCGACAAGCCCCAGTATCCAAAGCCTGTTTTGCCAAAATGAACTCGTAGCCAGATTTTGTAGATGCGATTTGTTTAATATAACGTCTGTTTTGTGAATAAACAGTTTGAAATTGGGTCGTCTTATTTTTTCTTGAATAAAAGGTATCACGGATGATGAAACATGTTACTTTTAGTGTTATGAATATATGACGTCAACGCCGTAGAACAACCAGCCTTGATTATCTGCCGAGACAGATTCCACTGGGCGTAACAGGAATATTGTGTTTATAATTATATGAATGGATCACGGGAAAACAGTGATGATACAAGGTGTCTGCGAAAAGGGTAATAATGTATGTCCTGCCCCCACTCGTCACCCCATAAAAAAAGTTAGCGTTTGGTTGTTGCCTGACGCCGCAGACAGTTCTTCTCCATTTACTGATTTTGTTGAAACTGAAAACGATATGTTAATTTCGAATTACGTCTGCTGTGTATAAGTGCAGAGCCCACAAGTAAAGAAAGAGGTTTAAGAAATGGGTTCGTATTGCAGCGCAGAGGGTGGCAGTTTTAATGTCTCACAGCCCAAACATTTCTTTTAGAGTAGACACATCAATATTTTGCGCAAAGAATTTTTTTCGACTTTATCTGGTGGACGAAAGTGATATAATGGTAAATTACTGTAGTGCCGCATGGTAATTTCCATGGTCAAAGGGAAGTAACTCATTGGATGCACGCGGCAAGCTCCTCACAGCGATAGCCCGTTCGCGGAGCTCTCTATACTATCGCTGCCACCAGTCAAAACTCCCCACTGTGACTAGGTGGCCACAACCATGCTTGGAGTTGCACTCGCAACCGAATGACCGTTATGTTTACAAACAAGTGACGACTGTCGTGACGCCGAATAAACTTATCGCTGCTAAATTACTTTCTTCGTTTGTCAATTTGAACTTCTGTTTCATTAAAACTATCCTTGATTGATATAGTAAGAATGTAAGGGAGAAGTTGGTTGATTTTCCGTTAGTCTGCACTCTCGAACCAATCTGATTATTAAAACAACAAAGTAAATTCATCTGGAAAACATGGTCAGTCGTAAACCTTTTCAAAATGAAATATCATGGCATTCCCAAAGACATAAACAAAAGTATCAACGTTACTTCATTTGGGGTTAGAGGGCAAATTTCAAGATTCTTGTAATGGCCGCGCTCACACTGGGCCTCAGACCACAATTAATTTCCTTCTTTGCTATCTACAGTGACATGACAGCCCACCATAATTATTATCAGTCGTAGGCTGTTCTCCTGTTGCATGCTGACCAACCTGCCACTTGTCACTTAAAACGCAAACTTACGTCCAGCATCCACCACCTTGCTTTCGCAGTAACCACTGTCAACAATGCTCACCGGAAATTTCGAGCCGAAACACACACAGCGGCCTTCAACTTGGGGTCAAATCATGGGAAGCTGGAATCAATACCTTCACAGATTGGGGCTTACAAAAAATTGACAGCAAACTACAATGTCTTATCTTTCATTTAAGCTATCACAAGTCACTCCAAAAAAATTGCCACAGGCTGAACAGCCCATTTCAACTGGGTACTATATTCTCCTATTTTCCTTCCGGTTCATGGGATAACTGTGGTCTGAGGCCACTGGTGGCAGCGATGTTACCGAGAGTGTAACGAAGGTGTCACGCGCTAGGAAGGAGCTTGTGGATGCGGTACCACCGTAAACTCAACTGACTAACAACAACTGACAACTGACTAAGATCTCTATGCCGCTTGAAATAAATGAAGTGTGACCTGACCTTTCTTTTGTTTTATGTATGTATGCATTAATAATGGTTGAAATAAGGCCGTCTTGTATCAAATATTGTAGATAACAATGCTAGTAAATATGTTGTAGGTATTTTGTCAGATATAGCATTTTATAATTGTTGTATTTTCGATGTATCGAGGCGAGGCAGAAACCTCGTGGTGAGCGTTAGGCGTTTTGACATTGAAAGATTGTGTAAAACATGAACAGTATGACCTATCATTGATAGGTCAAATTTTGTATATTATTGCACTTCATGCTAAGTCTTTTTTTTGAAATAGTATTTTTTGTGCGAAGTTGCAAGTAGTATTCGAAATTCAGGCCAGAGTTCAGAGAAATCTGAAAGACCAGTAAATATTGTTCCTGGTGTGTTATGATTATTGTAGACCTTCTGTATGTTGGGACTGCTGTATCAGCAGCAGCAGCCGTCACGCAGTATGGTGTTGTTGTTAAACAGTTACACTAAAGTGCACAAGTTGCTTTAAGTAAATATTGGTCAGTATATTTTCTGGAAAAGTGTTACTGTGCAAACTATTTCTGATGTGTATTCACATGCATTCCGTCTGTAATGATTGATTGTTTGTTTGTTTGTTGTTTAACGCCGCACTCAACAATATTCCAGCTATATGACGGCGGTCTGTAAATAATCGTCTGGGCAAGGCAATCCAGTGATTGACATCGTGAGCATCGATCTACGCAATTGGGATACGATGACATCAACCAAGTCAGCGACTCTGACCACCCGATCCCCTTAGTCGCCTTTTACGACACTTTGGTCTGTAGGCCGTTTGAAATAAATGGAATTACCATTCCACCACGTCAGAATGATGTGATCTGATTGGTCCACGTGGTCTTGATTAAATACTGTGTATCCCGCCTTGGGGGGGCAATACTTGTTTCTCAGCGGGGGACTAAATCTTTTATACTCCGACACGAGCAAGTCAGGCTGCACGTGGATTTCTGAGAGGTAGAATGAATCCAGCCTGGTTCCCTGGGTATGCTGCGCTGGCGCTTACTCAGAGGAGCTACCCCGCTTCAAAGCAAAAAGTCGCACGCTTTTCCGGAATCAAGGGAATTCACGTGACATAGCGCAAGCTAACCTTAGCTCAATCAAACATCTGTTTTCTGTTAATTTTGAATTTGTTTGAATTCATTGACAATGCCATATTAAGACATGTCGGTAAGATAACTCGGGGTACATGAGGTTTTATTAATCCGGCGCGTGTAAAGCCTAACGCGGGACGCATAAAATCCCATGTTCACCACGTGATCCTGCTATAGTGTGAACCGACATCTCTCTTGTGTTTGGTATATTGCTGTGTAGCAACCACCAGAATGCTACTCAAAAACCTGGCCACGTCCTACCAATAGATGATACTTGTTGTTACTCTGCCTCGACATTAAGGGCATAACAAGGACTGACCAGTTTGGAGTCGGTATAATTTGTCTGGGTGGGTTATTCATGTTAGAATTGTGGGCAAGCACTATAAAACCGACGTAAGTGTGGACAAGTACAAGCAACCACACACGTCTCTATAGCTGGATGAGTGAAACCAATCGTAAACGCGAAGTTGGTCCCCACTGACCTCAACTATTCAAAGGCATTCCAGGCCCCTCTGTATACGCCAGTAACATTAACACAGTTATAAATAGAAGGCAAGAATAGAAGGCAATAGAATATAAAGTCGGGGGTACGTACATGCGCAGTTCTGCACAAAGCTACAGAGCTTTGGGAACTATTTCGTGCAGTGCGAGATAAATCTCAGAAACAGGTAAGGAGCCAGCATCGTGTCTGTTTTCTGTAGTTGTGTACTAAGTTAGTTTTACATTCAGGGTCAAATACCCGTATGTAGCCTCAGTATTGCTACATGTATGTGTTGTACTAGTTGTTTATTCAATCGGGCTATTCTGCCACATAAGTAAAATGGCGACCCACACGAGTGACGTAATGTGTAAAAATGGACGCGGTAACCAAGTGGTTTGTTTGTTTGTAGTTTAACGCCGCCGTCAGCTATAAGACTGGGGTCTGTAAATAACGATGGGTGTCTTGTGCATCGATCCTCGCAACTGGGATACGATGATACGCATCAACCAAGTCAGCGTGCCTGACCACCCGATCCCGATAGACACCTATTCTAAGTCGGATCGATAACCCAGGGAGATTATTGTCGCGAAATTTCAAGTTTTTTAAGTAAACTTGAAATAACCATAAAATAGTCGAAATTACGAGAATAAACTCGAAACAACAAGAAAATAATGTTGTACATATTGTGTGTAAACATGCATATTTATAGTACTCTATGCACTTACAAAGCATTCAGAGTTAGAAGTAGCTCGGAAACGTCGTACAAAGAATAAAAGAAGTTGCTGTCCATTAAAAAGTGTCATGTATTCATGTTCTCACAACTTCTAAATGCCTATCAAAATCTTCAATAAAATAATTGAAATAACGCGTAAATAATTGAAGCAACGACAAAAAAACACACGACTTTTTTAGATTTTGAAATAACGAGAAAATAATATAACGAAAAATATATGAATGGATCCCTGAAGCGCGAATCGTTACTAATTTCATAATGCAAATAGGTACGTTATTATTTTTTGGAGAAGAAGGTACATAAGTTGTTGGGAACTAATGTAAACCATTAATGTAACTGTGCTTATCACCAGGAAATGTCTGGTAATGAAGATGGCGGTGTGGGGTCGAAGGATGTGACTGTCACCCAGATTGGGTCGAATGTGGTCCGAATACAGAAACCAGAGATGAAGGACATCAACATCAACAACAACAACAACAACAACAACATCAACATCAACATCACCTTGAACGTCCAGCAGTCAGATCAGAAGCACGCCCAGAGTACGTAGAAAATTAAAGATTGCAATTAGAAAATAAAACGCTCCGGCTATTAAATTAGACCTGGCAAAATGTCTTCAAACCTCAATTTGTTTGTCTTTAAACTCAAAGTTTATTATGTCTGTCAACCGAACAGTTGATAAATATCCTAAATACACGCAAACAATGGCTCAGTTTGGCACACTGTCTCAAAGCCTAGACATAGACCGAAATGTTGGTTGTGCGAAACTTTGACTCACTCAAAGTGTATGGTTGTAAATAATGGTTTATCTAAATTTCGTGGGAAAACATAACTTTTGGAAAAACAGAGTGTATGCAAAGCCATCATAAGAATTCCAGTTACACTTGTTCATTCCTCATTACATATCATAGTTGTTTAGTCATGTTTAGACATGTCCACTTTTGTTCTAGTTTCTAGGGCAATACGCACCGTCATTGGCAACTTGCTTCCGAGAGCGAAGATAAAATCCAGCTGCAGAGGGAAGCGGTTGAAACGCTATTCAAGGTCAACATCAGAAGGAAAGAAATTCCACATGACTCTAAGAAGCCACGGTAGAGGTCCATAGGAGGTCCACAAGCAGCTTTTCGGGTGGAGGGTGGTGTCTTAAGATAGCTATACTGAACAAAGACACTTTATATCCTTGATCAGTATATGTTCGGAAACAGGCAAGAACTTGCACCAAGTATGTGCAGCTTAGGTCGAGAAAGCAAACCAAAGGCTCGTCTGTGCCTAAAGATAGCTATACTGAACAAAGACATTATATATCCTTGATCAGTATATGTTCGGAAACAGGCAAGAACTTACACCAAATATATGCAGCTTAGGTCGAGAAGGTAACCCATTGAAGAGTATCAGAATTTCTCCACGAGGTTTAAAAATACCTTAGACTGGAAAGCAAACCAAAGGCTCGTCTGTGCCAAAAGATAGCTATACTGAACAAAGACACTATATATCCTTGATCAGTATATGTTCGGAAACAGGCAAGAACTTGCACCAAGTATGTGCAGCTTAGGTCGAGAAAGCAAACCAAAGGCTCGTCTGTGCCTAAAGATAGCTATACTGAACAAAGACATTATATATCCTTGATCAGTATATGTTCGGAAACAGGCAAGAACTTACACCAAATATATGCAGCTTAGGTCGAGAAGGTAACCCATTGAAGAGTATCAGAATTTCTCCACGAGGTTTAAAAATACCTTAGACTGGAAAGCAAACCAAAGGCTCGTCTGTGCCAAAAGATAGCTATACTGAACAAAGACACTATATATCCTTGATCAGCATATGTTCGGAAACAGGCAAGAACTTGCACCAAGGATATCCAGCTTAGGTCGAGAAGGTAACCCATTGAAGAGTATCAGAATTTCTCCACGAGGTTTAAAAATACCTTAGACTGGAAAGCAAACCAAAGGCTCGTCTGTGCCAAAAGATAGCTATACTGAACAAAGACACTATATATCCTTGATCCGTATATGTTCGGAAACAGGCAAGAACATGCACCAAGAATGCGCAGCTTAGGTCGAGAAAGCAAACCGAAGGCTCGTCTGTGCCTAATGATAACTATACTGAACAAAGACACTATATATCCTTGATCAGTATATGTTCGGAAACAGGCAAGAACATGCACCAAGAATGCGCAGCTTAGGTCGAGAAAGCAAACCAAAGGCTCGTCTGTGCCTAATGATAACTATACTGAACAAAGACATTATATATCCTTGATCAGTATATGTTCGGAAACAGGCAAGAACATGCACCAAGTAAATGCAGCTTAGGTCGAGAAGGTAACCCATTGAAGAGTATCAGAATTTCTCCACGAGGTTTAAAAATACCTTAGACTGGAAAGCAAACCAAAGGCTCGTCTGTGCCAAAAGATAGCTATACTGAACAAAGACATTATATATCCTTGATCAGTATATGTTCGGAAACAGGCAAGAACTTGCACCAAATATATGCAGCTTAGGTCGAGAAGGTAACCCATTGAAGAGAATCAGAATTTCTCCACGAGGTTTAAAAACGCCTTAGACTGGAAAGCAAACCAAAGGCTCGTTTGTGCCTAAAGATAGCTGTACTGAACAAAGACACCTTATTTCCTTGATCAGTATATGTTTGAAAGCAGACCAAAAATAAAAACAATAAAAAAAGCAACCAAAGAAAAAGCAACAAAAAAAACTAAGAATTTCTCCACGAGTTTTAAAAACGTTTTAAATCAGTATATGTCTGAAAACAGACAAAAAATAAAAACAAAAAACAAAATAAAACAAATGGAAAATAAGAAAAACAACAAAAGAAAAAGCAATACAAAAAAGCAACAAAAGAGGCATTCAAAAAAGCAATGTTCTGCTTTTCATTATGTCCCAATATTAAGCAACTTACTTCAATGTACATGTAGTGTTATTTTCACTTAGTAATATTTCCAAACATTGCTGAAAACATTTGTTATAATTCTCAAAAGTATCAAACGCCAAATAATCTCATAGTAACCAATTGTTTGATTGCTGTTTGATTACATGTAAAAAAAATTTCACACTGACAACGATAAATTTGTTCCATGTTTTGCCTCCTTTGTTTGCTTGATGGAGATGCATTATTCGGAAGTGATACGGAAATAAAATTCAAGAACAAAGATTTTGTGTTTTCGTCTTGTAAAAGTCATCGGCGAGTGTTCGGTAAGAGTTCTTTAAGGAGCACAGGATTAGCCTGCATCTTCTCTTCAACCAACGGTTGCCTGCCTTGGTATCTCCACTGCCCAGTTACATTTCCTTGTTGTGACCGTTATATCAGCCTCACCCATAATGGAGGCCTCTGGTAGGGTAGTGGACACCTGGTGTCATCATTGTTAAAACGCCGCACAAAGCAATAATTCAGCCATATGACGATGGTCTGTAAATTATCGAGTTAGGTAACGACCCATACGATTAGGATACGATGACATGCATCAACCAAGGCAGCAAGCCTGACCACCCGATCCCCTTAGTCACCTCGCAGGACACTTTGGTCTGTATGCCGCTTGAAATAAATGTTTGTTGTTTAACGCCGCACTCAGCAATATTCCAGCTATATGACGGCGGTCTGTATATAATCGAGTCTAGATCAGACAATCCAGTGATTGACAATAAGGGCATCAATCCACGCATTTGGGATCGATGACATGCGAGCTGAAATAGATGAAATTATCATTCCTCCATGTCATAATGATGAGATCTGATTGGTCCACGTGATCTTGATAAAATACTGTGTATCCCCCCTTTGAGGGCAATGAATTTCTCAGTGGAGGAGTAAATCTCTTGACCATTCGTCACCACTCGCCCCTTTCCGTAACCTGCAAGAAGAGCTTGTTCACGGAAAAACACGAGTTGGTCACGAATGTCTCTTGACCTGATCACTCGATCTCGTTGGTCACCTCTTGCAAGCGTGGGATGCTGAAGACCAACTCTAACCTGGATCTTTGCAGGGGCATCGCTGTTACAGTCAATTAAATAAGAGGATGACATTATAAGTGATTCAACAACGTCGGTAGAACACATACAGGGGGAATGTTGTGATTTGAGGACGGGATCAATCATCCCCATAGGAAAGATGCGGATGGTCAAAGGGAAACAACTCTTTCTCATGTAAGACGGTTCATACATGACAGGGAAGTGAAACGCTAGAAAGGTATAAACAACTTGTGTGACTATCAGTTGGCTTCCACCCGCCTTTGACAACACAACAGTATGTCAAAGGGCCACATGTACTGTCATATACAAAGGTACAAAGCGGTATCCTTCTTTGTAAACGTCTGGTGCAAATATGAAACCCAGACACAGTTAGGATAACGGAATGACAGCATGTTGTTGTGTCGGAATGGGAGGGTGTTGTGTTCATTCAAGCGGGAGGATTTCAGTGTAACTGCTTGTATATGCTGGGATACAATAACATGCATCAACCAAGTCAGCCTAGCCACCCGATCACATAAGTTCCCTCTTACGACAAGCATAGTCGCCTTTTGCGGCAAGCATGGGTTGCTGAAGACCTATTCTTCCCCATATCATCACGGGTCATTTCGAGCAATGAGACTTGTTAGGAGTAATAACGTGTTTGATGGAGAGGAAGTGACAGATCAACCCTTGGGATTCGGGAATTGAGGGATCGACTTAATACAAACAAGATGATGTGTAGTTATTAATAGATCATCGGGCAAAACCCAGTGTACATGTATTTCAAAGTGTGGCGCAATCGACCAGGGAAAGTCCCAGCTATAAATAGATTGCCATTGTAGGATATCGAGGGCAATGTACAGCAAGAAGACCTGTACACTGTCGAGTATAAGCGAGCATAACCAACAGTCAACACCGCTGGAGGTCGATGACGCATAATCACACACTCTATCCCCATTAGTCGGATCTTGGGACCAGCACGGGATATTTCACTACATAACAGTGGTGTATTAGGGTGGATGTTGCAAGATGCTGTACACATCAAGTTCACAAACACATTCTGATCGGTTCAACACGAACAGTGCTGCTACACCTTGCGGTATAACCATTCACCAATAACCAATGTGCCGACCCGTCAAGATCCGGGGCAGAATAGGTCTTCAGAAACCCATGCTTGCGGTAAAAGGCGACTATGCTTGTCGTAAGAGGCGACTAACGGGATCAGGTGGCCAGTCTCGCTGACTTGGTTGATGGTGTCATCGTATCCCAATTGCATGGATCGATGCTCATGATGTCAATCACTAGATTGTCTGGTCCAGGTTCGATTAATTACAGATCATTGTCATATAGCTGGATTCTAAAGCAAACAATATCCGTACAAAGAGAGATATTTTGTGGGCCATAAATATCATCATTAAGTTTCGATCACGTGTACGTGGTTACAATCTGACAGGGGATCGGCACTCAGGTGACTGAGAACGGTAATATTTAGCAGCGTGGGCAGCGTGTTACCTCCCCAACAGCAGCAATTATCCTGTCTACAAACTGTACATATGGTAATACTTCTAAGATGGTATTATACAGAATTCTAGAGGGAAAAAGAGTTTGCCATTCTATTTAACACCATATGATATTGGTAGGTAATGGGTGGAGTAATACTGCTCGACGAACATCGAAGACAAAGTTTTCCCCAGACTGGGTCCAACCAAGATAGCGTTAGAAAGAACCGAAAACTTCGTGGTATAGCGGTATAACGTATCTGTTGTGGAGGTGACGGGCGTCGTGCATCTGTCGTTTGTATCTCTGCACATTATCATATCTGGAAAACATTCCTACATTGGGGACAAGCTGTTGACTCCATGGTGACTTGCTAAACACTGGCTCTCAGTAAGAAGTCTCTGTTATTTTAATCCCTTATTTTGATCTCTGGAATCCAGCGGTTTCCCTTCCTGGTGGCATCCCATCCGCTCGACTAGTACTTCGTTCTGACCAGCTCTTTATCTTGTCTTGAGAAGTTTTCCCACTCGCCACACAATATCAACAGACTCCCTGCATTTCGTATTTATAACCGGACCATCTGCCATTCCGTGCAACTGATAAACTGGAATACTACCTCGATAGTAGTCCTCATAAACAAATAGTTCTTCTGTCCATCTTTCTCTATACTCTGTTTGAAAGATATGTTTGAGATGGGACAGTCTCACTTGATCTCCGATCCGGGTTGGAATAGGTCTTTAATAACCCATGCTTGTCGTAGGAGGCGACTAACGGGATCGGGTGGTCAGGCTCGCTAACTTGGTTGATGCATGTCAACGATCCCAATTGCGTGGATCGGTGCTCATGATATCAGTCACAGGATTGTCTGGTCCAGACTCAATTATTTACAGACCTCCGCCATTTTATAGCTGGAATATTGCTATATTGCTTCGGTCATCCATTCACTCAGTCCCGGATAATTGAAAATAGTAACCTCCACTTTTCTAAACATATCTGACACCTACATAGCCAACTGTCTCCTGCTGTGACATTGCTCAAATATAAAAGCGGGGCAAAGCTTACACAAATCCGATCTATCGCCAAAAGTTGTAAATTTATACGTAGAAATGCACAACAATCATCTATGGATTGATTTATCACACGAATACACAGAATCAGACGTTTGTAGAAATGCATCTTTTCACAACACATGTGACATGTGAGGCAAATACAATGTGTTGTGTCCCTTCACAGAAAGAGAATGCAAGTGTGGATCAGTTTCAAACAAAACTCCAAGGGCTTATGACTGCTAAATTGTCAGAACCTGAAGAATAATACTACAGCATTTCCCACGTGTAATAAAGGCAAATCATAAACTGCTAGACTGACTAACGTTTGAAAATGTGGTGATTTGAAACAAACTTGGGTGTCATTTAACCCACGACCTGAACATTTGGAATTACAAATAATTATGAAATTATGGCAGTCCAAGAAGCAAAAACATAACTTAAAGTGAGCCAAGGGCATACTAATATCAATATAAATATTGATAATAAGAAGAAGAACCAAGTCAACATTTGCATTCTCAGCTCCCTGCTCAGTACGAGTATACATCCTCAGGTGCTTTCTAAGATCAAGTATATATCGTCAGCTCCCTGCTTCGTAGGACTGTACATTCACAGCTCCCTACTAAGTAGATGTATACACCCTCAGTCCCCTGCTCAGTACGAGTATACACCCTCAGTTCCCTGCCCAGTACAAGTATAAACCCTCAGTCCCCTTCTCAGGACAAGTATACACCCTCAGTACCCTTCTCAGTACGAGTATACACCCTCAGTCCCCTGCTCAGTACGAGTATACACCCTCAGTTCCCTGCCCAGTACAAGTATAAACCCTCAGTCCCCTTCTCAGGACAAGTATACACCCTCAGTACCCTTCTCAGTACGAGTATACACCCTCAGTCCCCTGCTCAGTACGAGTATACACCCTCAGTTCCCTGCCCAGTACAAGTATAAACCCTCAGTCCCCTTCTCAGGACAAGTATACACCCTCAGTACCCTTCTCAGTACGAGTATACACCCTCAGTCCCCTTCTCAGTACGAGTATACACCCTCAGTCCCCTTTTCAGTACGATTATACATCCTCAGTTCCCTTCTCAGTACGAGTATACATCCTCAGGTGCTTTCTAAGATCAAGTATATATCGTCAGCTCCCTGCTTCGTAGGACTGTACATTCACACCTCCCTACTAAGTAGATGTATACACCCTCAGTCCCCTGCTCAGTACGAGTATACACCCTCAGTTCCCTGCCCAGTACAAGTATAAACCCTCAGTCCCCTTCTCAGGACGAGTATACATCCTCAGCTCCTCCCTGTTCAGTGCGAGCATACATCCTCAGCTCCTCCCTGTTCAGTGCGAGTATACATCCTCAGCTCCTTGCTCAGTACGAGTATACATCCTCAGCTCCTCCCTGTTCAGTGCGAGTATACATCCTCAGCTCCTCCCTGTTCAGTGCGAGTTTACCTCCTCAGCTCCTTGCGCAGTAAGAGTATACATCCTCAGTTCCCTTCTCAGTACGAGTATACACCCTCAGCTCCTCCCTGTTCAATGCGAGTATACATCCTCAACTCCTCCCTGTTCAGTGCGAGTATACATCCTCAACTCCTCCCTGTTCAGTGCGAGTATACATCCTCAGCTCCTCCCTGTTCAGTGCGAGTATACATCCTCAGTTCC